TAAAGATTAAAAGTGAGAGATGGAGAGGGAGAGAAGGTGAGAAAGCAAGAATGAGAGAAAGAAAGAGAGGGAGAGGTCGGGACAGAGCTGTTAAGAGAGACAGAGAGCAATCAAGAGAGTGAGGAAGTGAGAGCTCAAGAGCGAGAGATTGAGAAAGAGCGAAAATGAGCCATTAAGAGTGTGAGATCAAGAGAAAAGGAGAGTGAGAGACTTGAGACAGATAAAGAGTCTGAGAAAGAGCAAACAAACCAAGAAAGAGAGAGAGTGTGAGAAACTGAGAGCTCAGGAGCAAGAGATTGAGAGATTGAAAGAGAAATAGGCTGAGACAGAGCCATTAAAAGAGTGAGAGACCAAGAGAAAAGGAAAGGGAAAGACTTCAGACAGATAAAGAGTCTGAGAAAGAGCAATCAAACCAAGAAAGAGAGAGAGAGTGAGAAAGTGAGAGCTCAAGAGCGAGAGATTGAGAGAGATTGAAAGAGAAATACGCTGAGACAGAGCCATTAAAAGAGTGAGAGGCCAAGAGAAAAGGAAAGGGAAAGACTTCAGACAGATAAAGAGTCTGAGAAAGAGCAATCAAACCAAGAAAGAGAGAGAGAGTGAGAAAGTGAGAGCTCAAGAGCGAGAGATTGAGAGATCGAAAGTGAAATAGGCTGAGACAGAGCCATTAAAAGAGGACACCAAGAGAAAAGGAGAGTGAGAGACTTGAGACAGATAAAGAGACTGAGAAAGAGCAATCAAACCAAGAAAAAGAGAGAGAGAGAGAGAGAGAGAAAGAGAAAGAGAGAGAGAGAGAGAAGGTTTGGCCTCATGTACAACACAATACGTAACAGGGCCTTAAAACCACCTTATCACATAACCTCACAGCAACCATGGAAAAATCTCAGTAAAAATCCACATGATCATATACATGGAAATACAAACAGATTCCCTACTGAATTACTGAACCACCTATACGCTTCAACAGTGTTTTGGTCTTTTTTTTCATATCCCATACCAGTACTTTATCCAACATTTTTAAATACTTAATATTCTTATAGCAATAAAAATAAATAAAATCTAATATGGTCTTACACATCCAATAATATTGTGCTCATGGGGTATACATCAATATGTAATTCATATATTTATAAGTATTTAAATCTGTATATATCTATATAGGTACTTCATAATTTTTCTCTTTCTTTTCCAGGTAAACCCTTACATGATTCTGCTCGCTTGAGCATAGCATTGCCACCATGATAGTAATGTGCAAAGATGAAGAATGTGCAAAACAAACAGCAGTAAACTGAGAATTATCCACTCAAAGGAAAAGCGCTACTCGAGCCTCTACTCTAAGCGAACGCACGCCGGCTCTTGGCACAGCCAAACTCTCACGCAAGATCCACAGGCAACAAAATGAGCTCAACAAAGAAAACAATGCCAGCATCCTGGATGGCACGGTGAACTTGGATACGATGAGCACGAGCAAACACTTTTCCTCCGGTCTGCGCCTCGAGGCTGAATCCGTCTCTGGACTGAGTGAAAGTTTTGGCATCTTGACGCAGTTGTGGGTGATGGTCCTTTCTCTGGCTGTGACTGAGGATGAGCGCACGCAGGCCAGCTCCAATGGGCAGCTTCCCAGGAGGCCCTGTTAATTTACAGTCGTGACAGAAGGCTGTGACCACGGACAACAACTCTGTAAGGCAGTGGACACCAACCCAGTGCCAGAAGAGCTCTCCCCTCCTGCAGAGTTCACATCTAAAAGCCAGAGCACCAGACATCCTAACGATTTTAATTGCTTTAAGAATGTCCAGGAAAACCAGAGTCAATTGGAAGGGAACATTATAGATTGTCACAACAATCAAACATGACACAAACGTTTAGTCTGTGTTAGCTGGGGCTTGCTCAGTTGGTGTGCTCTGGCCTTAAAGGGGAATTCTACCGCTTTTTTAAATCTATGCATTTTAATCAGTGAGTGTGTATACATGTACTCAATAATCCGATCATAATCTGATTTCTCCAGTTATCTGATTATACAAATGGTCATGTAAACACCATACTCCGATCTAGAAATCCGATAGAGAGCTGGATTTTTGCTCAGTTATCAGATTTCTCAGAGCATGTAGACTCTTACTCTGATTTCTTTCAGATTTCTCAGTCTGCACATGCGCGAGAACAGACGGCGGTATCAGCAGCGTTGCCGCAAGACGGCAACAAAACACTTTTGGAGCAGCGCTGAAACCAAACACGAAATAAAGGATTTAAATATTCTTCATCTTCTAGATGATCTATGTTCATATTTTCAAGTAAAATCATGCAATGTTTAAAAAAAAAGCAGCGTCATGGAGTTTTTACGTTATGTTTACGTCACGTATTCTTCTGTGAGTTTATTGGCTGGTTGCAGAGCAGAAATCCGATTACTGTCTGACTCATGTAGACCAGGAGCTTCCCATTATCTGATTACTTAAGTGCATGTAAACATGTTGACTGCATTACTGACAAAATCTGATTTTCTGCAGTTATCAGATTATTAAGTGCATGTAAACGCACTCATTGAGATGTAAACAAAGTTATTCAGAGAGGTGTGATGTGAAATGGCTCCTAGTGAAACTTTCTGACTCTTTCAGGAACCAGGGGTCGTAATGCATACATTTATTTGCAATCCAAATCATTCAACCTACACATCTTCTGGGTTTTTATATGTTGTTCATAGTAAAATAGCAGCAAATCTGAAAAAAATAAGTTACTTTGGGGACTAATTTGCCTTACAGCATCCTGCTTGTACCAATCCACAGTGAACATCTGTAAAAAACAATGTTTTGGTATGTCTTAGGCTAAAATCAAACCAATCAGCTATCGTACAACAAACTCTCATTCATCATTTCCATTTCTTGTAATATCTTCCTGTGAGGTAGCTTTTAGAAACATTTATCTCTTAAGGCACCTGGTTCCTATCACCACCACTGGATACAACTGACTCAGTAAGTTCGTCTAGAACAGAGCGTTTCACATCAAACCACTTGGAACAACTCTGTTTACATCTTAACCATTTAGAATTCAGAAAATTTGAAAAATCAGTGGAAATCCCCTTTAAAACACCATATGCAATTACTCAAGTCCTCTTTTTTTCAGTACTGTATTTAACAAGTCTTTGCCAACTTGTGTACGTAATCTCCCCTTTGGGAATCCGTGGCACCATTTTAAGCAACATTATATGCTAATTTAGCTAAAGTCAAGTTTGTTAGATGACCCCGTGGAGGAGCGAGGGATCGGGTCAACATAAATAAAGATTTCAGGAATGGAACTTACTGGAAAATCATTGCAATTTGATGCAATTTGATTTGATTTCTTTTCACAAATAAAAAAGTAGATAATCTATAAGCAAGAGCAATTAATTGCTTTAAGATAACATCATTATCAAGACTATAATATTCAACTTGCTACATTGCAACTGGGCTTCATGTAGCAAACTACTCCATTGCTTTACATGACTGCATGACTGCTGATGTAATTTTGTTGCTTTACTCTGCTAGTTTGTTAGCAAACAAGAGCCAAACAGCTACAAAACAAAAAAAGAAGAGCAATGCACCACAGCCCTGATTTTTACCCGGAGCTTCAGCTTTTACGTTTGTGTATATTTCACTTAGACTTTTCAAAAAAAACGGTCTGAACAAAGGGCTAGTGGGCTGCTATTTAAAAAAGGTTTAACTGCGAAGGGGGGTTGCGGTGTTTGGGGGCGGTAGAGGGCAAAAGTCCAGAGCTGAATTTAGTTCCCAGTCCATCACTGGTCGGTTGTGCTTCGGACCCCCACGAGTGGATGAATCTGATGACTGTGCACATAGAAAGACTTGTCTTTCAAGCATGTAAGTGAATTATCTATTCATGTCATCATATATTCATCATTATAACATTGGCTTTTTGGTTTGAGACCAAAACATTGAGCCGGACCTTCTTCCTGGGCGTGCACGTTAACAACAAAAAAATCTTACATAGTGCTGCTTTAACTTCCATTATATATTAAGAATGTTTTTTTCTTCTTCTTTGAAGTTACCACTTCAGAGAAAGAAGATCTTGCTCCAACCCCAACGATATGTTCTACATAAGAGCATGTTAAAAACAGTACTGCGGGGGAAGATCTTCTGGACCAGGTATAGTTGATAAATTTGCAATTAAAAGCTATAATTAGGGATGGTATCCACTGCTGTAGGGCAGCCTCCTTGCCTATTTTAAGCTGTCCTGAAATGTTAGGAGGATCACGCAACAGCTGCTCACCAATTACAGATTGTTACTTAACAAACTACCCATTTCAGAGCAGCCAAACAAAAATAAAGATGTAGAGAAGGACAAAGGAGGACAGGACGCTACTTCAGAAGTTTTGGGCATGGCCACTGGATGGCATGACAGAGGAAAGAGGAAATGAGATTTAGCACCAGAGGAAGTCGAGGGGCTGGACGATGACCCTTCTGTAGGAAGCACTTTGACGGACATGTAAAAATGGCACTGAAGAAGGGAGGGGTGTCACATAGCAAAGGTCACAACAGAGTCTTTGTCTTCTGTTTCATTGCTCTCTCAAAGCATGCAATTTATGAGAGAGAAGCTTCTATTGGATACCTGTTTGAGGGAGGGTGACTCGTATCATAAGTAAGTGATGGGACTAAATTGGACAAATCTATAGTACACCTGTGGTGTGACAGGCTTGCATGTTTTTTTTCTTCAGTGACGATGAACAAGGTTAATGTGAGCATGACTGGACGTTGGAGGTCCATGTACCTTAGCACTGGTACCTGGTTTGTGCATGTGCTAGAAATGAGGACCTAAATATGAATTCTCTACTAGGGTAGTTTATCTCCTTTTGTATTAGTCCAGCTAGCCAAGCTGCGGTTGGATACAGAGACGGGGTACAAACAAAGCTGTGTCATCTCTGGTAGCTGTGTTCAGAGATCAATTAGTTAGCTTGTTAAATCTAGCTTGACCAGCTGTGGATGGAGGTTAGCCATGGAGGGGGTCAGGTAGGGCAGGTCTCAGCTGTGGTAGCTGGCCACAGCAGCCTGCTTCTGGGACAGTCTTTGCAGCTCCTCCCTGATGGCCTTAATGAGAGAGGCAGAGGACTGAGGGGACGGAGAGGACTCCTCAGGGGCAGCATAGCCTGGCGTGGGAGGGTCCAAGTGGGCCTGTGGGGTGGGAGGGTCTCTCAGGGATGTCCGAGGCATCTGGAATACGGGAGAGGAGGAGTACTCAGGGAACGACAGGATCTGCTGGAAAAAAAAGACACTATATAAATCTCTATACAGAATACACAGAATATATAAATTATGCATACATTTCAAATTTCTCAACAGATACTCTAGTTTATCTAGTAATTACTCTACTACTAAATTACGAACACAATCAATTTCAGACTCGTTATAAACCAAATGCTGTATATGTAATATAGCGATAACAAAATCAAAACAAATCAAGATTAACTTCAGGAAAAGGCAGACTGAATATTTTGGCTATCCACAGGAAATAAAGTCAAAGCAATGTACACATTTTTCATTTTAACATTCCAAAACAGGAGAAAATATTATTTTAAAACACCTGAAGATGTGAATATTTGAGCTGAAAGAGAATTAATTTGATTCATGTTTCATTGGTTTTCAATTTGTTTCAAAAGCAACTCTTGTAAATTAGTTTTTAAATAGTAAACACTATGCAACTCAATACATAACATGGTGATTTCATTCATAGATTTAAGCTTCTAAGAAATATTATAATGCATTAATACTTTTTCTGAAAGACTTTCTCTAACAAACCTGAGGCAAAAACACTCAAATCACCGAAGTAACGTTTATTGTAACAAAAATAATCCCAAAGGAACATGCACTAACAAGCTAGTTTGCCTGGGCGCAGGCTTTATTTAAAATATACACAAAGTGTGTGTGTGCATGGCCACAGACTGCTATTAAGTTCTGATGATTTGTCGAAGGTCAGTGATTCTCAAAAGAGGTTGTGAGATAATTTAAGGGGGGTGGGTTGCAGAATGGATGTTGAGAAAAAAGGCCTATATTTTTACTAATTTTTCCTAAACATTTTCCTTCCAGTCTCTCACAATAATGACATTTTCTTAAATTTGTTCATAACTTATGACTTATTTCGTTTTCAGCATTTAAAGTGACACTACATTCATTCTTAAGATTTGGATTCTTAAGAATTCTTAAGACCTCTCTGGTGAAAGAGTAGTCAGAGAGAACTCGGTCAAAACTTGCTGAAGGACGTGTCTTCTGAGGATGTAAGCAAATTATCTACTAATGTCATTCACATCTTCATCAGTATAATGCTGATTTTGCATTTGAGATCTAAACATCAAGCTGGACTTTCATTTTGAAGCTTGTGTGTGTGACGTTAATATGTAAAGACATCTGAAGTGGTCTGAAAAACTCCCGAGAAATTCGACATGACGCCTCTGACTTTTAAATTAAATATTCAAATATTAAAAATATTATTTTAAATATAATTTCAGGCTTTGCAGGGCGACTTACAGCGGCGCATGGACACCGCATTTTAGCATGTTTTTTTCTCCTTACTCAATAATACTATTTCTTTCAATTTTAACAAAAAATCTCACATTTTTCAAAATTGTGCGGCTTACATAAAGCAATCTTTACAATTTTTTGACCAATGCAAACAATGAAATAATCATTACACCACTGAACACATCTGCTCCACATCACACAATGAAGAAGTAATTTTAGAAAGAGACACACAAGCTCTTTGGCAGCCAGTTTTGTAGCAGCCTGCTGTAGCCTGAGGGACAGTGGATGTCAACACCCACACCACTATTGACTAAATAACAAACGACAGCAATGTCTTATGTTGCTTCTATTGTTAGTATGTACTGGAATTAAGCTTGTGTTTTCTGAACATCTCTAACCTAACCTGCTACAGTTTCATTTCTGTCATTTATATTATTTTTGGCATGTTTATTTACGATGATACCACTGTTAATATCTTAGTCTAGCAATTCTGCACTGACAATACTTTGACAACCATGCCAATAAATCTTTGGCAAATTGAATATTTGATCAAACTAGGTGAAGAACAGAGTTAGAAAGAAAATGACAGATTTCAGGACAGTTTTTTGAGCACTGTGTAACGTGAGTAAAGCTGTGTAACTGATTCACACACACAAACACTCTTAGTATGTGTGCATATCTGATATTTGTGTGCCTGTGGGTATGTTTGCTGGACTCACAGTCTCACGGTTGGCTCCTGGCCTGGAGACCTCTTCATCTGAGCGGTACTGGGCCCAACTGGATCCTGAGGGTCCGGATACACTACGGCCCACCCCAGGGTACATGCCAATCCGACTTGACAAGCCCACCTGCGTCAGCTGATGCAACTGTGCACCTACAAACACACACTCCATAGCTGGAAAAAACATAAACAGCCACAGGCTAGATAAACTGTGAAAGCCAAAGGAGAGATACGTACCTGTGCTGCCCCCTACTGGTCGTGGTCGAGAGGAGGATGGAAGGTCATCTCCGTATTGCCCTCTGCTGGAATACCCAGGATCTGACTGCAGCTCTCCTGACACCAAATAGCCAGAGCCCAGCGCCTGCCTGATAAGTAAAAAAAATCAAGCATGTAGTTCATCAGCAAAACAATGTAAAAAAAAATAACGATTTGACACGACAAGCTTTTTATGTATTCCAAGATAACATGCCTTACCAATACAAAAATATAATAAATACTATAGCAGCCTTTGTAATCTCTGCGAAGTGATTTACAAATCCTTTTCATTATCAGCTTACCTCTGCAGTAAGCCCTGGACAGATGTGGGTGACATTCCTAATTCAGCGTATCTCTACAAGGGAAGGAGGGCAAACAGCATGATGCTTCCTCACCTTGCAAATTCTGTCTTTTGTACATCTGTACTCAAATTCATGCTAGAGAGCTAAAAATGTGTGAACAAAATGTTGAAATGTAGGCTACATATTTGTGTTCACTCATACTCACAGCAGAGAAAGGGCTGTGCGCAGGAGCTACTGGGTAGGAAGAGGATCCCCATTGGCGGAGAGGACGTGGGGGCGGGCTAGAGGGTGCAACAGGGCTGACTCCACCCACTCCAGTAATTGCTGTAACCCCAGTGAGCGTGAGAGGGGCAGAGCTCCCTTGTGAGGAGGGTGAAACCAGAGCAAAGGCATCATCCAACAGTGAGTGCATTTGCTGGCGTGCCTCCTCAATGGTTGGCTGAGGTGGGACATAACTAGGTGGAGCAGGTGCTGGTCCAGGAGGAGGAGATCCCGGGTCAACAAACACCTCATCGGTGGGGGAGGGGCTACCGGCATCAGGGAGCTGATCTGCATCAGACTGGGGAAAGAGAGAGAAAGTAGTGTGAATACAGGTTACTTAAGCAAAACACCAGGGTTTGAATTAAAATGTATGATTTTACCACGTAGGCCACATTGTTGACTCCTGGGTACTTCCTATATGTAGCATCTCCATCAGTAATAAGGCGGTCCTTATCAGTCAGACTACCATTACCACTTGTATTCTGCCTTTGGCGATGTCTGGGAGAACGCCTGCCTCTGGAGCTGCACATACCCACATACTCACTGTAAAACTTGGTGTTTTTCATCTCAGACACAAATCAAATAGCCTAATAATAAAATAAAGATTTTGCTGAATCTATTAAATCATTATGCTTACCTCCTGTGTGGCTCTCTGCTGGGTGATGGTGTTTGTGCATCAGAATGCAGAATCTTGTGTATCTGCTCCTGAGCCTGCTGGTACACCCGCTGCTGCTCTGAGGTGTCCGCGAACGCTGCCATAATGTCCTCCATGGAGGGGAACTCATAGTGGCCTTTTCTTTTTGCCCGTAGCCGTATCTTATTCCGGTGGTGCTCAATCTCAGACTTATGCCTTAGAGCAACCTGAATCTTGAATGCATACAGAGCCAACAAATCCCATAAAAAAATTCAATATTCAGAATGAACTGATGTTAACTTTCTAATTCCACCAAGTCATTTGATGTTATGCTCATGTCTGGGTTTTCTCACCTCAGAGTTAACCTTGGCTCCGTCAGGCACCCGTTCAGTGAGGGCAGGGCTTAGGGCTTGGTTATGTGAATGAGGAGGCGGGCTTGGCATGGGCTGCATGGCGATTAGCTGGATCTTATTGGACACTCGTCGGGTTCCATCAGATGAACCTCGAGACAGGCGGTCCACATGTTCGAATATGGAAGAGGACGATAACTGTTCATCCACTCCACTGCCTGATGTTGCACCTAAAGTCACAGGGTGAGAGGTCAAAAGTACTTTAACATTCGGTGTGATGAGTATGATGAATGCTTATTAAATTAGCTCATTAATCAGCTCATTGAGAAAGAAAGCAGATTACCAAGTTTGTTCTTTGCTGCAATCCAAAGTGAAATGTAATTGGAAATGATTGAAAAAGCAAAGAGAAAAACGTAAAAGTGAGATATTACTTGTACAAAAACGGTTGTAGCTAGATTTCAATAACTGGCAGAGATATGCTTTGTGTGCATTCCTCCTTCAGCTCATGCTATATTATACTGTATTCCTTCATGATGTAAACTGCAAATACTCTTTGGCCTTGCCATATAAATATGTAATATGTAAAATGTATCCATGTGCATCACCATGCTTGCTCTTGCGGTGGTGAGGTTTGCTGTCGCTGGGTGTAACTGCAGGTCTGGTGCTTTCCTCTGCTGACTCTCTGCCACTTGACACTTCACTGCCCAGTGAGTCACCATCAGAAGGAGACAATCTAAAACATGCATGCGGAAATAATATGACATATGTCTTTCCACAAAACACAATACAGCTGCAACAAATATTCGATAATATACAATAAATTCAATAATGTAAATATTTAAAAATAAAAAAGCCATTTGAACAACCAACATGTTTACCACTTTCATGAAATCGCATACTTCTGTGGAAAAACAAGCATTGCCAACTCTGCACACCGAACTCATTGGAGACTGCAATTTGGCACAGCTTGCGAGGCTTACAGGTGACAGTATTGGTTTTAATTCCAGGTGCAGTCCAAATAAGTTTATTATTTCTCAGGATTTACTAGCTAGCTAGCCTGTTCTCAGTTGCAGCTGTTGCTAAGAATAAATGAATGTGTGCAGATGAGCTAGCTGCAAGCTTTAGGAAAATTACTCACATTGCTCGACGCTAGGGGTGGAATAATACCATTTTTTTCAGACCGAGTACAAGTATGAGTACATATTTTTTGGACTTGCCGATACCAAGTCTGATACCGTACTGAGTAACCTACTTAGAATTCAGTAGTTGTTAGTGTAAATGAGAGCAATGTGTTTTAACATACTAATATTAATAAAGCACTAGTAAGAATTTTTTTCCCACTTCTTTAAGGTGAAACATGGCATGAAATTTTCATATTCTTGTAGTATAATCATGCAATAGAGGTAATATTAAATAGAATATTAAAAATGAAAATAATTGATAGTTGCAGCCCTAAAACACACTCACACCCTCACTAACCTGCCCCTCCGTCGAGCACGTGATGCTTTAGTAGATGAACTCTTAGACTTGGGCGTGTTCAGTTCTCCACCCTCAGAGGGCGTGGCCTCTTTTACAGGCTGTGGTAAAGGTGCAGGCTCTTGGATCACCATGATGTCATCTTTACTGTGCTGTCCAAGGTGAAGCTTGGCAAAGTCGAAACCTTTCACACTGGGAGCCTGAAGCTGAACACACATACACACACAATAAAGTCAAAAGCATGACTACTTTATGCATTCCAAAAGACAAGACGCTCTTTGTACTGAAAACAAACAGTCATATCAACAATATTTATTAAATATTTTTCAACAACAGGGAGAGTCAACTTATAAGGTAGCTTACTGAGTAGTACACTTAGTTTAAAACGCTTGACTGGGTGAAGGAGAATGAACACAGTCAAGTGTCTACTCTACATTTAATGTTGGCAAGTGGCCCAATTCTACACACACACACACACACACACACACACACACATACACACACCACATCACACATACTCACATCAAACACAGCCTTATCCACCTCTCCACCTCCACTAAGTGAAAAAAATTGACCCAGACCTTTTGTCTCTGTTGGATGGTGCTCATGGCGTCTGGTTGGAATTCCAGTTTCTCTGAGCGGCACAGCTTCCAGTAGAGGATGATGACGATGAGGATGACAACCACCACAGGGACCACCACCCCAACAATCAGCCACACATTACTGGGTTGCGTCTCTGAAGGGGGAAGGGCCAGTTTCTCCACCGCTGGGATATACAACACAACGCAAAGACATAAAGTAAAGACTATTCGGATAGGCTTTGTTTTCCATTGTGAGGTTTGGTGATACTAGTTTACCACAGGATGTCTGTAATATTACGACCGATTCGCACGGGATAACAAATCTCGCTGTAAATGACAGAGATGGGAGTGGCTACTCAGTTTACTCACCGCCTTTACATTGGAAAAGAGTAGAAAAAACGTTAAAACAATTCATTTAGCCGTTATTCTGTTTACCCGAAGCATTTCCCTTGCTGCCTCACATGAATGCAGTGTGTCATCAGCATCACCATTAACTCTGAAATTCACGCCAAAGTCAACTTCACCACATAAAATCAATCTTTTTATTTTTTATCTGTAATGTTTAAATGTTCTGTATTATACGTGAGACAGGACAGCAGCGTTACATACAGGCCTGAATTTAGCACAAGCAAGTGCCTCCATACTTAAGAAACTCTGTTTCAACAGGCTATGATAGCATTTTCACTGACATGTTGATTCTCACGAGATTAAGATAACCTGAGGTTATTTCTACTGCTTGTTTTAAAAAAGGTAAAACGCGCCGGAATCTTTACTGACTTGGGAGAGCCGGTGGTAAAAATTACTGATATGACGCAATTGGACAGGACTAAAATCACTGTTAAACGCCGGTAAAAATGACATTACCCCATTCTCCTCATGTAAAACTAATCCTGACCGAACAGGGCTTCAGCGACATTAAGTAAATTTCCAAATGAGTTAAACCCTTATGAAAAAGGTTTATAGTAATACTACAGGAATTCTTACAGGATTCTTATAAAACAGTACATTTGACAGCTACTTTAGTTTACTAATAAAGTCTACACAAGTGTTATAGACTACTATAAAACAATATTACAGGGAGTATTACAGATTATTACGGCTAGAGATGTCCTAATCCAATTCAAAGAATCAGGATTGGAGAAGATTCATGAAAATGTTAATGGGTTCAGTATTGGTTACATTAAACCGTCCAAGCCTCTTTCTTGTTTTTTTTGCGTTCTACTTATGCCACTGTCACAGAAGTGACACAAAGTGGCATTATCGATATATCGACGTATAATGACAATAACAAATCCTTGAGTATTAGCTGATACTGAGCACAAATACTCATGCTAACACTGTTCAACCTAATACTGATATTTATGCATTTCCACTTCTAAATATTTTGATAAAACCTGTGTTTCTTGTCACTAATGTGTGTTTATAGGTATATATATACACATTTAGTATTTATTACTGTATAATTAAGAACCATATTTAACAACTGAAGTAAATGCTAAATATTTTTATATTATAGATAAACCTGTGGTCTTCATACATAAGCATGCCGCAACTTCTTTGGCAAAAACTGTGCTTATCGCTGATACCCAATACTGCATTTAAGTGCCAGTATTGGTGTCAATAACATTAGCATTAATGAGATCAACTCCTTTAGAATGCAGACCTCACCTGGAAACTTCAAATTTTGGGTAATGTTGTCCATTATGTACATTTGAGCCCATGATAAAATTCCAATAGTACTAAGCTATTAACAATGATTAAATGATCACCACTGTTCATGTAATTATTTTTTTACTGAACACAGTATTTATTATTCTTTACATTATATTTTTTGTTATTTCACTGTTTAAGTAAAGCAGTAGACCTCTAGAGTCTGTGGAGACTCAAAGGAAAGAAAAATCAAAAAAGAGATCTCCTTAATATCTCTGTAGTTTCTCCTAGCAAAACTGAAATCAGATGGAAAGACAAAAGAGAAATCTGCCTCCTAAGCCTCTCCTTTTCTCCTGAGCAAAAGAGCCCAACAATCTCATGTCTCCTCTTGAGTAATAAATTCACATACTGTGCTCAGACTTTCCGAGATAATAATACTTATCTTTACCTTAAACTGAACTGTCATTTCTCCATTATCTCTCCTCTATCTCATGCTTCCTTAATGCTATTTATCCAAAGGAGTTTTAAGATAATCACCTGAGCCTTCAAATCAAATTCAAAGCAACATTTCAGCAATAATATTTTCTCTGGGTAAGTGAATGAGGAGTGTAAGGAAGTGTATACTGTGTGTGAGGCTCACGTGTGGCCAGCAGTCCATGCACACGGTAGCCTAGCACGATGGCTGCCCTCTGCAGGTTGAGTCTGTTGAGCATGGCAGCTGTGTTCTGAGCTGACCACCTCTCTCCTGACCCCGCCTCCACAAAATACACTAACTCCAGAGGGTTATCTGCTCCGTCCAACCGTGAAGCTCGTACAATCTGACACACACACACACACACACGCAGGTAGATCGATGTACATTAAGACTTCTGTAAAAAGTAATTACAATCCTGTTTAAAAGACAGAGCCCACCAGACATTTATTTAATTTCCAGTCAAAATGGCCATTATTAAAAATTATTGATTTTTCAGCATCAAAAAAGTAGAAAAAATACATTTAACAGAAAATGACACAGAAGCCTTACCAACATCATCCCTTTGCCTTTATTATAGCATACATTCTTTACAGGAGACTCACTTTTAGTTTTTCAAAGAAATCTGCAGGGATATTTTTCCATACCTCAAAAGCTTCTCACAATCCAAGTAATCTCAATTACAGTATTAGACTCATTAGTCCATAAATCCTCACTCCACATCTTGGATGTCCAGGTTTGGTGTTCTGGTGCAAATTTTCTTTGTTTGTCCATTTCCTTTTCTCAGTAACACCTTCTTGACAGTTACACACCCTTTCAGACCCATACTGCTAAGTTGTCAGGGTTCAACAATAACAATTGCCTGAATGCCTGGGGCTTGTAAAATGCGACGTCAGGACAGCAGCACGAACAATCACTTCATTCCCTCATGGAAACCTCAGTTTTCATGGGTCAATTTTGAGCCCTCTGTACATGAAAGGTTTGTAAAGTTTGTAGGGAATATCCTAACAAGGCAGATAAAAGTGGTTCTTTTTTTAGTCGGAGCTACAACTTTTAGAAAACAGTCACTTGAGTGTCGCGACAAGTCTCTCACATTGCGTGTATAACAGTGAAAAAAGCTGCTAGCACATATGGACCACTGAGCATGTGCATACAACAGAGCACAGTAAAGCAGATTCCAAGTTGACCAAGTTAGCACATCATACACATTGACCAACAGCACATCATACAGTTAAAAGAGACAAACCTTTCACGGACAGGCCACATGACATAGACCTTTAAATTAAAAATGGACCGGAACAGGATTGTACCAACATGTCTTGCAGAAGGTAAGGAAATATTTGCTTTGGTGATACTAGGGTGATCTTATTTATACAAGCATGGTGTGCTTATTTATATTTAATAATATTTTAATAATACTTCAAAATAAACACATTCGTTCAGGACAGTAGAAATTTGGTTCGGGACAGTGAACCTTCAGGTCACTTGGCCGATTAGGCAAGTTGGGAAAAAAGTTAATGTTGAACCCTGGTTGTCTTCTCACAGTAGAAGGATGGACAGAAACATCTATGGATTTTTTCAGATCTGAAGCAAGAGTGGAGCTTGATTTTCTACTAATCACAGATGAAAGCTTTAAGTACTGTTTATCTGATGGGGACAATTCTGGTGGTCATACAGGTCTCTGTTGTTGCTGGTTGATAGCTTTTACTGTTTTTTTTTTTAACTAAAGTTTTTTCCTGTTTCACTCATTTTCATTTCTCCTTCCTTATGCAAGTGGATTGTCTTATATCTAATCTCCTCAAAACCGTCTCCTGAAAAATTAATAACTTGTACTCAATGGCCGTTTTGACTGGAACATAAATGAAGGGTGAATAAGTTTAATAAGTCATAAGTTTCAATGAAGTGTGTTTTTGTGCGTTTGTGTCTGTGTTTATTACCTGCACGCTGTTGTTACCCACAGCGGTGGCCCTTCTCCAGCGTCGGCCACTGCCTAGCCCAAGCCCTTCCCCCACTAACACAGCCAATCGCCTCTCCATCTTAGCCTGGAAGGTCCTCTCATTCACACGCTGATCTAACACACCCAGTAACACTGCAACAAACACACAAGTAATGTGTATACACAGATGATATCAATACATACACAGATAAAATGATAAATGCTTGAACTGATACAAAGACACAGAGAAACAAAACACAAATAAAAATTATAAATACTTCTGCAGTAAAAAAACCTACAAAATACTAATGGCACCAAATACCAAATATGTTTATTACTACAAATGTGTTTCAGATTTAGAAAATGCTTCACATACATGTATAAAACACACTTTTTTGTATCAGATAAAGTATTTTTACAGCATAAAAGTAATCAAATTAAAAGGTAAAAGTCAGATATATGAGCTACCTGAAACACACATATGAACCAGACATACCTGTCTTCACCCAGGACGACCGTAGTAGGTGAGATATATTCAGTTCTGGGTAATGGAACGCTATGAGAAAAGAGCAGAGTAGAGCTAAGCAATTTGTAGGAGTCTATAAACACTGTGTATATTAATCCTCTCTGAGTGAGAACAAGAGCTGTATGCATTTATATGTGTGTAGTCTCACGCTCTGCGATCTGCAGGGTAGGGAATCCCAGGTAGAAGCTGAACTCCACCACATTAAGCTGCCTCAGGTGGGAGCTGATATCTGACCCCTTGAGGTAGCCATGAGAATCTCGGACAGCGAAAGTGATTTCCACTGGAGTCTTCTGTTGCCGCTGGCCTTTTGTCATGCTGACCGTGATGTTCACAATCTATGCCACACAGGTTTCATACCACCAACGCAGGGATAAATGATGAGAATTATACATATAAAAAATGAACAGAGAAATGTAAGGGCACAAAATCTTCATAATGAGCAAAAATCCTTCAAGACTGGAATAAAAAATACAACACACTTCCCTGCTAAAGTGTTTCTGTTGGTTACTGATGGTTTTGTAGTGTGTTTTGGCTTATGTAATGGGTTGATATCACAATGTACAGGATCCTTATGGTTTAACAGGTGACTAATGGCTGATTCTAAATGCATGTGATGGTGTCCTAATGGGATCTAAAGGTGTTCTAAAGGAAACTAGTGGTCTCTATAGGAAACCATTAAGCCAATTCTCATTAGAAAGCATGTAATCTTAATCCTAATGGTTTTTAATTGTCCTTTTTCGGCAGGGTTGTTACTCAAATGCTCTTTCTAACACGTCATTCAATTCTATTGTGGCCTTGAGAACTGCTGAAGTCTAAAGTTTGTTTATAAACACCTAAATATGCATCCTGAATCACTGCTGGCATTAATACAGAACAATGAAATGTCATTTTTGTGAATTCTTTTTTAATTGGCTGCTGAAATGTCTTGTATTTTTATTGTATTTGAAGTGTGGCACTAGTGATAGATATAAAGTGGTGATACCACCTTTATTTTTATGATACTGAAGCCTTGAGTATCTGATAATGCCGATTTCATATTTATGAAATATCATACAACTAATAAGCAAGGTTTGTTAAACGATAAGAACGTATTCATTCTTTTTTCTACTCCGATATCCAATACAGCATTTTTGGTTGAGATCAGCCTGTATTGATACCCAGCAACAAATCTGTGGTATCTCTGAAAATGTCTACAATACCTACAAAGGATATATATACGCACATGTACAGTGAAGTTTCCATTTTCCTGTGACCGCTTGCGCACTTCCGCGTAGGCCATGAGTAGCCCCTTCTCCACACGTTCACTAAAGCTGCACACGCGTACGTCCACATGACTCGGCACAAACTGCAGCACTGCACACCACATTGCACATACACATTATTCTATGTAGCATTAATACAAGAAGGCACTATGATAGAACACAGTTAGCAGAATTAAAATACCTATTAAATTTGGTACAAAACAGACTTATCCACTCACCTGAATGCACCTGATATTTGTAGTCAGGCACTGCATATATGGGTGAGACTGCAAGGATGGTGGAGGAGGAGGTGCTGCGTGCTGACTGGCGTAGTGCATTGATGATTGACACTGCTGTGTATACCAGTGGTCCAGACACTGTCCGGAAGACAAAATTGGGTGGGGCTTTGAGGACCTTAAAAACAGACACATATCACATATCACAGGTCAGGGAGAGATGGAAAGTCTCTCATCATCATCCACAGTGCATACAATGAGCCAGAGACAGAAAGAGAGAAAGAACAATAATATAGATGTTCTCCACATTGCTAAGATATTTGTGTTATAACGAGCACTGAAATGAACTTGCCTGCAGCTCTACTGAGCGGTTGAACTCTCGTCTCAGAATCTCTTTTACATGAGCCTTAGCAAACGGCACAGAGGCCCCACTGGGCATGCCTGCAGAGGTTAGTCAACAAATTTCATCAAACTACTGTTGAACACACAGAATCAAACTGCTAAACTGATGTCCAGAGCGCACTGTATAAACAAGGCTGCCATACAGTTTTTTTAAATCAAATTCAATTCTTCAGTATACCTTTTCCAGAAAAATGAGGGTTAATTTTCCAACGTACAACACACACAAACTCAAATATGGCACGCAATAATGTCTGTTTAGTCCAACAATGGCTGTTAAGGAATGTATATGCTGGATATTAGGGATGCATCATATATTTCGTTACTTGCCGATACCATAAAGAATTAACCTACATACTTTGAATTAAGTAGTTGTTAGTGTAAATGAGTGCAATGTACCTTAAAAGTTAAACCATTGAAATCTAGCTGATTTGAAATGACATGCATTAGCTAGCTATGCTACACTATTTACCTTGGATTGAGTAGTGTTGCAATGGAGAAGAGTGTGTTTTGTTCTACATCAGAAAAGCACTTTTGTACAGCTGTAAGTAAAGTATGTTTCATAGCACCCCTGCTCCTCAGCTGTCTGAATATCAGTTGCTCTTGCAAAATCTAAATCAGATCTGATGTTAATCCAAGGAGCTCACGTTTCATGCTGTTGAAATCTTTTTGGCTGGTTTAACTGTAGTTGAAAATCCTATAAAGCTAGACATACACTGTGCGATTTTAAAAGTCAAGGCCTGGTTCAGTGGTAACTCACTAACATGGTATGAAAATGCTACGTTAAAAACAGTCCCTGCAGACAGCTCTGTCTATGGGCAATTTCAAATAAATCTGTTTCATTCAAAACAACACGCTGTGCACCAAGTACTGAACAAACACGCTGAGAAACTGAGCTACAGCTGCTTGGCTAACCAAACTGTGCACGGTAATGTACAAGGCAGGACAGTACAGTCTCTCTACAGCCTATTTTACAAAGACAATTAAAAAAGTCACCATATTAACATTTATACCTCGCTATTATATTCAGTCAAACAAAGTAAAATCTGTATATACAGACTTTGGTAGCAAATGTCAACGTTTTTCGTCTCCAGTTCGCTGGCCTACGTGTCTCCACTCGTATTGGGGAACTGGCTGTGGTTGTGTTTGTGTGTGTTTAAAAAAATTACACAGTGTAGTGTTTAAAGAGACCGACGACTTTGTGTCCAACCACCAAGAGTCAGTAACTCTGTGTGAGCAGACCCTCCTTCACTGCCAGCTTAAGTCGTATGTTCATTAGCACAGCAGTGTACACTCTTACGTCACACAGTATCAGCTGTACTGGATGTTAGTATCGGTGCCTTTTGTGAGTACAAATAAAAGAGCGCTCCAGTATCGGTATTGATGCATCCCTAATGGATATGGATATATGCTTTCAGAAATAAGTATGACACATATCACAGTCATTAGCGCTCTTCTCAATTTCCCTATCTAGGAACTCTCTGTTTCTTCCACAGTAATTTCAGTATGTTGGACTATGTTATCAGTCCTGCCACCCTGTAGACCTTAATCATCGGTCACTTTCTGACCACAGGACTCTATTCTATTTTGTATTTTCTCACTCTGTTTTGGATATTTTCGGTTGGTGGACTACTCAGAATTTGTTTAATACTTTCTTTTTTCTGCTTTTTCAGCCATTTTTTCTGGCACTTTATAACCTTATAATTTTTACATTTTTGGAAGACTGTTTTTAAGATAAAGTTTTAAAGTCACTCTTCTAATTTAGAAGAAACACAGGGACTCACCCACTCTGACTAGGTACATGTCTGGCTTGGTGATGTTGCAGACATACTGTCGAGGTGCAATGGAGAGAGGGACTCTGGGTGTAGGAGGAATCAGAGGCTTGGTAGAGAGGGTGGTTGTGGTTGTTGTAGTTGTAGTAGTAGTGGGTTTGGTAGTTGTGCGAACTTTTGGAGGAGAGGGGGGTTTGAATGTGACAGCCTGTATAGCCGGACCCTGTGAGATGACCTGTGGGGTTTGAGCTGAGGGCTGGGCACTACCTGCTTTAGGGCTGGGCAAGGACGGGTGAGGAGGTGCTTTTCCTGGAAGAGAGGGGGCACCAGCAGGCTGCTGATGATCCAGAGAGGAGTCAGAGGGTGAGGCAGGTTTTTGCTGTGGTGTGGGTGTAGCTATGGCTATAGGGTGATGGCTGTCCACTTGGTCTGGCGCTTCCGCAGGGCTTGCACCCAGAGAGGTAGAGGGTGGGTGCGTGGGGCGTGCAGGGTGTGTGTGTGTGGCTGTAGGTTTGATGTGGGGATGAGTTGGGTGTGTGTGGTTCCTAGCAGCACTGGCATTCTCTTTGGCCTGCAGAGTGTTGTAGTACTCCATACTGTTCATGTCTGGAAGCAGCATCTCAGTGGGCTCAATAGGGTATAGTTCTGCCCAATCAAAATCCAGATCATCATTACCGTCCTGGGTGGAGTCAGGGACATGGGGCAGGCGGGGATCAGTGGGGTGAGCAGTCCTTAGGTTGGTGCCGTATCCCACGGTTACACTAGGGAGAAGGACTCTAGAGGAAAGGGTGAGAACAGGCCGGGAGGGAAAGGCTGTGTTGTAACTGACCCCAGCGCTAAAATCGTCATCATCATAAGGGTCATATCCATGAGTTGGGAGGGTGGTGACCATAGAAAACTCCTCACCTTCCGAGCCCATGAAGGTTAGAGTCTCCAGATAATCTCCAGAACCCCAGTCCACCTCCACAGAGTGGGCAGGGTACAGGTCCTCAGGTGCAATCAGAGTGGGAGGTGCCGGTGTAGGCGGGCTGTGGCCGTGGAGAGGAGGCATCTGACTGGGTGTCAGGAGGTCTGGTGGGCGTAACAGCAGGTGAATGCCATGTGCGCCATCTCCAAGGTTACCAGACCCCCCATCAGCACCAAGGGATGGGGTGGGAGCTATGCTGGATGTGTTGTCATGGTGAGCAGGGCGAGCAGGATGCTTGGCAGCTGATGCCGGATGAGCTCGGCGTCTGCTGCTCTCAGAGCGCTGTGATGAGGATGATGAAGCTGGAGGTGAGCGAGTCTTTACTGGGAAGTTGCCAAGGTCCCGCTTGGATAGATTTGATGGGAGCTCCACTGAGAAAAAAGAGAGAGAGAGAGAGAGAGAGAGAGAGAGAGAGAGGTGAGCTTGGCATATAAATGAAACTGGAACCAACATTGATCAATACATCTACACAAAGTAGTCAGACTGACTAGGCAGCTAGTCCTACTAATGCAAAACACAGTAACTGAAAAACAGTCTCAGGGCAATGTATGATGACAAAATCTTGGCACTGCCTTTTTTTTAATTTTTAAAAATAACGTGATAACAATCACAGCCTACGGCAGCATTTGCCAGCAAGGAGTCATGCAGGACTAAAGGCGAAGCACACCAATAGTATCATTTTAGATAATTTAGGGACATGCAGCTTGGTTGGCTTTTAATGCCAATAGCGTTTCCGCACTAGTCAGAAAGAGAAGAAATGCCCAGGGAAGGAGAGATGGAGTAAGTAATTTCCTGCTTAAGGAAAAATGGACTGGCTAATATTATATCAAAAGCTTAGTTTAAGTAAGACTATTAGAGATTCTGGCTTCAATTATTACTGAAGAGGCAGTAAAATAAAGGATGGTGATGTAGATGCGAGTTGTTTCAAAGAGTAGCACCATGGCAAATGCTAAAAAAATTGCAAGTTTTACTAATCAAAAGATTAATGCCAAGTCATACCAGTGAAGCTCAAATGAATCAATGTATATTTATTTCCAACATAATGGCCAGGCAAGATAAACAGATTGTCCATGCATGTTAAAACACAATTATTTTTATTTAATTTTTAAAAATGAATAGTATAAGTGACTACATGTTCTAGCATTTTTAGCAATGACGCACTGAAGAAAGATGGTGCATAAAAGCACATGATTTCATGCCTGTCTCAGTGTTTGTCATGGGCCGTACTACACATATCCTATCTGTTATGTGCAATAACAGTATGTGGCTATGCACATTGTCCTCTTCCTCCATGATGATTCACTGAGAGAAAGAAAGAGAGATGATCGACTCTGAGGCTTAGTAGCGAGTTCAGCTCTGTCAGTGGAGCAGGCAGAGTGAAGGAAGCTGGCAGCGGCGTGCACTGTTTGTGGGCCAGTGTGTCATTCTGCCTCAACCTTCAGACAAGAGAGACAGCCAGCCAGCCCCTAACTCACGTATCCGCTATGAGCTGTCAGAATGTTTTTAGACAGCTATTATCAGCCCAGGTCAGGTGGATGTGCCGATAAACACTGGCTTTCCAGCTTTGCTTCATAGTACAATGTTTCCCTCAGGCCTGAAACAAATTCTGGGGGGTGGAGGGGTGTGGAGGAGGTTATTTTAAAGTGAGAATATCTGAATTCATCATAGCATTGTCTACATATTCTTGTAAAGCATCAAATAAGTGACTGTTAAACCTTCTATGTTTTTCATTTGTACATGTGATCTCATGGATTGGCTAAAGTGAAGATTTAGGTTGTGGAAATGTGTCTCACTGTGTTAATAACATGGTTAATAACATGGAGTATTAGGATATTTTCTGTTTTAAATCAGTTCCATTGAGACAAAACTCAAATTGGATGATGCTGAAATGGGATACACTTGGGTGGCCTTTAATATACTGGGGGTGTCTACAGGTGGGAAACCCTGTAGTATCAGCAACATTAGCTCAGCTAAAATCTTTCTGCATCTGTGGTTTGTGAATATGCAGCTTTTCCGATAACTAGGCTAACTACCCTATGTGGTGTTGGCTAGGTCCATAAACAGTGAAAACATTTTTTTCTGACAAACTACCACGTCCATCATCCACTGAGGTGAAAAGACCTTAGAAGATAACAGCTCCTCGTCAGCATCCAACACTGTACCAGTTAGTGTTATCTGATGAGCTCACCTGAAGAGGCAACTTCCAATACTCATAAGACACAAAACCTACTGATTTCACACTGCTCTTTTAAAAAAATAAAACGTGTTTTTAAATATGAACCTCCAGCTGCACTGTGGAAGATCTGGAGACTTTTCTGAGAGAAATGTGTAATTGCATGCAACATGTGGAACATGTGTGCATCACAGGCGGCAGTGGGTAGCGCTGTCGCCTCACAGCAACAAGGGCCTGGGTTCGATTCCCCGGCTGGGCGACCAGGGTCCTTTCTGTGTTCTCCCCGTGTCTGCGTGGGTTTCCTCCCACAGTCCAAAGACATGCAGTCAGGCTAACTGGACATGCTAAATTGCCCCTAGGTGTGAGTGCATGTGTGAATGTATATGCCTGTCTGTCTGTCTGCCCTGAGATGGACTGGTGACCTGTCCAGGGTGTATCCTGCCTTCCACCCAATGACTGCTGCGATAGGCTCCAGCTCCCCCTGTGACCCAGAAGGATAAGCGGCTTAGAAGGTGTGTGTGTGTGTGTGTGTGTGAGCTGTGCTTCCCACCCCTTCCCTAAGTGGATAAATCTGATGACTGCGAAAAAGTATTCAAAGAGAACTCAATCAAAACTTAGAGAAGGATGTAAGTGAATAATCTACTATTGTCATCATGTCTTTAGCAGAACAATGTTGATTTTGCATTAAAACCCAAACATTGCACAGGACCTACTTTCTGAGCCTGTGCATATGATGTTTAAACATACATGTGTATGATGTGGTGCTCTGACCGAACATCTTTGACTTTTAAATTATTAAAATTTAAATTACTTTAGGCTCTTCAGACCAACTCACAGCAGCACATGGACACCATATTTTAGTGTTATTCAATGCTACTTTCTCCAGTGTTAACAAAATATCTTACAAAATGCAGCTTTAAAATTAAGCATACAGGACTACACTAATATTGGTTGCTGATTTTCCCTTTCCTGCGGTTACCCGGATACCCGTTTATGAACTGTCATGGTTACTTGTATATCACAATTAGTCAGAATTCCTTTAAAGGGATGCAATATAACGTACTTCTCTACCATGACTGATGGTATACTTCATGTCAAAATGAGCTTAGCTATAAGGACAGTGGTGCGTGGCTTTGAGACCACAGGATGAACGACTCTTGAGAACACAGAGCAGAATAACTCCAGTAATTAGCTCTCGTCTTACTTAACTCTCAGAGTGTCCCTTGTGGAGATTACAACTCCACCACACATCTGAACAAACACTCACACACACGTACATCACGGTGTGTTAGGGCTCAGTGTTGGAGATGGCTCTGTGGCGTGGTCGGGCAAGGTGTTTCCATGGTAATACTGTGTGAGTATGTGTGTGCGTGTACGTGTTGCAGTAGTGTGTCACGTGCCGACCGCCTCATCAGTATTCCAGAGACACGGTAGATCGAGCTCACAGGCATTTCTCACTCCACCAGCCGGCAGAATCAGTTCTCTCTCTCTTTCTCACACACACATAAATGTACAAAAAAAGGGGGATACAGAAAATACAGGAGTATCTAAGAATAGCACCGCATAATGGTATTATTGCTGTCTGTGGTTCAACTGCTTTCACACTTATCCTTACAAATATAATCAAGACGAGCTATCAGACAGACATACATATACATGTATACTGACTGTAGCCCATCTGTTGTTGGACAATTGATCAGCCCTGCACTAACCCCTCTATCAATAAACAGGCAACTCTGCTGACTAGTTTTCATTTTGGTGGCACACGGTAATGCCATGATAGTGTGTGTTGCGCCAGTATATCATATGATCCTGTTGGCTCTTGTCTGGCATCGACCAGAAGAAAGTGAGTATGATGCATGAGAAGGATCTTTAATTACGCTCTATTCCTTCCTGAGCACATTAATATAAAAAATCACAGAACTGCATTCTCAGCACAGCAGTGACAGTAACATGGTAGCGGCATGTTACCAGGTGTTGCGCTGGATTTGTTGTGTCAGGCTGGGAAACACCCCTAGGTTTTGAATAGTCCACCAACCAAATAAATATTCAGTCAAAAGTGGTCTTCTGGCCACTGACGAAGGACTAGAGGATGACCAACTCAAACTGTTCTTGGAAAAAGATGCATCAATCTACAAAGTGCAGCAACAACATATGAGTGGTCAATGGCCAATAGGTTTATAAACACACAAACATTAGGGATGTGCATTCTGACTAATTTTGGTCTTCAACTATCGATAAGAGTTCATAAACGGATATTAAATTAACTGTGGAGAACAAAAAAATCAACAGCAAACTCTGAAATTAATGTAGAGCTGTGGTTTAACTGGTATTGCACAAAAACCTAGCACAGTGCAGAGGAATACACTTCAAAACAAGTGTTACTATTCAAAAATAGCTGAGGTAAACCACTAGGTTTTCATGTCAGATGAGTAACACAACAGAGGCTCCCTCAGATTAGCTAATGTGCTAAAACTACAGCTAACTGGTAACACTGGATGCTAATGGAGACTCATTGTCTTCTACAGGTGTTTTTACCTCTTCAGTTGATGATGTGGCAACATGTTAGTTTGTCAGAGAAATATATCACTGTTGCTGAAAGAAAACCTTGTATCTCCAAATTGGTAACTTTACAGGAGAAGGAAAAAACCTACTTTACTTTTAATGTAAGTCAATGGAACCAGACTTTTTTCCAAGTCATTCTGGGCCGTTTCTTTTGGTCCATTCTTCGTAAATTTTATGATAAAGGACAAAAGTGGAGATACAAGGTTCTCTTCTGATAGCAGTGATATATTAACCATTTATGGACATCAGCCTACCCTATTTAGCGATAAAATCTACACTGTCTCTGCCCTCTCAGTCACATTCTTGGCAACGCATCCTTTGCAACGCACTTACTTACAGTAGCAAAGTATAACAGATTTATTCACAAATACAAACAAAACTTTTAAGTTTTACAGTTCTGTTGAAATATAAAATCACTGTTTTATTAACCTGTTACTCTGTTTATTTCCACGTGATAAAACACAATGAGTACCGGAACAGAGATTTCAGTATTCAAATACTGGCACCTTGAACAGTTAACCGAGTGCTCTAGCACCTGTGCACATCTCAAAGAAACAAACACACATATAAAAGGGCTGATTACTCTTAATTTCCCTTCTGATGTATCTATAGTACTGTGCAAAAATCAGAGACCACCATTCCTTTATTTAATTTTCCGGTCAAAACAGCTATCAGCTAAATAAAGGTTACTAATTTTTCATCATCGGGAAAAAAATAAAATACATAGAAAATTACACAGAAGCCTCAACAATTAAATACAAAATTAATTTTTTCACTATTCTGTGTGTCCACTTTTGCTTCTACTATTTTGCTTCTTCCATTCTTTTCAGAAGACTTGCTTTAATTTTTTGAAAGCAATCTGCAGTGATATTTGTCCACATTTTTAAAGTTCAGTCCTGGGAGTTGGTTGTATTTTCTGCTTTTCGTTGTCTGAGTAACCCCAAGTACATTTAGCAATGCTGAGGTCTGGACTCTGAAGTGGTCAGAACTTTGTTCTTTCAACACCAGCAGTTTCTCTGCTTGATTTACAAGTTCTTTCAAATTCTTTGCCTATTTCTGTTTCTCAGTCACATCTTCTTGACAGCTTCACATCCTTTCAGACTCATAGCATTGAGCTGTCTTCTCACAGTGGAAGGACAGAAACACTTGTCGGTTTTTTCAGATCTGAAGCAAGAGTGGAGCTTGATTGTCTCCTCTCTCTCAAAGAGGAAAGCTTTAAGTGCTGTCTATCTGATGGGGACAGTTTTGGATGTTAGGGGTGCCCAGTTCTTTATATCTTTATTTAATCATTTTTTAACCCGAGACTTTGGGAACTTATGTTTTTGCTTATTTTTCTTTGACCTTCCCAACTAGAAAATGAATAACTTGTACTTAATGGGTGTTTTGACTGGAAATTAAACAAATGAAAGGTGGTCTCTGACTTCTGCACTGTACTATACGTGTTCGATTGAGAGAAAAGGACAGATGTGGAACCCACTTCTCACTCACCCAATGAGCACTGACCATCACTCACCTGTGACACATTCTCAACCATCTGTGTGTGTATGCACCACACTGAGCCATCTGTGCCTAAGTGTGCGTGTGTGTGTGTGTGTGTGTGTGTGTGTGTGTGTGTGTGTGTGTGGCTGAACAGTCACTGTAAACATGCTCCCTAAGATCACCCCACTAGCTGCCCCTACTGTGTGCTTCCCCACCAAAACCCAGCAGGTCCAGAGGCATTCGCTAAAGGACCAGAGATTTCATCCTTCTCTTACAGCCACTGCGATGTCTGATCTAGAGCCACACAGCCATCTGCCTTCACAAACACTGCTCCATCAGCTGTCTCCCTGCCTGTGTGTTAGTGTGTGCACAAGCTTCAAAACCCGTGCCAATAGTCTCCCTTACAAAACCACTTCATACACTTTATGATGCCTATTTATAAACGCACACTCATAGGCTTAGATGTCAAAATTCAATCTCAGACTTCCTGCTTTGTCTTGTAAGATATGAACACAGTAATCAACTATTGCTACCTCAACTTCTTTGTAAACACTTACACAACCAAAATATCTATGACCCTTAGCAGAGAATATCACACAAATAGGATTTGGAACTGCATTACAGCTTTTTGAGGCTATTACTTCTGCCTTAGCTTAAGGATACTACAAGTAAAAGATATGTTCTGCTGAATTTTAGAACAGTCAAGGTCCTTCTAACTTCATGTACTGGAAAGTGCTGTACAAAGACTTCCAAGCTGAAGTTAAACAAAAAAATGCTGAGCACTTCGGAAAAATAACCATGGATGCAGACGGACACAGGTTTACAACTGTTTCTGGAAGTTACAACCCTGCCTTAGGCTCATATGAAAGTCCTTATCCACCATATCCTCACACCCAACTTCCCTCAATCGGTACACTGCCATTTCCATTTTTGACAGGTATATAACGTTAGTCAACAACTTATCTCATGACTCTTTAATGTGAGCGCTGGTTTAACCGCACTTGTAAACTTCCCGTATCATCTACTATCTGGTGCGGCCCAGAGGAGGGTGGCCTCCCCCACTGAGTCTTGGTTCAGTGATTCTTCCACATGCTCTTTTAAGGACTGCTTATATTTGAGTTTTAGTTCCTCTCAGTGGTTCTTTCTCACGTTTCTCCTTTTAAGTCTTGGTTCCTCATTGCTTTTTCTCATGCTCTTACAGAGTTTTCTCTTAGCCCTTCTCAGTATTTGTTCCTCATACTCTTAGTGTTTCTCCTTTTTGAGTCTTGGTTCTTCTTAGTCTTTCTTCCTCATGCTCTTAAGGACGCCACTGACGGTTCCTATTAGTGGTTCTTTCTCACGATCTAAGAAGTTTTTTCCTTTTAAGTCCTGGTTCTTCTCAATGTTTCTTCCTCATACTCTTAGTGTTTTTCCTTTTGAGTCTTGGTTCTTCTCAGTGTGTGTTCCTCTTGCTTTTAATGACTTTTTTGAATCTTGGTTCCTCTCAGTGGTTCCTTCTCACGCTCTAGGAAGTTTCTCTTGTTAAGTCTTGGTTCCTCCCAACATTTCTTTCTCATGCTCTTATAGAGTTTTTCCTTTTGAGTCTTGGTTCTTCTTAGCATTTCTTCCTCATACTCTCAGTGGTTTTCCTTTTTGAGTCTTGGTTCTCCTCAGTGTTTCTTCCTCATATTCTTATAGAGTTTTCCTGCCACTGTCACCTTCAGTTTGCTCATTAGGAGCCTGGACCTGGATATCTGCAGAGCTGCTCTGTGACAATGTCTCTTGTAAAATGCAGTACATAAATAAAACTGTACTGATCTGCATCAAAACACTGAGACACTGTTCAGAGTCACTGCTCTCAAACCCTTTACGTAAAAAACAAAGGCTCAAATTAATTTGCCAGTTTTTCCCAGGTTTAATCGTTAGCCAGTTCCTAGTAGGCCCATCCCATACTGTCTATTTCTTCCTCATGCTCTATGTGACTTTTTCCTTTTGTGTATAGGTTTTCTAAGTATGTCTTCCTCGTGCTTTTAATGACTTTTTTATGTTTGAGTCTTAGCTCTTCTCAGCATTTCTTCCTAGAGTATTTTTTGAGTCTTTTATGTCTTGGTTCCTTCAGTGTTTCTTCCTCATGCTCTTAAGGTTCTTTATTTTTATGTCTTGGTTCCTTCAGTGTTTCTTCCTCGCGCTCTAGGACGTTTTCCTTTTGAGTCTTGGTTCCTCTCAGTGTTTCTTACTCATATTCTTATACAGTTTTCCGGCCACTGTCACCTTCAGTTCGCTCATTAGGAGCCTGGATCTGGATATCTGCAGAGCTGCTCTGTGAACTGATCTAAATCAAAACACTGAGACACTGTTTACAGACTCACTGCTCTCAAAGCCTTACATAAAAAACAAAGGCTCAAATTAATTTTCCAGGCTAAATCGTTAGCCAGTTCCTAGTAGGCCCATCCCATACTATCACTAACTGCATAAATTCAGATGGATTAAGAGTGACTTTTGTAGAATGTCATAATTTTTCTGTAAGGCACTTCATGAACAGAGGCTTACTTATGTACTACAAAGGAGCGCTCCTATAAACAACATCCATTAACACCCAAACACCGGGCCACTCTGTCCGGTCTTGCATCAATACAATCACTGGAGCCTCGTCAGTCGGTCTTGACGCGTCACTCCGTACCTGACACAGGTGTGCCCGTCGTTGCTATGGAGACCAGCATCACCGTGGAGATGAGGAGCGCGCAGGAGCCAAGCAGCGCCGTCCTCGCGCCCGCGCCGCGCGACCTCTCCATCGCGCTCGTCATTCACGACACGGAGCGCGAGCCGCACGCGATTCCTTCACGACGGCCGACCGCGTTGCCGCGCGACGCGCTTCTCCTCTCGGGCATCTCTGAAAGGAAAGACAAGAAAACCCATTTGTAGTTAAGAAAATTCAAGTTTGGTTATTAAAATCTGTGTTTCTTTCCTTGAACGACTTCTAACTCGCTGGTGTTCACAAGCACATATTAGGTTAACGCGTGAGGCCTCACGGTCTGACGTGAGAACTTCTCAGTGAGTGAGACCCCTCAATAAAATGACGAAGCTTAGGTCAGAATTTCCCCGTTCCACCTTAAATGGTGTAACTGCTGCACCATTTAAGGTGGAACGATAAAATTCGAACAAAAAGGAAGCCAAGTTCAGCCTCGCATTAAAATGCCAGTGAGGCGTTCACCGAGATGTAGGTTACGGTGATAAATCACCGGGAAAAGGCCCCTCGGTCAGACACCCCCACAGAAAACGGTGTGGATTTCTATCGGTGTGACCGTCGATGTAGAAAAGGGTGGAGGGAGGCGTAGCATCCGCATACAGATGCCACAGATAGTGAGAGGGTCACACACAGGCGCATACCCTCACTGACAAACCTCTACCGTTACCGTTCACACAGCACTTAGCAAGAGGCGTTAGCCGCCGAGGAGACTGGCTAGTGAGGAAAAGGCTGACAGGAGGCGTTATTTTTCCGTTAGCTTAACGTACCTGAGGTTTAGAGATGCAGCAGAGGGCCAGACTCATATCACTCCTCTCCGGCTCTGCACTGCCAACTTCGTCCCAGCCCACAGCACCGAACCGGCCGCGAAAAGGGCGCGAAAACGGGACACAAATCGGCGTAACGGTACAGCGAGTACCTCACACACCTAACATAGCCGACAGCCGACGGCTTCCACGGTGAACCTGTAAAAAACCCTGACGCCCCCTTAGCAAACCATGCCAGAGATCCGTTACACTATCCACTGCCCGTGATTCGGTTCGCTCGGCGGAGCCTCCGAGCTCCGGAAGATTCGCGGAGCCTCCATGTACGATGACTCCGGGACGCCGTGGCTGGAAATTAAGGCTCCTGTTTCGTCCGTTAAAAATAAAAGCGGCGGTTTGAAAAATAACGGCTCCTCCGCGCTGGTGTGGTCGCTGCCCGGCACTGGGCCCCGCCCACTTTTAACTTATTCAGAGCGATGTATAGATGAGGGCGCCGCTGCGATTGGCTCACGGCGCTGTCAATCACACACCAAGCGTCTGTAGTTGATTTCGCATGCATCGCTGAAGCAGCACGGCGGCTTGCGGTACACGGTATGTCTACGATCACTGAGATAACATGAATGAGTTTTACAGCCAGAGAACGGCAGCCGGGTCATTTTCTCCAGATGCTTTGTATTGAGAGAACATAGCTGACTGAACAGGAGCTACAGGTCTGGTCCAGCAAGGAATGAAGGTCAGCAAAGAGACTGGTGATGCTCAAACGCACCTTTTTACTTGAATACATTATCTCAGTATGCTAGTTTATAGTTTATGACAGAAAGAAACGCACTGTAGTATATTTTATTCATTCCTTCCTAATAATACATTACTGCCACCTACTGGCCGTGGCTTGACATTACAAGCGAGAGTAAACACTCGTCACACCCACCAGTGGTTACCAGATGGCGAGCATTGCTATTTAAATATTGGCATTTAAATAACGAATAATCATTATATAACAAGCCAGAATACATAATTAAAGCTCAGTGACAAAGATTTCTGCTTCGGCACCCATTTTCACCTTAACAAATTATATTCATGTAAAAAGAGGCACAGCAGGGACATGGTATACGTTTATTAATGAGTGTGGATGCAGACCATAAAAAATAAAGTGCACATCTGAGGAATGAAATGCTATTCAATAGAAACAGAAATAGCCTAACACATTAGGTTGCAAATAAAAGCACGAATAAGAAGAAATATGAAACGATAAGCAGCACTATATATTATATATCACTCTGTATACAGTGGCCCCAAGTATTTGGACATTTGTGCCATACTTAAAAAGGCATCACATTCATCATGTTAGGAGACGGGCCGGATTTGCGAAAGTATCTGAAGAAAGAAAATGTTCTTAAAAGTGTAACTTCAAAACTTCATTCTTAAGAAAAACGTTATGAGGAATTGTTATTCATCAAAAAGAATTCTCTTATTTTCTTTACTGTTTTCTTAAGAATAATTCTAAGAACAAGTGGTATTCTTGAAAATATTACAATCTTAAATATGTTCTCAACCTTAGGTCTCACACTTAGGTCTTAGGCTGTAAGAGCTGACAAGCATCTAAATTTATCTCCGTCGCTGCCTCTGCTGCCCCTCATCCTCGTCTGTCACCTCACAATTATTATATTTTCCTGTGAGGATTTTTTCCTGCTGGCTGTTTCTTCCACCATCACCTCTAGTTCTTGATTGCTAAAATGTTTTAAACACTATGTTTTTCCTCCATTTTGCTCCTCTGAGCAGAATAAACTACATAATGGAAATTACAGTTAACACAAACTCAAAATGTATCTCGTGTCGTTTACGGTACATGGTAAAATGCAATGTAGCCTACATGAGAAAACAATGAAGATCTTAAAATAATTAAGATTATCTTAAGAGAATATCTGAGAACTTCATGAGAACTGCATGTAAGAACATTCTTATGCACTTCTTTTTCTTAAGAAAGCTTTCGTGAATCTGGCCTCAGTATGTCAAATGCAGAGCGGCACTTCTTAAAAACAGATCACTAAAGCATCTTGCAAAAGGGATGTTGACTGTAATGGTTTAAGTGGTTTCTTTGCAGGCTTCTGCAGGTCTGTGTCCAAAACACCTCTGTACACTTCTGAGTTCATGATCGTCGATGAACGCTGACCAGCACCACTGTAATAAAAATAGCCCCAGACTTTGATGTTTCCACCTGAGCACTCTTAGTGCAGTCTGGGTGAAGCTCTTCTCCAGGCTTTCTCCGCATAAAGAGTCTATTTTCAGTTCAATGTTGTCCTAAAAGTGTGTTTTTTTTTAAAACAAATAACATTTCGTTAACTGTATTACCAAGTAATGTAAAGAAGTCAATGTATTCAAACACTTTTTGGGGCCACTGCATGCTTGACTTGTGAAAACTTGAGAATGATAAGAAATCGCAAACGTAATGCATGGTATTCTGAAAGAAATGTTCAGTTTCATTTAACCCATTTATCCAGGTTGTTATAGCCAGTTTCCAATAGTTTGTATTACCTAACGTAATGTCTGTCAGTAACATTAAAAATATTGACCTGGAGCCTGTAGGACTCCCCTTAGCATTGCTAAACAATTCCTTTATCAGTAAAACACTGAGTTTTTACAGAATCTTTGTAATATTAACTGCAGTGAAAGCCCAACAGACTTCAGTGGCCGGTTGCACCAGCTGTGCTCAAGTTCAAACGTTGACTAGTTGTAACATAAGTGTTTACTAAGTTCAGGTTTATGTATTACTAAATCCAAACGAGTTGCACCACACAAACTAGTTTCAATGTTGAGTTTAGTAGTTACTAAACATTTAGACCTCCTCCTCAGCAGGTTTAAGTTTTAGGAAAACCATCAGAAACAACATAGAAAGCACGAAAAACCTTTTTGGTTAACTAAGCTGAAATTTCTATATGTTACACGCTGTGATTTTACTTACAGCTCTAATCATCGGCCTTGGTTTAAACTCCGAGCATGAAGCTAAACACCCACAGCTCCAGCTCAGTGAGACTCAGCAGCTGCACAAACGGCTAAACTGAGGCTGCTGTTGTGTCGGTTATCCAGAAACTGTCGTTTAAAAATCCGCATACTTGGTTTTCTCAGGGAAATATTACAGAATAAACAGACAGTGACTGTAGATAATTCGTTTTATTCAGTTTAACCTGTACCCATCGTTCTCTTCTATGCTGAATATTTTTCCGAGGAAAACTCAGAGCCGTAAGTGCTGTCGCGTTTCCATGGCAGCGGGTTTACTGATTGGTTCTGAGCACGTTATTATCATGTTAAAGCGACGTACGCATCAGTTAGTCGATACTAGTTAAGATACGACATATGGATTTGTGGTGCAACCAAATTTAGTAAAAGGATGGTCTGAAATTAACTAGTGTACCTACGACTAAGTAAAGACTTTACGCACAAACTTAAGTATAAACTTATGCAAACCTGGTGCAACCCAGTCCAGCTGTTTGCCAATAAGACCTTTTGCCTGAGTTGCGTAAAACAAGCTCCATAATCAGTGCTATTGAAATTACAAAATGGAACAAACGCACAGGCTTTGAATCTTGCCGTTAACATGATCGGGTACATTTCATTATTGTTTACTGTCATTTTACACTTTCCTTATTGTTCATAGTTATAATGTATTCACTAGTTATACAACATAAATCAAAACTAGTCACTGATCACTACAAACGAATGTGGGAAATGTCCCGCAAATGTAGTCACATTGACTATTTGGTACTCAGTGCTATATCTGAATATGTTTCCTCAGGTATCTGTGAAGAATATCAGTATGTATATGCGGAAGGGTGTTTGTGTGGACTGCTCGACTGCGCTACTTTGCTCTCCACCTCGCTGATGGAAACAAAGCGTGGCCGCCTGCGGACTCTCCTCTTCGTGTTGTGTTTGGGGTTCCGCTGGTACATATCTGCAATGGAGTGCACAGTGTGCTTTAGACAGAACCACAAAATCAAATGTTGTTCAGAGAATAAATTTTTCTGCAATGTTTAGTGCACAGTTTCTGTTTATTTGCTGAGTGTAACATATTACTACATATTAAAAAAACATTTAAGTGTAATTAATAATTTTTGTACAGGACACCTCCTTGTTTCTACGCTCATTGTCCATTTTATCAGCTCCACTTACTATAAAGGTGCACTTTGTAGTTCTACAGTTACAGACTGTAGTCCATCTGTTTCTCTGCATACTTTTTTAGCCCCCTTTTACCCTGTTCTTCAGTGGTCAGGACCCCCATGGACCCTCACAGGGCAGGTACTATTTGGGTGGTGGATCATTCTCAGCACTGCAGTAACACTGATGTAGTGGTGGTGTGTTAGTGTGTGTTGTGCTGGTCTGAGTGGATCAGACACCGCAGTGCTGCTGGAGTTTTTAAAAAAGTGCAGAAGTGTGTCTGTGTAGAGGATGTGTAACTTATTTTCGGTTGGAAAATCAACAAAAGGGCTGCCCAAACATTTGCCTAAGCCTATTTGCTTTGTCAGCATATATTTGACAATGTTCCAGTAACTTTTTATCACACTACGCTGGACACAAGTTGTGCCTAAACCATGTCTTATTCAATGTTTGTGGTGAGTTGAGGGCCAAGACAAAACACTACACCAATGAAGAAGGTAGGTTTCAAATTGAGTCTTTAAAAAGGTATTTTATAACATTACACTGTATATTATTTTGTTACTTAAACTAAATACTGTAACTTTAGTTTCCTGAAAGTTCCCACAATGCACCGTATAAAACAGAGAGCATCGACTGTTCACTATGCTCCCTGACTGGAAATGCTGGAAATAGCATCACATCTCTAGTTCGACTCTCATAAATGTGTTCTCTCATTTGCCTCTTATAAGGTTTTGGTCTAGCAAGACACTTTGTCACAGTTTATCATTAATTATCAGTTTTCTACTGATTGAAGTGTTCATAGCATTCTGTTAGCTACTTAGCTAACCAGCTGCATTTGTCTCTAATTTAACTTGACTTATACGCTTTGATGTTAAAGGTGCAGTGTGTAAGATTTAGGGGGATCTTTAAACAGAAATGGAATATGGTATACAAAACCATGTTTTCTTTAATGTATAATCACAACTACGAATCACTGTTTTCGTCAGTTTAGAATTAGCCTTTCATATCTACGTAGGGAGCAGGTCTTCTTCCAACAGAGGCCACAATATTGCGCCGCCAGACAGACCAAACATTAGCTCCAGAAAGTGAATTTTGGATTTTTACATTGAAGTGACAGCTTGAATTTGGTGGTGCAACAGCACCGGTTGGGAGACACTGAAAGAAGAAGAATCATTTTGTGTTGTGAGAAGTTTGACAACACAAATTTTGACAAATGGAGAATCAGACTTACTATTCAGCATGAGAAAAAGCAAAGGAGCCTCGTCGTCAAAGAAGCAAAAACAAGACAGCCATCGCTGGTTTTACTATGTGCTTGGAAAGGGAGGGGTGAGGGAGGGGTATTCATATATATTACCACTAAATACCACTAAATCTTACATACTGTACCTTTAATGTTTGCCACTAACTACCTGCACTACTTACAAAATAATATCACATGATACATTTAGCATAATAACATACCAGAACATGCTCGTTTCACAAGAATTGCACTTCATTTACTCATTTTATGAACAAATGACATTAAAGTAGCCTGACCTGCTAACAGGCTGCATTTGCATTTGGAAATATTCAGTTACAGTGTTTAAATCTTGACTGAAAGGATCAGATGGAATTTCTATTCCGTCATCAATTGACTGTGTTTTAGCTACAGCTGCTATGAACTGCTTAGGGAAAATAATGGTTTGCTTGGCACAAGAGATGCTAATGGAAATTAGCATTTATGCTAGCAGTGTTAATCGCCTGAAGAAAGGCTTACTTGCATTAAACATTGCTACGTGTGACTTACTCACTGGATGAAATATTCCATTCATGAAAATGACAGCATGGCATGGAGTCATCAGCGTCCCAGTGTTCCCCCCCTCCATGGACCTAATGCCAGGACCGGTGCCCCTATTCGTATTTACTATGCACTGATTAAATACATACTGAACTAGTGAGCAAATTCGGACAGAACCTAAACTTCACCCATGTCAAGAGCATTAGAGGAGCACCTCTTATTCTCCAGGGTGTATTTTGGTTGTTTTTCCATCTGAATTTAAATGCCCAAATCATAAGACAAATTATTCAGCATGAATACTGCATGAAATAAATGTAAATATTTAATTTAACCATGCAGCAGGATGCGGTGTGCATTTAGAACAACCACAGTAATTAAGAGCAGCATTCAGATTATTCCTTATAAGCTATTATTATCAGTTTATAGATTATCCAGACAAAAAAACAGAAAGATCAGAGGCGGTACATGTGCTATGCAGGCACAGTCACTAGCTGCTTTTACTACTTTTTTTTTAATTTGGTAACCAGGGTTGCCAACTTCAGTGAGGTGACTGGAGTGAGACCTTCAGGTGGCTGGAGTGAGAACAATGCATAAATGCATTTCGCTGTTGTCGGAAGAACCTAAACTTCACCCATGTCAAGAGTATTAGAGGAGCACCTCTTATTCTCCAGGGTGTATTTTGGTTGTTTTTCCATCTGAATTTAAATGTCCAAATCATAAGGAAAATTATTCAGCATGAATACTGCATGAAATAAATGTAAATTTTTATTTTATTTATTTCTTTTTTTTTTGTAAAAGCTCCCCTCAAATTAACAGAATGTGTTTTATGATCATACACATATTGCTATATGCTTACAATTTAAGGGGTCATCTTTCAGCTTCTCCTATTATAAGGGTTTAAAATTACATTACCCATCTATTTGATTGGAAAGAAGACCGTTACAGCTCTCATACAACACCCACCTTTTGAATGTAGCTAATGAAATGTGAAAGTTATGAAGAATATGACGAAGTGCATTTTGGAGCCACTGGTGGTCCCAAGGAGTTAAAAAGGTTAAGCCAAAATGTGAATTATGAATAAGAAACTAGTAGTGGACAGTTATGAGTAGGGGTGTAAATATGTACTGTGAAGCTGCATTTATATCACAAAGCAAATGTGACAATATGCATCATGCAGATATGACACATCATGGGGAAAGGACAATCTGTTAATTATGTCATCTAACGCAGCTGCACTCTTTAAACACTGAAGTTTGTTTAGAGCAAAAACAATCAGCAACAATCAATCCTCACTCCAGCTCTCCTGCAGCCTGTCAGCTCTAGTGTCATTAGTAAGTTGTTCAACAACATAATTATGGTCATCACTTTTCTAGAATCGTGGGCTGTATCGTTACACCCCTAATAATGATCATGCAAATGAAATGACGTTTATCACTGGCTGTTTTCAAAATGTAGTGTTCACTTTTCTATCCATTGTGTAACGTCAGGCGAACACAACTCTTGGGTTTTCTGCGTGTATGCATGTGAAGTTACCTTGGAAACTGACAAAGTAATGCCTGTTGCCCTTTATGACTGTGACCTCTGCTGTGTTGCCTGTCAGAAAAGCTTCTTCCAGATCACGGGACGTTACAGATGTCACACGCTGCTTATCGTCCTGAGGAAGACACACATAAAACCATGCAGCAGGATACGGTGTGCATTTAGAACAACCACAGTAATTAAGAGCAGCATTCAGATTATTCCTTATTAGCTATTATTATTAGCTTATAGATTATCCAGACAAAAAAACAGAAAGATCAGAGGCGGTACATGTGCTATGCAGTCACAGTCCACAGTCACTAGCTGCTTTTACTACTTTTTTTTTTATTTGGTAACCAGGGTTGCCAACTTCAGTGAGATGACTGGAGTGAGAACAATGCATAAATGCATTTCACTGTTGTCGGAAGAAAACTTTGTATCTCCAAAATGGTAACTTTACAGGAGAAGGAAAAAACCTGTTTTACATTTAATGTAAGTCAATGGAACCAGACTTTTTTCCAAGTAATTTTGGGCTGTTTCTTTAGTCCATTCTTCGTGAAATTTTCTTCCGACAGCAGCGATATACTATCTTACACTGTTCAAAAGACTCATTTGAACCACATGAGTCACTAGCATGTAGAGTTATGGCTCTCAAACCGGTCCTCAGAGCTCCTCAGCCAGTCCATATATATATATATATATATATATATATATATATATATATATATATATATATATATATATATATATATATAACACACATGTACCAAGCTAACAAGAGGTTAGGGGGACTGAATAACTGGAACAGTTTAGCAGCTGTTAATCAGGCTGTCTTTAATCTGAGCAAAGGCAGGTAGAGTAACATGCCTTTTAAATGTTTACTTTAAATGATTTTTAATTTAAAAGTAAATTCTGAACTTGAATTTGCTGTTCCACCTTAATGGTGCAGCAGTTAGGTGCTGGAACGTAACTGCTGCACCATTTAAGGTGGAGCGGAAAATTTAAATAAGAAGCTGTTGACTTTTTCGCCTTCAGCTTCGTACATTGACCATGATTTTGATGTCTTTTCTGTAAACGTTGTTCAGTTTCTTTGATCGTTTTGGTTTCTGTTGGTTTCTAAATTCAATTCAAATTTGCGGTTGTTTTAAATATACATACATACACACACACACACACACACACACACACACACACGTATATATATATATATATATATATATATATATATATATATATATATATATATATATATAGAGAGAGAGAGAGAGAGAGAGAGAGAGAGACACAAGTCAGTATGCATTCTTCATCTTAAATTGGATTAGGGATGAATACTGACTTGTTTAGGACTCAAAGATTAGGACTACTGACTTGGGACTCGTCTGTACTGACTCTGGTCTTGAATCGAGACTCAACTATCTTGATTTCGGACTTGACTCGGGACTTGAGTGTCAACACTTAAGACTTACTTGTTACTTGCAACTTAGTGACTTGTTCCCACCTCTGTTCATTTGTAATTGTATTCTTTATTTGAGTGTCCCAATGGCTTTGGTGGCAGGAGATGAATTTAAAGGAACTCAAGAGTTGAGGACCTTAGCATGTGTTACGCTTGCAGAATGGAGGTATCAGAACGACCTTGGAGCAGATAGAACCCCAACGCTGCAACTTTCTAAAGTCGCTCCTCGCTCTAGAACAATCATGTCACTTCAGTCTGTGACACTCTGTCCGTGCTGGTAAAATAACCAAGGCGGAGCTGCTGGAGATATAGGCAATATCTTCTCACTAGTCTATGATGTGAACCAATCAGATGTCACTATCCAGAAAGCTTAAAAATAGTTGTGATGTGAGTCAGTTCTGAGCATGCAGGCTGGCTGGCTTGAGATTTATTTGTGCAGTGTAAGAGCTCGAAAAGAGACCCAAATTCCGTGTCACATAGCAAAACCGTGAATGAAACCCTGGATAACTCGGAAAGAATGCACTCGCAGCACTTCATAAGCTGTCTGAGGTGATGCTGTGTGGTCTCACCGGCTTGCCGTACTCTATCCAGTTCTCGTGGTCTCCTTTGTAGTACCACAACCACTGTGTAGTCAGAATGTAATGGACCGGCTTGGTGACAGAAGACGCTGTGGAGAGACGCCGCACCGGATCACTCACCCGCGTCATCGATAGGAAGTCCACCGGCTTTGAGCCCGGACTGAACCAACAGAGACAGAGGGGAAGGCAAGATGAGACAGGCCCAGAAAGAAGAAAAGAAATAAATATAAAATTAAAAAAAAAAGGAAAGCAGATGTAAGAAAAGATGTTACACACAACTGTACATAGCTCAATTTTCAGAAAGAACAGTTCAGTTCACTCCTACAGATGGAAGTAAATCTGTCATGCTTTCCTGTAAAAGCAGTAAACGTACGCATGCCCACCTGTGTGTGTTCTTGGGGTCACAGTAGGCTCTCTCTATCTCCTCCATCCCCCTCAGATCTCTCCAGCCATCGCCCTCATACACCTCCCATTTGTATGGTAGATTGAAATGCACCCGTTTGCACTGCTCTAAACATGAATCAGCAATATGAGAAGAAAATGACTTAGGAAGAATACAGAGAGGGAGAGAGAGAGAGAGAGAGAGAGAGAGAGAGAGAGAGAGAGAGAGAGAAACAGACCTTGAAACCTGCAATTCCGCCTGATGAAGTGAATACAGATCTCACTCTTCTCTTCTGCCTGTGTAAGAGGTCTCTCTGAAAGGCTTGCTATTCTCTCTGAAACAGACACACAGACATCTTTAATTTCTTTTTGATACAGTTTCACACGGTACATATATTAGAGCTTCTTAGCTCTCCTTAGCCCATTTTTATCAAGCATCTCAGAGTAAGAACACTGATCTAGGTCTCATCAGACCATGTAATGAAATGATTAGCGTCAGCAGAATTATCTCAACAAACAATATAATCTTGATCCAAATTCAGTGACAAACTACCGCATGTGAGCGTTAGAAGCTACAGTTACTCCCGATGGTAATATAATTACTATGTAATCACCAACTGGGCTAGCTTAGTGCTTCAGAAATGAAAAATCCACAGGTGTTTCTGTCCATTCTTCCACTGTGACAGTGAAAGCAAGTGTCCTGAAATGAATGGAAGCTGTAATGAGGGCCAGGGGTGCACACACTAAATACTGAAACGTGATTTTATATTTCGATGTTGAGGCTTTTTTCCAGACATTGAAAAATGTGTTAACTTATACTTAAAGGGGAATTTTCTGGTTTCTTTGCAGTGGTGGTGATAGAAATATAGACATTTATTTACTATCCAAAACCAGTGAACCAGCGAGCCTTCATGTGCCTGGGTTTATATTTTGTTAATAATGATAAAATAGTTCATGTTAATAATGATAAAGGTGAAAAAATAAGTTTTCTTCATGCCTTGCATGTCTAAAAAATAAGTTTTAAGCCAAAATCTACTCAAAACTATTATAAAACAATGTCTAAGGCATCAGGCAGCGTATTCAGAACTACTACATGTAATAACTTGTAGCTTTTAGAGACATTAAACGCTTAAATCATCTGGTTCCTATCACCACCACTGTAAACAATTCTGACACTGCAGGTTTCTTTGGAACGGAGCATTTCACACCAAACCACTCTGAATGACTTTGTGTACATCTTAAACGTTTAATTACAGAGATATTTTGGTGTCTGACCGAAAATAAATGAAGGGTGATCTCTGACCTTTGCACAGTACTATGTGAGGACTGAATTAGTTTGGCTATAATTAAGTGCAGTCTTTTCTACTGTATACATTTTTTAACTAACCATAGATTATTCAGTAATTCCAGTCATCAGACTAAAGCTAATCCCAGATCAGCATTCTTATTCAGAGAAGTTACGGGTCAATATATACCTACTTGTGTAATGAAACAACATTCCATGACCTACCCCTGTCCAGTCCATGGGAGTTGAGGCGGTAAACGTTCTGGTAGAGGTAAGGCAGGTCCTGGATGATGTCGCTGCTGAGGCCCCTTTCCTCCAGCATCCTGCGGCTGTACTCGTCTACGCTGTGGAGCCTCTTGCATTTGGTGCCGAAGATGCAGTCGTCCTGCACAAAGTGCTGACAAATGTGCACCTTAGTGCAGCGCTCCTTAAAGGTGCAGGCCCCGAACAGCCCCGAACCTTTATTGTAGTGAGAGCACACCTGCACACGGACACAGCCCGGTAGTTTGGTGAAGCGTCATGATATTTGCACGGAAAAATACAGAACAGGAAAAAGAAAAAAAAACACACACGCACACATGCACGTCCATTCATACCAATACATACACATACCAAGTGCAAAGGCAAAAGCATAAGGATCACAACTATTAGACAATTTCTCATTCGCTCAAATTCTTTCCAAACCTCAAACCAGAGTGTTCTACTTTACCTCAAGACTTACAGGCCTTTCCTCTCGAAAAATTAAGACATCAACAGGTCTTTTTTCTTTTCTAGTTTTTTTTCTTGTTTTTTTTTTTTTAAACGTCGAGTGTGAACTCCCACTCATTTCCCAGGGTGAAGCTCCTTCACTTTGAAACATCCACCAACATCCGTTCATCTGCAACTCTTCATCCAAGAGGACAACAGACCTTCTTTCTCTTGCACACACCTTGGTTTTGTTTTCCTTCATTTTCTTTCCTTCTTTTTTTCTTTTCTAATTCATCAAATGTCACTGTAACTACAAACTACTTCTAGATTAAATTCAGCCAGATAACTTGGTGGCTGCACCCTTTTCCAATCCTTTCCATTTCATGTAACTGGTACTGACTGACAGACACAGAAACTTGGACATCTTCTTTCATTAAAGCATCTGACGTTTCTTTAGACTCATACAGCCGCGCCAGCTCCAGGCTAAACAAAGGCTAAACATGCTAAATATGCATGTAAATGCTATAAAATGTTATTGGAAAAAAATTTGTCATCTGAGTGCACTGAGACAAAATGCAGAGGAGAGTTTCAAACGGCAGGAGCAGTACCTAGAATGCAGAAATATCCCAGCTTGAAATGAAACTTAAATATTAGGTAAATAAAAGCTCAGACACAAAAAACAGGAAAAATGCAAAAATTAAACAACAATATCACCAGTTACAATGTATGTTTTACACTGGGGAGAATATGTGGTGGACAACTGTCTGACTAACATTCTGGAGTTATTAAAGACACTCCTTTGTCTTTATATTAGGCTGACCTGCCGTACAGGTGTGTCTAACAGGCCAATATACAAATTAAAGGGGAATTCCAGTGATTTTTCCAAATTTCTGCATAATTAAATGGGTAACATGTAAACACAGTGATTCAGAGTGGTCTGACGTTAAATTCTCCGTTCTAGAGAAACTTACCGACTCAGAATTGTTCACAGTGGTGGTGACAGGAAACAGATGTGTGGTGCGTAATGCTTCTAAAAGCTACTTCACGGAAAGTCATTACAAGAATTGCCTGTTTTACAATAGCTCTGAGAAGGTTTTGGCCTAAAATTTATTCATGGTGGAGAAATACATGCAGGGTGCTGTGAGGCAAATTAGTGCCTAATGGAAACAATTTTTTTCAGATTTATCTCTCTCTCACCATGATCAACGTTACCTATAAAAACTCACATAAAAGACCTGTGTGGTTTTGGAAAGTAAATAAAACAGCTACATCCGTGTTGTAAACATCATGACACCTGGTTCCTATCACCACTGTAAAGAAATCAGTCGGTATGTTTTTCTACAATGAACCATTTCACATTAAACCACTCTGAATGACTTTCTTTACATCTCAACCACTAAATTATGGGAAAAGAAATATTGAAAAATCAGTGGAATTCCCCTTTAAGAACAGTTTAAATATAAACTAACATTGCTGTTGGACTCAGAAGTTCGCTGCCTGACTGTAACATGACTAGTATTCTTCACAAATTGCATCAGTTTTCATTGCTACATTTCATTAAAGACCTGTTTCTAAATACAGGGCAGAAACTGGAATGATTACAATATAGTCACAAGTGGCAACCTGTGGGGTCCAAGCACCAATCAGCTCAATAAGGTCTAATAAATCAGACTGGAGGAGGATACATGATAAAATGTGTGTGTGTGTGTGTGTGTGTGTGTGTGTGTGTGTGTGTGTGTTTGTGTGTGATTAATTATTATGTGGCAACTATAGTGGGCAAAAAAGTCAATCAAGTTTCAATAGAACATATAAAAGCCTTCATAAGTTACAGCTGTTTTAGTCAACACTACTCTAATTCAGAAGGAATGACTGGCATGTGGTGACCATGTTCTTTACAAATGTCATTATTTTTGATAATTGTTGAGGTTCAGACATATAATAAATAAGATCTTATTCATTTCTATTAATTACATTAAATTCTGTTTTATTGTGTCAGTGTATTTATCACATTAACGTCCATGTCTAAGATCTCACAGACTCCCAGCCACAGATGGCTGTAGCATCACCGGGGATAGAACTTGGCTCTGGAACTCTGGAGGTTTTGGTGAATTTTGGTTTAGTATAAGTCATGAAATAAGCAGCACCCAGAAATATGTAGGTATGTAGGTATGGGATGGGCCAATGTGTCCGAATAGCGGGAAGGACTACAACTTATTGACCAAGTCCGAGCAAATACAATAAGGATCCAGCACGGTTGGTGCTTGGACCCCTAAAAATAATGGCAACAATTCAAGAACTTCAGTAAAAGCATATGAATCGGATTTTTGTGAAAATACACTAGGAGAAATGTCACTAACAAATAAATAACTACATATTTTCCTTTTCAGCTGCACTTTGCTTTATACATATTTGTTTATGGTTCCGTACCTGACCAGGTACTTCTGCACAGCTCTAGTGAGTCAACTAACTTCTGAGGTCAACAGTGATGTTAAAACAGAAAACTGGCTTTACAAGGTGCAGCAGCCCAAATGATTGGTGGCTAACAGAGTATTTGCTGAGTGTGTGTGTTAACACAGGTGCATGCTGACAGACGTGTGCCCTCACCTCAGGCAGTAGAGAGGGATCATTCTGTAGCAGGAGGAGGAAGAGATCTTCCTCGTGAAGCTCATGAAGGGTGCACTCCCGGAGGAGGGGAGAGTTATGCTCTGACTGAATATTATGAGAGAATCTGCACTCCTTCCTAAATGACCAAAACACAAACAAACACACTCAGCAGCTGTAATTACAACAGATCACCTCCAAATGTGCACTGTGCTAAATCTGGAATGCCTGCGTATAATAAATTTGATCTTATTAATTTATATTAATTACATTAAATTCTGTTTTATTATGTCAGCATATTTACCACATTTAGAGGAAAATTCCATCAATGTTTCAAATTTCTTCATTACATTTGTAAGATACAGACTTCTTCACAGTGGTGGTGATGGGAACCAGACGTCCATCTCTAAAATCTCCCTCACAGAACGTTATTATATGAAATGGCTATACTTTGCCTGATGGCTGAGACTTTGTTTTACGATAGTTTTGTGATATGCTTTTTGCCCAAACTTTATCTGTAAAATGCATGCAGGGTGCAATGCAAGGCAAAATGGTACCCAAAGGAAAACACATAATATATATTATTAGGCCCCTGGTTTCTATGACAACCACTACTGTATAGAAATCTGAGATAGATTTTACTTATTAACAGGACACACCCACTCGAATAACTTCAGACCAATCAAAACCGTTCTTATATTGAGGAGGATTACAGCTATGATTCAAGGTTGTGAAGGTTGAATTAAGGTTGTTTCTGTCTATAAAGCAAAGCACAATATTAAATTACAGGGCCCTTAATCTACACTCTTATATTTAACCTTTTCCCCTGAGGTTCTCTTATAATGCTTGTGTGGTTTCTGTATCAGAAATAGTCAAAATAATTTTCACATGACCATTTTCTGTCCTCTTTTTATCCCTTACAATGACTGTTTTTTGTTACTGTGCCTTTAAGACTGATATAGGTAAATTACCTCTGTTCTGTCCTGTATTGTACCTCATTCAAAAGGAAAATAATCCAGGCTGATATATTCGTTATAACTTCAGTGTGAGTGGGCGGGGCTAAACTGCCATAGGTTTAATATTTAAATGTGTGTTGGCTTACATGACATCATACAAACAATACTGTTTTTGCAGCTTATTGTCCATATATTGACTGAGAAGAAGTGAACGGTACATTTTGAAGTTTGATGTTTACATACTAAAAGCTACAAATATTTGATTTTCCCTGATGTGAGCTCTTTAAAATATCTCACTTTAATTCAGACTGACAGATTGTAGTGAGATGTGATGTGTTGTAACATGGAAAAAAAAATCTCCCATGTCTCCGATACAAGACCAATTAGTTCTACTATTACTGTTAATTATGATTTATGTATTTATACAGAGAAAGAGATGAACATTAGCAAGGCTAAGCTAACTGGACTGACTGAAGAACATCAGTGTGAGTGGGCGGGGCCAAACCGCCTCAGCTTTAATATTTAACTGTGTTGGCTTATATGACATCACAAAAACAATACTGTTTTTGCAGCTTATTTTCCATATACTGACTAAGAAGAAGTGGTACATTGTGAAGTCTGATGCTTACATACTTCATCAAACATATTTCTTTCAATAAAGCTACAAAAAATAGATTATCCATAATATGGTCCCTTTAAAATGCCTCACTTTAATTCATAATTGACAGAGATGTTGTGATGAAAGAAGTTATGAAGAATATGACGAAGTGTGTTTTGGAACCACCGGTGGTCTCAAGGAGTTGAAGAGGTTAAATGTGTGTTGGCTTTTATGGCATCACAAAAACAGTACTGTTTTTTTTCAGCTTATTTTCTATATATCAACTGAGAAGAAGCTGTGCATTGTGAAGTTTGATGCTTACATACTAAATCAAACATTTTTCTTTCAAATAAACCTACAAAAATGTGATTTTCCCTGATATGGCCTTTAAAATGTCTCACTTTGACTCACAACAGACTGAAATGAGAGGTGATGTGTTGTAACATGGAAAAACCCTCCTATGTCTCAGATACAAGGCCAGTTAGTTCTACTGTTACTGTTTATTATGATTTATGTATTTGATGTGAACTATTTATTTCTGAGAAATAGATGAACATTAGCAAAGCTAAGCTAACTGGACTGACTGAAGCACTTCAGTGTGAATGGGCGGGGCTAAACTGCCTCAGGTTTAACATTTAACCTCTTATTCTCCAGGGTATATTTTGGTTTGTCCATCTGAATTTACATGACCAAATCGTAAGGCAAATTATTCAGTAACTGCATGAAATAAATGTAAATTTTTATTTTTTTTTTTTTGTAAAAATTCCCCCACAAATGAACAGAAAACGTGTTTTATGATACACATATTGTTATATGCTTACAATTTACTGCTGAAAGTCAAAAATCCTAGATGCTCTTTGTATTATTTTACAAAAGTAATTTTTACAGACCAGATCACTGAAGAGACGCCATCTGTTTATAGTTTACAGCCCAGATTTGTGGAAAAATGGGTCGACTTTCAGCAGAAAAAAAAATTGAGAGTTCAGCTTCTTTTATTATAAGGGTTTAAAATTACATCACCCATCTATTTGACTGGAAAGAAGACAGTTACAGCTCTCATATGACACCCACCTTCTGAATGTAGCTTATGAAATATGAAAGTTATGAAGAATATGACGAAGTGTGTTTTGGAACCACCGGTGGTCTTCAGCGTTCGAAGAGGTTAAATGTGTGTTGGCGTTTATGGCATCACAAAAACAGTACTGTTTTTTGTTTCAGCTTATTTTCCATATACTGACTGAGAAGAAGCTGTACATTGTGAAGTTTGATGCTTACATACTAAATCAAACATTTTTCTTTCAAATAAATCTACAACAATGTGATTTTCCCTGATATGGCCTTTAAAAATGTCTCACTTTGACTCCCAATGGACTGAAATGAGAGGTGATGTGTTGTAACAGGGAAAACCCCTCCTATGTCTCAGACACAATGCCAGTTAGTTCTAGCATTGCTGTTTATGCTTTATGTATTTAATGTGACCTATTTATCTTCTAGAAAGAGGTGAACAAGCGCTACCTGGACTGACTGAAGAAAACAAGGAAAGCCTGATGACGCTGGAGTTGGTTCCACCTTAAATGGTGCAGCGGTTACATGCAACCATTTAAGGTGGAACGGGGAAACTGTAACAAGCTGACTCTCACCTTCCTTTTCCATATCTGCAGTTGCCATAGACGAAGTATTTGCACAAATGCAGGTCCTGGCAGCCGAAGCACTCCTGCTTGGCGTAGTTCTTACACAGGCGGAGGGACGTTTTGGCCACTATAGTGCAGCCAGCCTCCCCGGTCTCCGCCTTCTGCCCGTTCCGGACAACAACAGCAAACCTCGGGCATTTTTTCACGATGTACCAGAAATCTTCGTCGCTGATGTCGAAGCGCTGGAAGACCTTCCTGTGCAGCTGCGCCAAGTCCATGGAGCCTTTATGGCTGCATAATATACTCGTGGCGTGATGAATCACCCTCGAGTAGCTCGACATTGTCCTCCTCGGCTCTTGCAGGCGGTCTGCTGCTGCAGCTGCTGCCCACAGGACCCACAGGAGGACCTGCGTTCGTTTCTCTGTAAATGAAACAGCCGCGTCTGTGAAACCACCCACATTATGGGACGCTCAACATGGCCGCTTGGAGCGCCTTCAAAATACAGGTCGACCGCTCAGTTATGATGGCCAAGGATTACTGTTGTAATACACACCGGTCAGCCATGGCATTGAAACCACCTCCTTGATTCTACTCTGTCCATTTTATCAGCTCCACTAACTATATAGGTGCACTTTACAGACTGTAGTCCATCTGTTTCTCTGCATACTTTGTTACCCTGTTCTTCAGTGGTCAGGACCCCACAGGACCACCACAGAGCAGGTACTATTTGGGTGGTGGATTATTCTCAGCACTGCAGTGACACTGACGTGGTGGTGGTGTGTTAGTGTGTGTTGTGCTGGTATGAGTGGAGTTTTAAACACTGTGTCCACTCACTGTCCACTTTATTAGACACTCCTACCTTGTTGGCCTGCCTTGTAGATGTAAAGTCAGAGATAATAGCTTATCTGTTGCTGCACAGCTTGTGCTGGTCATCCTCTAGTCCTTCATCAGTGGCTGGATATGTTTGGTCATGGACTATTCTTAGTCCAGCAGTGATGCTCTGCTGTGTCTGATCCACTCGGACTAGAGGCCTGTCAAGCCTGTAACAATAAAAGACCCTTTTTAGTGCTGTATAGAACCCCTGTCAAAAAGGAACCTTTCTGAAGAACCATGCAAAGGGTTCTTTTGATGTCCATGGTTCTAAAGAACCCTTGAAGAACCATCTTTTTTAAGTGTGTAGGCTTAATCTGAGTCCAGGAAAGCGACTCACATGATATAAATAACAGCACTATGGTAATAAACATGTACTTACATGTCAGTGCACAAACAGCCTTGCAGCTGGTGCTTTGTGGATACAGCCAGGCCAGCAGGTGGTGATGCAGGATCACACATGGAGTATACAGTCCCTGCCACTGGTAATACATCATGCAAAAGTTTGGACACACCTGGTCAAATCATGTTCTGTTGGTTTTTAAGTTAACACCTCTTCTACAGAGAAGACACTTACATGTGGCATTTTTCTGTCAAAGTTGGTGCACAATTTCTATTTGCTTGCTGAGTTTATCATATTGCGAAACAATAAAACAAAATATTAAATGTGCCAAACTTTTTGCATAAGTAACTTTTCACATTTTATTTTCCCCAATATGTTAAATTAAGCAAACACACAGTAATTGTGCACTATTAAACTAGTAAATGTGCAGAAGTGAAACAGGCCACGTTAACATGGTAATAGTATCAGAGATAAGTGTACGACATTTGAAGTAACTGCTTAGAAACTCTTGGTTACTGGTAACGACTGAGACTCACCCTGTGCTGAAGAGAAACCACCATTATCAATCAGCTGTAGCCAAGAAACAGGTTTAATCTTTCCCCAAGTGTCCAACTGAAGCTTAAGGTGTAAAATGAACTCAAATCAGTCTCATTCAAACGAATATTTAAGGCCCATATCCAGTTTTCTGTTTATTTGAAAGCTCATATATCGGCATAAACCACAACATCCTCTTTCCTGATGCCTCAGTGAGAAAGTCCTATAATCTATTCCTATTCCTGCACGGAACTGGAACGCTGAAGGAACATTCCACCCAAAAATCAACTGCCATACATGAAAGATGAGATTTAAAAGCCCTTCCTCACATTGAATGACTTAGCTCTGCTTAGTCTTTGTTAGTATAAGAATGACATAACTAAATTTTAAATGAATGTTCTTCAAGTCACAAGCCACAGTTGGGAAATGCAAAAGTACTGATATGTAAGTACACAACAAAAACTGGGCAAAGTCTGTGTACAACAATAAAATCATACAATATCACAGTACAGGACTATAATAAATGAGGGAAAACTGTATTCTTATAGGAAATATTCCTTTGGGAGGTTTTCTAAACTTATGATTTAGCAATTAGAAAGCAGAACCTTCCTGGGAAGTCCATAAGTATTTGGACAGTGACTTTTTATTTTGGCTCTGTGCTCACATACAACATATTGGATCTGAACAGAAACCGTGTGTGTGGAAATGAATGCGCAGGATTTTAAGGTTTAATTTATGTAAGTAGTACATGATACCCAGATTTCAGTTGTTGCTTTACTTGGTTCATAATTCATCCTCACTGATATGTGGGGACTGTCTGTATCCTCAGACTGAAGCTATATTCTCTCAGTGTTTTCATTTAAAATTCAATGTACTGGCACTGAAGCCAAGAAAACAATATTAACCAGCCAAAGACTTGCAGTCCGAATACTTACGGAGGGCACTGAACACAGTCCAACCCAGAAACGCATATAAACAGTGGAATTGTGGGTGAAGTTTGTAAAGTTTAATTAAAATGAAACTATGAACAAAGTCAAGAGACAATAAAAACCCACAGTGTTTTTCTTTTAATCCTAAAAAATATATTACATGATTGACAACAGAACCCGGCTCAGAAAAAAAAAATCTATTTAAAAAAAGGGAACGTAAAAATAAATAACAAAAAGGTTATACACTTTTCTTTTGAAGGATATTCTTTAAGCTGGATATTATCTATCGCAACAATAAGTCCGCTGTTTGAGTGAGTGAGTGAGTGAACAGGCTTTCCGAGATCAAAACATCTGTTCTAGCTATGCTCACATGACGTCAATTAGTCCCAGGAGACAAAACACTGGGAGAGGACCACCATGTTAGAAAAAAGAGCATTGAGGATTTATTTGAGACGTATATGAAGTTTTCAATCATTAGTCACGTTAATGCAGAAAAAAAAAACAATGGCACATATTGGAGTTTCTAATTATTGAAAAGTTAAGTGGTGCTCTGAGGACTGTCATATTCAGGAGACAAAGTTAAATAAATTACTAACAAACATATAAATCTGAATATTATATACAAAGGGAGTTATCAGAACAAAAAAAATCTACAATTCAAATTTTATGTTCAACAAGACAGCGGTGTTACCCTATTTTACAGTGTGTTTGTATATATATGTGTTAGTTTTCTGTATCCGGGATCACAAAACTGGTGGAGGGGAATAAAAAATAAACAGGAGGTGACACTTTGCATCTTCACCAAGTTCAGCTAAACAGACTCTCTCTCACTCTTTCTCTCTTTCTAAAGGAATAATACAGACAAACTCCTCTATGTACAAAATTCAAAACAAAAGGTAACAGATTCTAGCTAAAAACACTGGTTCTGACAACGACAGGGCCTGGAGAACGCAGACTGGCTGTACATGACACTGAGCCTCGTAACAGTTCTCTTTATGGGGAAGAAAGAGGTTAGCCAGATATACTGAGGGTCCGAAAGTAGGCTAAATAGGAATGGCTACTTGAGTGAGAATGTGAGCTCAATAGACAAAAAGTCCAGTAAACTATAACTGCCCGAATGAAACAATTCAAATATGGCTATTAACTGAGACCCGGTAATCTGATCTGCTTCACTGTAGATACAAAACAGGGCTCAGTTGTCATGACAGCCAGGCCGCTATCCACTGACCGGTGTAAACAGACACTTGTTGAAACAGAGAGGCTCCAGATACACCTCTATCCACCATCCCCCTGTTCATCTGCATCTCACCTTTATATCTTTTTTTGTGCATAAATTAATTACCACAACAAAATAAATCCCTCCTTTTCCTTCAGCATCCCTTAAATTCTCAACACAGACAGTGGTTCTTATTGTTTGCCTTGGAGAAACCAAAACGGGTAAGAACCTTGTATTGTTTTGTTTGTAAACAGGCTAATCTGAGAACGTAATCTCCGGCTGGCATTCTGATAAACTGAGCAAGAGGATAAGTGATTATTATAGTATACATAATGTCAGCAAATCGGTGGACTGATATATTATTTTCACTGTACAGGAAACCAGTTGACTGAATCGATCCTTCATGAACCATTGAAAGGACACCATGCTTTGACAAGCATAAGGCAAAGGAAAGTTCCCAAATGCTTTGTCAATGTGATGAGTGGGACCAGTCAGAGAGGAGAGGATTTCGCCAGCCAATTAGACGGCAGGGCAGTGGGCGTGTGCAGCTCAGAAAACTGTACCCAAATTAACTTATGGTGACAGCGTAGAGCTGTAATAGCATATATATGTGCAGTAGGAGAACTTTAGGGCAGGCAGATGCTTGGCTGTGGCTCTTTACTGGGCAAGTTCAGGCCCCTGCATAGCATTCGTTTAGTTGGCAGTATGTTGGAGGGGGACGACAGGAGGAAGACTAGCTGTAGCTGGGCATGCCGGTGCCTCGCATTTGACTTGTATGGAGAGATGCAGTCCAGAAGAACCCAAAAAGAGTGACATCATGCCTTGCACAACAGAACATCCAGGGGGGTGTATAGTGGTTAGAGTACTAACGCTGACGAAAGACTGTGAGTCACCAAATGTCTCTGAAGGGATTCTTAGATTTTTTTTTCTTACTTTTTATACACATTTTTTTAAACAAAAACACTGAAATGTGGTGAGGTGCAACATTTTTTTTAAGATCAATATCGCCAACGCTAAATGGAGGCCGACACCCCTTCTCTCTCTCTCTGCTGGACGAGCCCTGTCATTGACTAAGAGCCATGTCCATCAGGGGGCCCAGCAGATGTCCTTTCAATTCTAATAGTCTCTCCTCCACAGAGCCTCTCCCTCTACGCGTCAGATAGGCAACTCTGAATACTGTCCATCCACAGCTGTGCATTCTGGCTGTCCTGCGCGCAAAAGTTGTACACTCGTTTGGTCGTTTTCAGCTGGGGAAGGAAAGACACAAGAACATCAGATAAACTGGGATTACGCCAAGCAACACACAAGGCATTAATCTTAAATCATGACGATAACCTGAAGTACTTACATCAAAGAAGGCTTTCTCTTCTACATTTTTAGGGGCTCCCATTGCAGGTGTGCCCGGAATGACAGATTCCACCTCAGCCAGTTCAATAACGCCCTTGCATTCTTTATCCTGCCTCGTCTCGTAGTATCTCAACTGAGCAGAAAAGGGAAAAGGCAAGGAAGAGCGCAGAGTGAGTACAAAGCAGCATGATTATTATTTTTAACACTTTTTCTAAAGTTGTTAAATGAATAATCTTAACATTTCCAAGCACTTCAAAAGATAGACCGGTCTAGGTAATGCATGCACCTGATGTTTGGTCTTGTCCAACACAAACCAGCGTGGTTTCCATGGTTTCAGCAGCGCTCCTTTCTTGAACAAGATTCCCTCAAAGCTCCTGATGGAAAAGTGCAAATGACAAACATAAAGCGATGCATATTCAAGTATCATCAAAAAGACAAAGTCAATGTTCTGAATATGTCGCTATACTGTAACTGTAACCTCTAAATATAATACATATTACTCTCATGTGTGTGTTTAACTGCACAACTCTACTGCATGGAATCATGAAGGAATGTGCTCTTAGTCTGGGAAGCGAATACGCACCGGTTCTCACTCTCAGTGCTCTGAAACTGGGAGTAGAGGTTGCTGGTGCTGGGACGGCCAGTGGCAGGTGTGGACGTGGCGCTGGCCTCACAGTCCAAGGCCAGGTTGATGGAGGAGCCCACACCCCTCTCCTGCAGGTACATACCCTGCGAGCGCCTCTGGTGGATTAGGTTAGATGACATTAGGAGCGAGCTGGAGAACGAGTGCTGGGGGACAAAGCAGAGGAACACAGAGTTAAGTACTCAACAGCTCAGCGATTCAACAATTAAGACCAAGATCCTCGATCAACTGCTCATTTTATTTTCCTGATCTAACACACACAACTCCGTTCAAAAAGTGATGGGTGAAATCAGGTCTGTTAATGTAGGAAAAACAAACATATACACTGATTAGGCATAACATTATGACCACCTCCTTGTTTCTATGCTCATTGTCCATTTTATCAGCTCCACTTACTATATAGGTGCACTTTGTAGTTCTACAGTTACAGACTGTAGTCCATCTGTTTCTCTGCATACTTTGTTAGCCCCTGTTCTCAGCACTGCAGTAACACTGATGTGGTGGTAGTGTGTTAATGTGTGTTGTGCTGGTCTGAGTGGATCAGACACAGCAGTGCTGCTGGAGTTTTTAAACACCCCAGTGTCACTGCTGGACTGAGAATAATCCACCTAAAATATCCAGCCAACACTGACATATTTGACACTGAACCAAAAGATGTAAACAAAGGACATACGGACAAAAAAAAGACAACCGTTTGGGAAGATTTTATGTGGTACATTCACACCTCACTGAGCACTTTATTAGGAACACTACACTAATACTGGACCAATAGTAATACAATCACGCCACAGTCAAAATCACTGAGGCTCCTGAGTGGCGCAACCGTCTGAGCGTTGGCCCTGTCATCAGGAGATCGCGAGTTCGATCCCTGGTGATGCTACAGCCATCCGTAGCTGGGAGTCCAAGAGAGCACAATTGGCCTCGCTCTCTCTGGGTGGGTGGGATGGCTGCCCTTCTCCCCCCATCACTCACTAAGCGCGATGCTAGTCAGCGCAGGCGTCTGTTAGCTGACGTAACAGATCTGGCGGTTGGCGCGTTCAGCTGTCCAGTGACGTTGCGTGAGCGGCAGCTCGAAAAGAAAGTGGTGGCTGGCTTCACAGGTCTCGGAGGAAGCCTGTGTTAGCTTTCACCCTCCTAGCGTTGATAGCATCGTGTGATTGGGGGAGTCCTAACTAGCGGGGTGGAATTGGAGAGACTAAATTGGGGAGAAAATCGGGGTAAAAATAAAATAAAAAAAAAAATATATATATATATATATATATCACTGAGGTCACATTTTTCCCCTCCCAGTCTGATGGCTGATGTGACCATTACCTGAAGCTGCTGGCCCATATCTGCATGATTTTATGTACTGCATTGCTGCCACACGATTGGCTAGATTACTGCATGAATGAGTAGGTGTACAGGTGTTTCTAATAAAGTGCTCAGTGAGTGGACATTTGGTGAATAATTACGATACTATCCAACAGATATTCTAAATAACGCTGTAATCTGACTTAATGTGATAAATTTTCACATAGAAAATCACCAAAACGTGTAATTTGACCGGGGGTGTTTAAACTTCTGCATATGACTGTATAATGTAATTGATGTGTGTGATGATGTGTGTATATCAAGTATGTTATAATGGTTTTTAAATGGTCCTCAATCCTGTTTTAAAAGTGAAACTGCCCATTTTGTAATTACAGATTCAGAGCTCATTAGGAGATTTTGAGGACTGTAATGCACCAAAACAGTCAAAACAGTGTCAGAAACTCGTCTGTTGCAGGAACAAAAGAATGGCCCGTATAAACGTCTCTGTCATAATTCAAACAAAGTTTGTTCAGATGCGGACCAAGACTGAACTCCTCAGGGGCTCTGCTTGTTTGGTGCACACCAGGGTTCACATAGCAGCATTCTCACTTGTTCTAACACCCACACTAACAAATGCACCAGGATTCATTTTAATCGAACCAAACCTGACAAGTGTGAACAAGAAGAAGAACAAGAAGGATGAATATGAGAGTCTATACCCGGCTCTCCAGTTTGGTCTCAGTCCTTTGGGTTGTCTTGATCTTGTCCCAGGTGTCTTTCCACTTCTCAGAGACGTGTCCCAGTTCGGCCTCAAGGTTATGTACATCCTACACATCAGCACATGCACAAACAAAAGAAGCAGAATCAGTACTGTATTTAAATATGTCCGTGACACTGGAGCATCGTCATGTTATGTATGGGTGTAAATCTTTGACCACATAATAACCCAGTTTGAGTGTGATTCTTTAGGACATTAGTCAGTGCATCACAAAATCTCAGATTTCTCCACCATGTCATTTGATTATTTTGTTATGATTCAAAACTATTAAAAAAAACTAAATATACAAATGTGTCTGGGTAACTATTTTAAGATAAAGATTAAGTGAGCCTTAATAGTCCCACAACAGAGAAATTTCACCTCCGCAATCTAACCCATCCGTGCAGTTGTGCACTAGTGAAGACACACACTAGGGGCAGTGAGCACAGCTGCTCGGAGTGGCGGGCAGCCCTATCTGCAGCTCTCGGGGAGCAGTTGGGGGTTAGGTGCCTTGCTCAAGGGCACCTCAGTCACATACTGTCAGCTCAGGGGTTCGAACCCGCGACCTTCCGGTTGCAAGGCTGGTTCCCCAGCCTCCAGCCCACGACTGCTCCCTATTTACACAGTGGTGTAACACGGACAATAATAACAAAACTTACTTTTGTTCATGTGTGAAAATAAGTCAAGAATTTTACTTTGGCCAAAAAAATAGCGCTTGCTTAAATGAATGTTAGTAGAACTAACATTAGTATCGGCACAATACCTCTTTTTCTTTTCTCACCATAAATATTAAAACCTTGAGTTTTAGCTTGTACCAATACTGATCCAATATTTTTCCTTAAAAACTACTAAGCTGTAAAATGAGCTATTTTCAGTTGAAGCACTTCACTTAAGATGAGCACCTAAGAGTAGTCTGTCATACTGAACAACTCAAACCCAACTCAAACCCAACTCAAGCGCACTTCAAGCCTGATACTGATACTGATACTGATACTGATACTATCTCTATACCATCTCTATACATAGCTCATTATCACTGACACCTTCGATTGTGCATGATAATGCTTTGTGTTACCACTGACCTGCAGCAGTTTGGTGATGGCATCCGGCAGCACTTTACTCAGACTGTCGTAGCAGGGCCAGACCACGCGCCGCTGCGATTTGGGCGCTGCCGTTTCGGGTCTGTCAGTTGCTGCATCTTCGGTGTGCCCCTCGGGTCTCCCTCGCACCAGCTCCCAGTCATAGGACGGCCCCTCCGACAACGTCTCCTCCGTGTAGAAGTCCCACACCTTCAGGTTCGAGATGAAGCTGTAGGGCTTTAGGACCTGGCAGAAGAAGCAGCGGCAGACAAGGTTAGGGTTGTTCCCAGAGGACACGACTCTCCTATATAAAGGAGTATGGAACAAGGCCTCTACTACCTCCTCTTCCTCTGGAGAGAACATGTAGTTGTAGAAGATGGGAGTCTTCTTGTGCAGGCGGTCGATGTAATCCCATACAGACTTGCAGACTTGAGGGGTTTTCCTCTCTCCCTTCTCCTCATACAAGACCCCTACAGAGAGGGCACATGATACTGAAATGAAACTTAGCACTCATACAACTGACAGTGCACATAAACAAACACAGTAAAACAAAATTATTAATATCTTGATTAAAAGAATACAGTTAGAAGAGCATAAGTCTGGTTCCTGCCTTTTCTGTGCACTCCAGCGACTGCATGGATTTGTTATACTTCATCAGCAGTACCTGCTTTCATTTAATGAAGGACTGATTAAATAAACTAGGTCCTGGATGGTAACTGTAAATACTGGAGTTCGTCAAGGAGAGCTTTGGGAATAAGTTACCACACTCACTATTTTAGGTTACACACACATAATGGATTGTTTATTCATTCATTTGTTCTAATGTTATGAAGAAATAAACACTTACTGCCCAGATAAGCAGCTTTACATATTTTCTCAGATGCTTAAGACTTTGGCACAATACTGTATATAACATAGAAAGCACTCCATGAGCTATTGAATTTGGTTATACAGCTGGAATTACATGGCAACCGAGGTCTCCAAAACAGAAAACAAAAAAGTCATGCCTTTCTTGTAAGTGGCCCCACATTTAACATGAGACCAATAACGACAGGGAAAAACAGAAAAATGAAATGAGAAATCTACACTCCTTATTTAGTATGCAGACAATTTCCTCCTGAGTAATATGAGGCTTATTACACAGCAGAATTTAAGGTTTTGGGTGTGGGAGCATGTGACTCACCGAGCTCAATACGTTCATAGTCGGAGTCCAGCAGGAAGGTCCGGAAGCGATTGGATACATAGTGATAGGCCAGGAACTTGAGGTAGTATTGACTGAACTCAAATTCCATGGGGAACTGAAGATGGATCTGTTGAGAAGGAAGAGGGGCAGGATTTACTGCAACGCAACAAAATCTGCATGACAGAGTGTTTTCACTCTAGAGCTTTTTCCGGACTTAGGGCTGTTCACACTGCGAGTCTGGCATGTTTGGTCAAGTGTGAAAGCTGTTTTCAAGCCGGGGATCTCTGTTTGAGATTTGGTGAAGTGTGAAAGATGTTTTCTAGAACCGATCTCTGGTCGTCCTGAAATCGTGAGCAGGCAGGGCTAAAGTGCTATAAGCTGAATAGACAGATACCTGTAAATGCAGTGTTTTTTGTGACATCACTAAAACAGTGAACTCAAATCAGCCAGCCTAATTTTCATATCGCTGCTGTCGGAACAAAACCTTGTATCTCCATTTTTTTTGCGTTTTTCAGTTTCTGACATAATTTGAAAGTAACCATGGTCCTATACATTGTGTGTGAATTTCATATTGAATGGACCAACAGAAATGACCCAAAATGACCTGGAAAAAGTCTGGTTCCATTGACTTACACTAAAGCAAAGTATGTGTTTTCCTTTTCCTGTAAAGTTACCATTTTGGAGATACAAGGTTTTGATCCAACAACAGCGATATATAGACTAATGTACTGTAGAGTGAACGTACATTTACAGTGTTTACATACTATATCGAGCTCTGTTATTTCAAAGAAGTGAGAAATTTAGTTCCATGATATGAGCCCTTAAAAATTGAATGAGTCTCATCATTTTAACAAGGTTTCATAGATTCTCTTAGGAAGTTCTCACATTTGTCCACACCCAAGCTATCTGCTCCTGGCGCTGCGTTTGGGGTTGCATGACTGGTTCATTTTGTAACATGGCTGCTTTAACGTATCGCCTTCCTTTCCATTTAAAGTTTCGTGATGGTGGGAAAAGGACTGGTGTGGACAAAAAGCGCTGTTCTTTGCCGCTCGAGTGTTTGTATCCAAGGAAAATAATAAAAAGCAGCAAATGGATGAAGCTAGTGCCTACCATTTTGCAAACCTGCCTTCAGAAAGGTGATATCAAACTGCGCATCGATCCACGGTTTGGATGGAATTTTTGTGTGAAAGCAAACGAGTGATAATGGGCCCCTCCCCCAAACGAGCACAGAATCTACATATAGAAATCAAGCTGGCTGATTTGAATTCATTGTTTTAGCAATGTCAAAAAATTCGCATTTAAAGTTTGCCTAAAATCTGCCTGCCTATTCAGTTTGCAGCAGTTTAGCCCTGCCTACTCACAATGAAGTTATAAGTAGTATTTCAGCCCAGACTGCTTTCTGAGGCACAAAAAGGGCCAATCAGAACAGAGCTCATTTAAAGGCACATTAACTAAAACAGCCTGTTTGATTCCAAGTGATAAAGAGAGGTTGGAAAAATGTCATGTAAAAAAGAATTACGACTTTGGTGTTCGAAACCACACAAACCAAAAATGCAAGAAATATGTAGGGCAGAGGCCCATAAAAATACATGGTTAGATTTCTCAGTTTCTTTTTATAGCTAACGCAGCTTTCTTTGTAGTTTGTTCCAGGAACCCCAGAACATAAGCTGGCACTCCTGCAGTCTCTTAGAAATCTACAAACGTCATACCTTCAGTCGTGACGATGCAGAATACTGCTTGACAACAACAGTAACATCTGTTTAGCCTGAAATACTTACATTTTATGACATTTAAACATCTTTATTGCTGTGATAACATCATCATAAACCGTGCATGCGATAAGGAACCAACGCATGTCAACTTATTGGAGAAAACAAACAGACAGATTGCAAACAGACTCCAACAGGAAATGGGAAGCCTTACAGTTAATCACACTTCATCCAAAAGATTACTCACTCCTGTCAATCGTTATGATCGTGCACAGACAGAAACGCACGTCCAGACTCACTCACCTGGTGCACACAGTCGAGAAACTGGAGGAAGACTGGTGTGAAACCACTGCTTTGGCTGGCCAGCGTCTGGGCACCACGGTGACTGAAGCGATGGCCGAAGGACAGCCACTCTTTCTCCACCAGTAGCCGGAAGCCATCAAATGTGCGATAATACGGATCTGACAGAAGCTGCACCAGAGACACCACCTAAACACAGAAAAGTGACATAAGTACCTACACAGTCCTACAAAACTACAAAACCATCACAATGCACTCTACATTAGGAGTCGCACAGCAACAGTACCTGCGTTGTAACGTCCCATCCATCCTCCAGGCTGACCATGACTGAGGAACCAGTGGCCAACAGCTCCACCACAAGAACAGACACCTGTAGAACCTTGTGCAGCTACAACACAAACAAACAGACAAATCTGAACATCACAGAAAGAAAGCATCTGCTGCAAATGGCTACTGAATATATACGGCTGAGCAATGGACACTAAAAGTCACCGCCAAACAAATTCCTTTGCAGTATACAGTTTCTAATATGGTAGCCTGATGCCACTTTTCAGGTTGCACATAAAGTAAGAAGCTACAAAGTTATCCTAAATAAATAAATAAAGTTACATATACAGAAAAAAGAACAGAGCTTCAGATCATTTTTCATTTACTTAGAAAGCTGTATAGCATCAAGAATGAAGATATAATAAAATTAAAACCAGGAATGTTTGGTTTTTCAAAGTGAAGATCAAATCTCATAGCGGAAAACAAGACAAAAATTCAAATCATTTAATAATTTCTCTTAGATCCCAAAGGACTCAAAAAATACTGAACACATCTAAAAACACCTTATGATGTCTAGTTTAAAATATTTAAATCTACATACCACATTGTTTTAACTTGAATGTAATAAAATTCTGACAAATATTTGGACAAATATGACTCAAGATGTGATTCCAACAATCCAAGTGATTGATATATATATATATATATATATATATATATATATATATATATATATATATATATATATATATATATATGTATATATGCGCCACTCACAGATGTTTATATGTTGTATATTTTTGTCTCATTTGTTTAATTTGGTTAACTTGTGTGGAAATCTAATGAAGTTTTAGGTCAAATTTATGCAGAAATAAACTTTTGCGCTGACAGGCTAAGGACCTAATTTCTCATCAGTAAAATATGCTGCTCTCCAGTTCCACAGAATCTGCTAATGACAGGTTAGGTGCTTAGAGATGAGATATTAAAAGTGATATTTGTGTGGAATAATATACTGAGACATGCACTGATGCTCACAGAAAAACTGTAAATGCTTGCTTTTGTAACTGTTGCATACATTCTAACATAACACTGTTAAGATCCGCAAGACACAATAAATATGGGATAAAATATAAATATACCTTCCTGACACTTCAACGAACTAAACTAGGAATAAAGTAACCCACAAAAGGGACACAAACGTGAGTGTTTTGAAAGTGCAAGTTTTACCAGGTTCATCCAGTCAGACTCCTCCAGGCAGCGGTGGAAAGACATGTTGGGATCACTGGAGGGCGAGGAGGGTACACAGGCCTTCATTAGCTTCTTAAAGCTATTCTTCACCTGCCGCACGTCAAACACTTCGATAGGCACCACCTCCCACTGCTGGAAGGAGTCCTGCTTTCCTCCCTGCAGAGACACACACAGCCAGCCTCACAGTTACAACTGGGCACACACATCAACGGATAAAGGATCACCACACAACAATACAGTGATTACAGATGGCAGCGATTCCGAAACTAGGTATCAGTATCGGGCTGATATCAGTAGAAGACTCTGGATAAGATACTGGAAGGGAAAAAAATGAAAGAATGTAATCCAGACCTGTAACAGATCTATCCTGAAACAGTACTCACTCACACTGTGTGATGTCAGTTGTGCATTTCTGTGAGGGTTTGTAATGCTGAAACTGCTCAGTCTACAATTAGATGCTCATCTTAAAGGGGAACAGTCAGGTTTGCCTGTTTTTTTTTAGTGTCAGTAGGTGCTGTGTCGTGCCAGAGGTTTGGAAAAAAGCACTTTGCTGTCAAAGCCAATTCAGAGAAAACAACAGTAGTGATTTTTTTGATGTTTCAAACAGAGAAGAGGACACAGATTCCAACAATCACTGCAGCAGTATGACTCACCCATTCAGTCAGTCATTCAATCCCTATCAAACTTATTCACAACAGAAACGGTGCATCCACAATTAGCGCTAATGCATTTCCTTCCAGCTCACAACAGAAAAGGCAGTGTTACCAAGTGAGCATACAGACCTAACCACAGTAGCAGGTGGAGTTTGGTGTGAGTGACGCAGCAGAGTCACTGCTACAGCTCGCATGTGCTGGCCTTTCATACATACAGCGGTTTCATTGTGGAGTGGAGCAGCAAGAACGTTATAGTCATCCTTTATCCAGCGCGCGATGAAAACAACTCAAAAGAGCATGGCACGTTTGTTTATCCTCAACAACGTTCTGACTTGCGATTCGGCAAAAGTTTCAAGTTTGGAAGACCAACTGAAAAAATCTGTGTAAAGCACGAACATTTAACTAGTTTTAGGACGTAACAGATCTGGCGGTTGGCGCTTTCCTCTGAGCGCGTTCAGATGTCCAATGATGTTGCATTAGCAGCGGTTCAAAAAGATCCAGTGGGTGGCTTCACAGGTCTCAGAAAAAGCCTGAGCTAGCCTTCGCTTGCCTAGGTATCGTGTGATTCCACCCGCTAGTTAGGACTGGATATGACTGAACTGGGGAGAAAACTAGGAAGGAAACTGGGGGAATGAAATTATCATGAATTAAATTGAAGAATGTGCATTTTTTAAAGTTTTTATTTGGTTTTCTGTTAAGTTGTCATGGCTTATTTCAGTGGCTATTGCTGTGTGGCATGCAGAAAAAGACAGCTCCTTGTTCATTTTCTCAATAACCCCCCTTCAGTGTGGAGTGTGGGACGCTCTGCCGCTCAGCCGGTGCGAAAGCACTATCCTATTAACATGAGCGTCGAAATGAAAATCAAGACATTACCCATTACTCAAGCCACACAGTATGTGTGAAATAGGCCTAACAGTCCAAATGAACTCTGGAAGCTGTAAAAACAAGTTTTGTAGGTTCTCTAATAAAAACAATATAGCTTAATATTTCTAGAACCTTCATGAGTTCTGAATGTTTATTTAAAGGAAAACTGATCAAGGCTATCTGACAGCATGACTGCTCCCCTTAAAGTGAAGCGCCTTTTACAGTTCATTCAGTATCTTAAGTTTGGCCGTTATTCAAGGTTTCAGTATTAGTACTGGAACGAAAACACGATATTATGAGAAAGAAAAAGTGGTGTCAGGCCATCTCTAATGCTGTTTAAATGTTAGTGGTAAGCAGTCTACACCAAACTGGAAATTGCACTGTTTTCAATGGAACAGCATCAGAACTGCAGCCGTCAACAGAACATTTAGTAAAAAGCCTGATTTACCCAACAATCCTCTTACTTCAGAAAGCTTTGCTGAGGTTTTTTAAGGTACCTTGAGCTGGGACTTGTCTCCGATGATGTAGAGGTATGCACGTTGTTGCCGGAGGAAGTAAGGTTCGGCAGGGCCGCCATTGGCCTGGGGTGACTCCTTCCCTGCCAGCCGGTTCCCCACGTCCGGATTGTAGGCACTGAGACGGCCGCTGCCCCGGATACTGCCCCACTTCCCTAAATCACAAGCGGAGCCAAAGCATGTTTAATTCACTCTTCCAGTGCTTACCTAAGGGGTTGACCTGAGCACGTCAGTTTGAGTGGAGACAGGAATCACCCAAGTACCTGTAAGATGCTTAACTGTTCTCATCACGGTCATAAGGCACTAGACTAATGGGGGCCCCTAAAATGTATGTTACCCCAGCCCTCTGCCATCCAATATTAAGCATCTTACAGATTATTTGGGTGATTCCTGACGTTTGACTCAATTAGTACAATTGGCTGCAAATCAATCTATGCAATCATCGCATGTCAAATGAATCAAACACAAACAGCATGTCAGACAACAAAGCTCTGTCGGAATTTGATGGGTGACATGCAAAGAGATGCCAGGCTAGACAAACAAAACAGACAAGGTCAACAACAAACAGACACAGTGGCCAAAGAGAAAGTTAGCCCAGGAAAAAAGACAGGGGCGCCAGGCAGGCGCCAGCTTAGACAGGCTAAAATCACTGTTAGAGAGACCTGATTGGTTAGATTGAGCAGAGGCGGGCTCTACTGTACCTCTCGGTGAGCCACGGGCCTTGCCTGAAACTTTAGGCTGAGAGAGGGAGATGACCCTTGCCCTCTGACCCAGCGCTAGGGTCAGAGAACACAGAGAGACCTATTACCATCGGCACACAGACTAGCACAGCTCTGCTATGCTAGGACTTCTATGCTACTACAAAAATGCTAGCACCGCTATGCTAGCAGAGACTTTATCAACTGCAGCCAGCTATTCCAAAGGTAGACCTTCACCCTTACGTCTACCTCTGGCTCTTAAAGGGGAATTTCACAGATTTTTCAAAATGTCTGCATAATTAAAAGGTTAAGAAGTAAAGAAAGTTATTCAGACTGTTTTGATGTGAAACGCTCCGTTCTAGAGAAACTGACAGAGTCAGAACTGTTTGCAATGGTTTTGAAGCAGCTATGTGAAGTTTCTAAACAAAATGGCTGTGAATATGTTGCCTTAGACATTGCCCTATGATAGTTTGGAGTTAAGCTATTTAGGTAAATATCCACCCCCCACCCTCACCCCCAGTAGGTTCACTGGTGGTTTTGGATATTAAATAAAATGGCTATATTTGTTTGGGGACACTGCGACCCCTGGTTCCTATCACCACCACTGTAAAGAAATCTGAGTCTGTAAGTTTCTCTACAGTGAGCCACTGCACATCAAACCACTCGGAGTTACTCTTTTTACATCTCAACCACTGAATTATGCAGAAATTTAAAAAAAATCGGTGGAATTGTCCTTTAAAAGAATTTTTTTTTTCCAGTGGGGTTTCAGATAATTAGAAGATGCTGAGGAATATCTTGGAGGGCTGAAATGTCCATCACAGCATTGGATATTACAGACAGAATATCTATCTAACACACATACAAACAGAAACAGAGACTAATGGCTCTCTCACCTCCTCGACTGAAGGTTCCGGGCAGATCCTCTTTAGTGCCCAAAACCTGCTTCATAAGAGCTCCAATTTTAGGTTGCCTCAGTTTGTCTGATGAGTCTAGAGCACAGAAATAAGATTTATAAGAGCAGATAATATAGAAAACAAGACATTTTATTCATTCTGATGTCGTGCCCATTACGTGATGACTTCTGTATAGAAAAAAAAGGGAATGTGTTCAGCGTCGGATCTCTTCCCTGAACTGACAGTGACCAAATGTACACTACCAGTCAAAAGTGTGAGCACACCTAAACTGACATGCATTAACTAAAAGACATTTTCATCTAAAAGTTAAAATAAAAGCTTAAATGCAACAGAAAGTTGTTTCTAAGATGCAAATAGAGAAGCTGATGTGTAAAAAAACATTTTCAACAAACACGCATCTCCAAAATGTCTTTAACATTTGTAGTTACATCTGAGTTAATGAAAAGACATTTTATTTTTATTTATTTATTTATAAGTCATTTCGCAGCATTTCTATTGGTCCATTTATCATAAAATGTTCACACAATGTAAAGGACAGCTGCTGTGTTCAGATGATGCAGGAAAATAAGAAACAGGAAAAAAGGAGATGTTTTATTTTTTGGACAGCGATTACATGCATCTTCTTCAGTATTGTTGGAAAAGCATCCCAGATGGCTCCTTGTGGAGCAGCTTTAGAGAACACCAAGAATGTGTAAAGCTGTAGTAAGCCAAAGGAGCGTTACCTCCTAAAAGAATCTAAAATAAACACTTTTTTTGTCTTCAATGTTATTCTAAAATGTGGAAACTAGTAAAAAAAAAATAAGGAAAACTTTCTATGGGTAGGCATGTCTATACTTTTGACTGGTACTGCAGGTGACACAGTGATATACATACATACATATATATATATATATATATATACACACTAAAATTACAAAGCAGAGTTAAAACTGCATAAATATTCAAGTGACTCCAAACTGTTTCATAATGCAGTCTGTAGCTATATTAATAAATTCAGTGCATGGCAACAATTTGTCGCAGGGCAATCTCAACCACTATCAAAATGGAAAAAGACTTTAAAAAATTCATTCCTGTGTGTGTCTGACCTGAGGTGCTCATGTGTGTGGATGTGAAGCCACTGAGGGTGTTCCTGCCGCTGGCCTCGTTGTAGGAGGGCATGGAGCTGATGATGGCCTGCAGGTACTTCTCCTGCTCCAGACTAGTTGAATCAGCCTGGGATGGTCCTGAAACACACACACAAACACATACTCCACTTTAAGACTAGCAAACTCTCTTTTGTTTCCAAGGGTGTTCTAATTTTTGGTTCCATTTCTTCTCTTCATTCCATCCTACTTGGTGGTATTAAACCCAAATATTCAGTTACTGCATTCAGATGTATTAAGTTATTCATTTTAAGACCTATTATTCAGTAACTACTATAAATAATTCAGTATCTGTTATTTTTTGTCACAGTACTGCACAAAGGTCAGAGACAACCCTTATTTATTTTCCAGTCATAATGGCCATCAAGTCCAAGGTATTCACTTTTCAGCATGAGGAAGAGAGCAGAAAACATTTTTTCATGCATCCTGTAAACACCAAAAAAGTTCAGTCTTAGAAGTTGGTTGCATTTTCTGCTTCTCACAAATCAATTAATCACCATTACATCAGTTCATAAAACCTTACTGCACATATCAGATGTCTAGTTTCGATGTTCCAGTGCAAATGTTCTTTTTTGTCTATTTTTTTTTCTCGCTAAGGGCTTCTTGGCAGCTACAAATCCTTTCAGACCCATAGCGCTGAGTTGTCTTCTCACAGTGGAAGGATGGACAGAAACACCTGTGGATTTTTTCAGACCTGAAGCAGCTTGATTTTCTCTCATAGAGACAGTCTTGGTGGTCTACCAGCTCTTGTATGGTTGTTAGGAGTCCCAGTTTCTCTTAATCTTTTAATCATTTTTTGAAACTCCTGTTTTTTCCACTTATTTTCCTTTGACTTTCCCTTCCTTACGCAAGTGGATTATCTTCATCAGAAATATCTCATTTGGCCAATACAGATACATATGAGAAAGAATTGTAAAGGCAGCTTAGGTGAGTTTGGGTAGTTGCCTGTGTGAATGTTAGTGTCTGTTTAAAGAGGAACATATCAGTGCTTCCTTTAGGAACAGCTTTGTTTGGATGACTCAGCTAGAACTCAGTTTTAAGACTGAAAGGATGGAAGAGGTAAAGTGGCAGAACGGTGGTACAAAAGTAAAGAGTGGACAAATTAAAAACTGATATATTTTATATATTAATTTCCAGAGGCTTCTGTGTAATTTTCTGTTAATTACAAGCTTCCTTGTTTTTTCTGATTCTGAAAAATTACAGAATGTACTTAACAGCTGGTCTGACTGAAAATGAATACATCCAAGAGTGTTCTCTGACTTTTGCCCAGTGCTGTATAAGAGAAGAATTGAAGTGTCGGCCCACATACAGGACCTTTCAGTTTAAGGGGTTAAATTACACTTTTAATCCTACAAATCCACTGCATGTTTTTCTGCTGTCAGCTATTGGTTAGAAGAGCTGAGGACCATCTGAGACAGTGAAAGCCCTGCTTTTGGTTGTGACTGGGGTTCTGACCTGCAGTAGGGGCGTTGGGGGACTTGAAGAAGCCCACCACTCCCTTGGCATGCAGGCCAGCAGATCGCAGCAGCACAGCTTTTGTGCGTGAATTCCTCCAGCACACCACAGGGAAGCGGTTCTGGCGGTAGCAGCGGGAGATGCGCTGGATAGTGGAGTCCGGGATGCTCTGAGGCACAATTAGCAGGCCTGGGTAGCTGGGGGACAGAAAGGGGGGAGTTAAAAGCAGACTGGCAAACAAATACACAAACAGGTTAAAGGATGGACAAACAAAGGCAATGTACTGCAACATGCTGTTCCACAGTCCAGCCTAAGAAGCTAGAGCATTTATCACTTTGAACCAGGGGTGGTTAATATGTCAAAAACAGCATGTGATAGTACTGGATTCATTTTACAAGGATGTGAACAATATGTATTTTTTGCAAACAAGTTGAAATGGACAAAATGCACAAGAAAAACAGCAGTGCCTAATTAAAAAAATACACTTTTAAATTCAGCAAAGAAAAAAAAACAGGAAGAAAAACTGAAAAACGGTTAAAAAAAAACAACAAATGGATGAAATAATAACAGAATAATGGGCTTGCATAGTTCAAATGAGTTCTTACAGTAAAAAAAAAAAAATTAAACAGAACAATTAAGTATTCAGACCTTAGACATTTACAAGGATTATGTTATGATCCATTTAGAAATAATGTATTATTTGAGATAGTAATAAGCTAAATAGTTACAAAATCATAATTTATAGGGTACTTTTGGTACTACTGGGGGTGTCTGTCAAACTCTAACCCCTAAATTTCAACCTGTGTAAAATTTCGTTTTTTTGTAGTTTTGTCAATGTTTTTGATTTTAAAGACCTTTTCCATTTATTTTAAAGCGAAGTTCACAGATTTAATTGAAAGATTTATCGTCAGTTATTTTTAAAATAAAAAAAAAAAAGTTATTAAAAAAAAAGGCGTGTTCTCATGTTACTTCCAAAACACAAACCGTTTCAGTCTGTAGGCGGTGCTTTAATTTAGCCACACCCCTGCATGGCCACATGGTGAGCAGTTAGAGCCCATTGTTTTGAAGTAAATGTGTCCAAAGGCTGAAAATCAGTGTAGAACATTAAGAAGTGAAATACATATTTTCTGCAATTATGTAAATTTTTTGTGTTTTAAGAAAACATTATGACTGTGTGTGTGTACAGCAGTTCAAAGCTGTGTTTGCTAGTCACGTACTGGCTAACGTTTCTGAGTTACAGTAGGAGTGTCCAAGCATCTGATGTAATAAAATACCCATATTTAAGTTATAGGGTCATTCAAAGCAAAAAGATATTTGTCTAAAATCCAAATAAGTTAAAAGTCGGAAATGTGAACCTGAACCAATTCAGCAGAATGATAATTATACAAGCTTTTGTTCAGTGTTCTAGTAGATAACCATGATAAACTCAGAAGACCACAACGTAATTTATCATCTTAACAACAACAACAACAACATCTTGCCTAACCTAGTTTCATAGCAGATAGCTGAGACTGATGTGTTTGAAACGAACTGCGGAACGTAATCACATTTCCAATGAAAAACAACACTATGACTTATTTAAACAGTCATAGCAGTCAATGACAGAACTGTGTACACGACCTACAGTCCTCAGGAAAAAGACATGAACGACATGCTGTTTGCTGAGCCTCACCTCCTGCAGACGGTGTACATGCGGTTGACGGTGGAGATGCGGAACGGCTCGTTCTTGGAGCGTGTAAGGCTGTTACTGAGCGTACCCAGGCCCAGCCGCTGGTAGTCACGACAACAGGCCCGTTCCACCACGTTGCTCATGGTCTGCCGGTCAGACGAGCGGATGGTGGAGGAAAGCGTGAGCGCGCTCTGCTCTAGCTCCTCAGACACTGGTCAAGCAGAAAGACACGGTTAGAGGAAGACACAGGTATACGACATGTGGCTTGAAGTTTACACTGGAAAAAGTGGCCGATCTAAAATCTTTACGATAAACAGACAAACGCCAATGGTCCATTATCTCAGACAATGTTACTAGCCTAGCTGTTTTTCACGCTGTATCTTTTAGCAGGAAAACAGCAAGTTTGTAAAGAGGTAGCAAGCTGATAGCAAACACGGTGAGTTCAATGAACGCTGAAAATTTTATCTATTAAACATAAACAGTAGAGTTCAAGATGAACTTGAGCTTGATGTTTATCAGTGATTTCCCTATGAATCATTCTATGTAGTACATCCACATTATTGCTATGGGAATTGCACCATTTTTCCAAAAATTTGCATTATTGAATTGTTGAGATTAAACAGTCGTTCAGAGCATTTTGATGTGAAAAAGTTCACTGTAGAGAAAGTTACTGACTCTGATTAGTATAGGAACCAGGGGGATCAATGTCTACAAAGCAAATGTAGCCATTTTATTTGCTATCTAAAACCACCACTGAACATTTAGAGTTTTTATACGAAATGTTAAATCTCAAAACGTTTGTAAAACAAAATCTCAGGCACCAGGCAGCATATTCGTAACCATTTCATGTAATAACTTTCTTTAAGGGAGCTTTCAGTTCTTCACATGACTGGTTCCACTGTGAGAAATTCTGACTCAGCAAGTTGCTCTAGAACGGAGCATTTCACCTCAAACCACTCTGAATGAACTGTGTACATAGTAATCATTTATTTATACAGCAAACAAACTGGTGGGATTCCTGTTTAGGGCTACATTCTCATTACAAGCCTTATTGCTTAGGACTGATTTTTTGAGCAGATTTAATATTTCTGCCTTAATGGTTCATATTTGTGTGTAAATGACCCTTATCTGTCTTTAGTGTGAACAAATCTGAGCTACAGCAACAGCAGCCACAACAATAAATGAATGAACAAGCAACACAAGCTTTCATTGTAAAGTTCTAATTATAGGACTTCTTTTTGGCACTGATTAATCCAGTAAGCTAATAAGTAATTATAGTAAAACTTTTAGTCATACAATGAGCAATTAATTATGCTTCTGATTAACATAATCTCTCTTTCCGCATTCCAAGTCATTTCTTATTTACATGAGCATGAGTGTGTATGAGTTCATATGAAGCTGCGCAATATAATCAAAAGTCAAATATCCTTATTATGATAGCCAGTGCTCCTCACAAACGAAAAAACACAACAGAGCTGAATGAGATCATAACCAGGAAAGAAGCTACTGTTGTATGCATGCATGTGTGGCACCTGAGATCTCGTCCTCGTCCATTTCAGACTGCAGGCTGCTGCGGTTCTCCAAGGCTGGAGGAGAGTACTTCTTCCGGGTCACGTACTGCCGTCCGATGGTCCGCTTAGCGCTCTTCACCAGGTTTTTGGAGAGGGTTCTGAAAAAAAAAAATTACTACTTTAATTACCTTTGCTTTTTAGTGTCCTAGTGTTTTTAGTGTAGGAGCTACTGGTAAAATAAAAAACTCGTAGTATTACCTGCACTTTAAAGGGCTCATATCATGGAAAATGTTCCCCTCACATTTTTTAAAAGAAGGTGTTTGAAGTAATATATAAACATTTTTCGAGTTTCAAAACATGCCATTCACTACTACCCAGTTAATAAAGTCCACCTATAGAAATAAACTAAACTGGAAAAACAGTCTGTTCTGAATGAACTGTTTCAGGACATCACAAGAAATATCAGACATGCATATACAGCAGTTTAGCCCCGCCCACTCACACTGAAGTTATAAGGTGCGTTTCAGCCCTGAGTGCTTTTAAAAGGAGGCCCAATACAGAACAGAGCTTGTTTATCTTATATCTTACATAAATCTTACATAAAAACAGCCTGTTAGATTGTAAGTGACAAAGAGAAACTGGAAATGGTCAGGAGGCCAGAGAGGGCCTCAATGAAAAAAAATAAAATACAAGGAAACTTTTTGTTCTAAATGTATTTCAAAATGTAATAACCTCAGTTATTAATATGAAATAATAATGACTCAACCATGTTTCAAAATCAGTTCAGCAACAGTATAGACAATATAGTCAGTTCAGCAATAAATAGAGACAATATAGTGTCTTATTACTCTGATATTGAAACCAATACACTATTTATGAATGGCTAGTCTTCAAAACAGGGTTGAGTCATTATAATCATACTCAGTTAATAATTAAAGTTATATTTGGACTTGCTTTGTTGTAACAGTAACCACTCAGTAGCAGCCATATAAGGGAAAAAAGTTTAATAAATGAAAGCTGATCAGTTGTTTCATATCACATGTTGTAATGGCCTAGATGAGGGGTGTCAAACTCAACCACTAAAAGGGCCATATTAAAAAATCTCAGCAAATCTGTGGGCCAGAAAACGCCTATATTTTATATTTTATTTCATTTATAACTAACATTTTGCTATACACCAAACAGACTGTTTATTCAAAATACATAAAAACATCAGCAGTAAAATACAGGCACTTGTAGTAGACCTTGAAATATTACATGAATACCTGAAATATTAAAAATTTTAAATGTCCCCAGGATCTCAGTCTTTTAAATCTGACTACTAGACACTGGCATCCTTTCTTTGCTGCAAGTTCATTAATACTTGGGCTCCATTTCTGAGCTGCTGAGCTGACGTTAGGTGTTTATATTGGCTGAACTGCAGTTAGTGTGTTTGGTGATATGACTGAATTGTGTAGAACTGACTTGTAACCGCTGTCCCATAGACTGCTGTTGGAGTAGGAGAGTCGGAGCACACATTATGTCGCAGTGCTTGCTGGGGACTGTAGTGCAGGGCATTGTAAAACAGCTAATATTGATAGAAAATTGAAATACTTCTGCGGGCTGGATAGGATTGTGTTGCCCAGTAAAGACCAGTAAAAAGATGACTTCTACAGTGATTAAAGAGCATTACAGTAATCAAATTACAACAAATATTTGGAATTTTAGTATTAATTACAATCTTTCAATTCCAACAATTTTAAGATGTAAGTCATTTAAGGAGGTTGATTAATTCATCATATTTATACCAGTGGCACCTACATGGCTGCACTATCCACAGTACGTTACCGGCTATGATGCTGGCAGGTCAGTTCGCAACAGGGAGTTCATTTCATCACAAGGCTGCAGTTGTTTCTTCTCTGTATGAACCTACCAAGTAACTCACTCTGGGTTGCTTAATCACTCATCATAACAACGTAAGTATTGTTTGTATTAACAGTAAAAGATTACTGGAGGCACGTCATTTGCTTTAATGTTGCCCTACTTTCAAGATAAAGTAAATCATTTGAATCTGTGTCATTACATCATCTTAATTACTGTGTAAGCCTCATTAAAAGTTCATTTGTGGAACGTTCGTCTTCGTTAACAAGCCAATCAGGCGTGTTGTGACGTGGTAAGGTGGCTCTTAATGGTTCTATTTGGCAGCAGGTCAATATTTCTGTTTGTACTGACTTCATGTGTGTTATTTCATACGTTTGATGGCTTCGCTATTCACCTTAAATGTAGATAACAGAAAAAAATCTTCTACTTCTGCAACTTTTCACTGGTAGCCAGGTCAAGTGCATTAACTGGGGAAAGGAGGAGGTTAGTCTCCGAGGGTAAGGATGAAGAGCAGGTCTGTGTCTTTGTCTGCTCTGACACCAGTACGACTGCAGAGAATGTATACAAGCTGCGTCACATTTTCCAGTGTTACATAATTCAGCATTAGTGCTGTGTTGTGTGTCTCTGTCTCTCTATCTCTCTCTCTCTCTCTAGGCACAGACAAAGCAATCTTACTCACATGACCCACACAGGAAACAGGCTGATGAAGAGGAAAGGAAAAGAGTGAAGGACTACTGCTCACAGCTGAACACAAATCATATCCATACATGCATAACCGTATGCAAAGTTTGGGCGTTTTGTTGACTTTCTAAGGTGAAATAAGTTAGCACACCCTTTTCGGAGAACACGCTTTGGAACCTTTTAATGTAAAATTGCTGTTTATTTGCTGAATTTAATATATTGGAAATAAAACATAAAATGCGAGAAAAGTTGCAACACATAAAATCTTATGTTTTTATTTTTTTCCAAAATGTTCAACTCTAACAAAGAATAGGAATTGTGCACTTAAATTAGCAGAAAAATGCCATTTTTAAGTTTGTTCCCTGTAGAGAATGTGTTAAATTATGTTCACACAGAGAATCAACAAAACACGTCATTTGTCCAGCGTAGTTTAAACATTTGCATACAACTATATGATGCTTATTTCTTCTAAATAACTAACTAGATGTGGTCTAAACCAAAAATGAGGTGAGGTGCTGCTATATTTTAGGAATGCATCAATATGGGAATTGTGGGCTTGAAAATCTCATATTTTTCATGTGCTTATCTGTCAATGGCAAAATAAACATTTACAAAATGCGGAGATTAGGACTAAATCTATCTGGATTCACATTACAAAGAAATATGACATACAAATAGAGTAAAATACATATAGTGTTAATAGTTTAGCACAATAACCCAGCATCACAAACATTCTGCTCTTCTGGAGTGCAATAAATAAAGTATGAAATATTGGTTTGAAATATTCATACCTTTTCGATGCTGACAATTTTTAAGTAATTGTCAACAGTATGAATATGAATCCAATGTCACTGTGCATCCATAGTGTATTATTGATTGCAGTGGGTTGTACTCATCAAGAAGTGCTGATGTCAAACAACGTTGTTTATAATGACATTATGAAAAAGAATAAAAGCTGATTTTCAATGGAAAACACATTTTTAGTTCTTTTTTCAGTTTGGTGAGAAAATCAGATTTGGTCCACTTTTACCTGCTGTGTGAACACAGCCAAAGAGACACTCACTTTAGTGACTGGTTCTTGTCCTTGGCCTTGTGCTCCACCACCAGCTTGGCCGACTGACCCACGGTAAAGGCAAAAGTGCCCTGTACATGCTGTGGGTAGCGGAGTTTGTGCATGTGCTTCCGGAACACCTCAGCCAGGTCTGACGCCACCTCCTCGTCAAACGCTATCTTCATCAGCTGTAGTGGTGGGGGACACAAAGAGAGAAAGAGAGAGAGAGAGAGAGAGAGAGAGAGAGAGAAAAAGAAAGAGAGAGAAAGAGAAGTTGGTTGAACAAAACCCAAGCAAACAATATATAGTGAACCTAAACAAAATAGAAACTAAATAGAAATAAAATTAATCATATAAATATAAAAACACATTATGTTCCACACAAGAAATGTTCATGCAATCCTGTGAACAGAGAAAGTGAGAGAGGCAGAGAGAATGAGAGCTAGGGAGGAATAGAGAGCGAGAGAGAGAGAGCGAGAGAGGCACAGACTGTGAGAGAGACAAAGAAAGAGGCAGAGAGAGGCAGAAGAGAGAGCAAGAGAAATAGAAAGAGGAGGAGAGAGGGACACACACAGACATGTGTTGGCATTGGTGATTTACTGAACAGTACCTGAAAGGTACAGGAACGTAGCTGAAGACCCTCCTGGATGAACTGGTCCATTGGGATGTGAACTGAAATCTTCTTCTCTTTAGTGAGGGAGGCGATGGGGAAGGAGCGCGTCACCACCTGCTCTCCGACTAGATGCACACAGACACAGACACAGACACACACACACACACACACACACACACACACACACATGCATTCCTTAATGTGGTGCTGACTTGAGAACCCATCCTTCCTGCACAGATGTCATGTCCAACAAGTTATGGATGCTACCGACAGTGCGCCTCCACTTCTTAACTTTTAGCCAGGCTTATGCAGGTTTGATACAGTCCTTGGGCCACATTACAGAAAATTCTTAAGTCTGAGATCAGATCATATCCGCTTTGTTGTCATGGCAACTTCAGTTAAGACTGAAGTTAGAACAGAAGCCATTACAGAACAACAGCTCTTAAGTCTATAATCTTATCTTATTTCCAGATAAGAAAACGGTATTACAAAAACATCCTAAGCTGCCAAAATTTATCAGGCGTTTATCAGGAGGAATAACGTTAGTGTGCTCGGCTAAAGCGTCTGGGAAATGAAACTGAAACTGTGGAGCAGCGACGCTCTGAAAAACAGCACAAAGCGCCGTCACAATATTCTTAACTTTCAGTTTATCACGTTTTAGCTTTATTTGGCTTTCTTTACACCAGTAACGGTAGCTAACGTTAGCTGTCTGGCTAACCTGATCACGTGTTTACGTTTCAGTTTTGGGCATATGGTCGATTGCGAGGTAACAGACACGACAGTTGATCGTCGACTTCAACTGAGTTAGTTAAGATTTCCTAACTTGAGATAAGATAAGCTGCTGTAAGATAAGATTTGCTTCTGTATTACAAATGTGTGAAAAATCTTATCTTGACCTGTCAGATCCTAAGTTAAGACAAAAAGATAGAAAGTTTCTGTAATACGGCTCCTGGTCTGATATACATATAATCTCTGGACTGAAAAAAGTTTGTGAAGTTTAGGGCATAACATCTTTAAAACCTATTCAAAAGTTTTCTTTGAAGCATTAAGTAGCCTTCAAGCGAGACAGCCTTCAGAGTTTGCTGACTCAGACTGATTTGTTGCCCCTGGGTTCGACTGGTTACAGCCCTGTTTTAAAAATCATCTGCCCCTACATATCACACAAAAAAGGCGAGTGAGTTATACTGCATGCCATAAAATTAACAAGGCTTATTTAATTTGTTGGGCTGGGTGTGAACAAGAAAGAGAGTCCTCATTCTGAAATGAGTTTGCATGGTTACTGATCCCGATTACTGTGACCTACATTTTTTGAAACGAGGAGAATCTGCCCAGACAAAGAGTCATTTTCATAATTCAGAAACATCTCTCACAGCATGACAGTCCACAAGCGAAAGAATTTTAACGAAGCACAGCTGAGACGCAGATCTTGCAGTCTAAATTAACACAGTGCCAAGCTAGACTAAACTCATCTGGTAATAAGAACTTCAGCTACTGACATGAGGCAATGAGATGTGATGAACATTTTTTTTTAAGTGATAACAGCAATATCCCATACAAACATCCCATGTAAATAAAACTAATGCGTGGCCACACCTTATTAACGCATGGAAACGAGATCCTAATGTGTGGCCACGGCTTAGTAAGGCATGGGAATGAGATAATTAAATTGTAGCCATGATTTAGTAAGGCGTGGAAACAAGATCATGCCTTACCAAGTTGTGGCTACGCATTAGGATCTCGTTCCCATGCCTTACCAAGTCATGGTCACACATTAGGATCTCGTTCCCATGTCTTACTAAGTCACGGTCATGATTAGGATCTCATTCCCACGCCTTACTAAGTCATGGCCATGCATTAGGATCTCGTTCCCATGCCTTACTAAGTTTTGGCTACGCATTAGGATCTCAATCCCACGCCTTACTAAGTCATGGCCATGCATTAGGATCTCGTTCTCACGCCTTACTAAGTTTTGGCTATGCATTAGGATCTCGTTCTCACGCCTTACTAAGTTTTGGCTATGCATTAGGATCTCATTCCCACGCCTAACTAAGTCATGGCCATGCATTAGGATCTCGTTCCCACGCTTTACTAAGTTTTGGCTACGCATTAGGATCTCGTTCTCACGCCTTACTAAGTCATGGTCACACATTAGGATCTCGTTCCCATGCCTTACTAAGTTATGGTCACACATTAGGATCTTGTTCCCGTGCCTTACTAAGTTTTGGCTACGCATTAGGATCTGCCTTAGATGCCTTAGTAAGTCATGGCTACGACTTAATTATCTTGTTCCTACGCCTTATTATGTTGTGGCCACACATTATTTTTATTTATACAGGATGTCACCAGCGGGACAATATGTTAGCAATATGTTCATTAAAGCAGAACAAAAACAGTATAAATGCATGCTGAGTTTTACTGCTGCTCTAATCCGATAAACCTGATTCTCACATTCAGATGCTTCTCAAACTGAATCAGGTTTGTAAAGAATTTCTTGACCTCAGATGTCTCAGCCACACATATACGGAGCGTCTGATACCTATAGCAGGTTACTCTGGCCATAACTGCCGGGATTTTGTCAGCTGCATTTTAACTAGCTATACCCATGTATGTGTGGACACACCATGCAGTGAGTTTCATCAGGAAACAAACTCATCAGGAAATCAGAGTCTGTTTATTATAGCATATCAGCCAAATTGCCCTTTCATGTGAAAGTAGGTGGTTCTTGGCCACGATAAGGGACGAAACGCACTAGACTTCACTTGTGAGACTAGTGAAGAGTAAATAACTGATTTCAATCACGTAGGGATAAAGACCCAGAAGTGGGGATGCTGATATCGGAATCATACCAGCGTCGGACAGATGTTTGGATTTGGCCAATATTTCAAACCGATTCTTGCTGATGTGTGTATTATACTCCAGAGGAGCTGAATGTTTAGGTGATGTCAGGCTACTGCAATAAACATTCATTTTACTGCATCTGTAACCTTTCACAAACAAATCTTACATTTCTCTGTAATGCTAATCCAATTATCCAACAATGTAGCCCTAAATTCTACATTTCATAGGCGCTTATGTATAGGCATCAGATGTCTACATGAGAAATATCGCATCCGCCCATAATTCCCATACTGGTGCATCCCTACCATCTTTTCCTGTATAATCCACTTACAGTGTCTTACTCTTACTGTAATCAATGGAATACTTTGGAAAAAGTGGTTAAAGAAGATGTGAATAAGCATGAGAGCAGAGTAGATACTGATTGAGTAATAACTGAGTACCCAGAGGGTCGATGGACGTGCCCTTGAAGATGATGCGGTATGTGGTGAGGAAAATGGCTCCCTCAGCAGGCAGCAAGGGGGGACCACCCATCACACCCGTGGCCTCCTCACGGCCATCCGAAACGAGGTGGACCCGCATTCCATCCATCACAAACTCCTCGCCTGCCAGCAGTGTGGGCCTCAGGAGCTTGGGCTAGAGAGAGAGAGAGAGAGAGAGAGAGAGAGGGAAGGAGGGAGGGATGGAGAGGGGAAGTAAGGGAAAGAGGGTGGGCGAGAGAGAGGGAGAGAGGGTGGCAAGAGGGAGGTAGGGAGGGAAGCAGAGAGGGAAGGAGAGAGGAAGAGAGAAAGAAGCAGAGAACACCAGGCAGGGAAGGAGAGAAAGGTAGAGGCAGGAAGGGAGAGAGAAAGAAGGAGAGAGGAAGGGAGAAAGGAAAGGAGAGAGGAAGGGAGAAAGGGAAGAGGAGAGAGGGAGAAAGGGAAGGAGAGAGGAAGGGAGAAAGGGAAGAGGAGAGAGGGAGAAAGGGAGAGAGGGAAGGAGAGAGTGAGAGGAGGGAGAGAGGGCGGGAGGGAGAGAGGGCGGGAGAGGAAGAGAGGGCGAGAGGGAAGGAGAGAAAAAAGGGTGGGAAAGAGGGAGAGAGAGAGGATGGGAGGGAGAGAGGGCGGGTGGATGAGAGGGAAGGAGAGCGGGAAGGAGGGAAGGAGAGCGGAAAGGAGGGAAGGAGAGCGGGAAGGAAGGACGGAAGAGGGAGGGGGAGAGGGAGGGAAGGAGGTAGAGACGGAAGGAAGGAGGGAGAGAGGGAAGGAGGAAAAGAGGTGTGTGCATATTGGAGGGGGTAGGAAAGAGAGTAAACGAGGAAAAAAAAACAAAACAAGAAAAACTAGTTGAAAATGTATTAAAAATGACCCATATTTACGATGCTAATTCTATTACACTCACTCAAGTCATGCATCCTATTAATTCTGTCTGAAATAAACCAACCTACCCTTGTCAGGGTAGAGGTGGGCGATATGGTGAAAAAAATCAGACAATATCCAATACATGCTCAGAAAAGCACACTGTGACAGTGTGTCAGTATTTTATCACGATTACAACAAACACTGTCATCTTGCCCAGCCCTATGTCAGGGTAAACATATGCATGTCAGAGTAAATAAGACACATCGAACCCAGAGAGCTCTCAAAACAGACATGCTGAGGCCAACACACAGCAGAAAGGAGAAAATGAATGCATTAATCATTCATAGGCCACAATTCTTCTGCGTTTGCTGACGTCTTTTTAAAGAGTCAGTCTGCCTGCCCCGCGACCTGTACTGCGCCCTCACCAAACATAACGCAGGCAAAGACAAGCAAAACAGAGAAAATGATGCTTTTTCCATGTAAAGATGTTTACTAACTCTGAAATAAAACGTTCTATCCCACACATTCTTCGATAAATGACTGTAACACTATGAGCTATGTGGGGCATTTTTATCTGGGAAAGGTAGGAATTGTTTGTTGTTCCTACATGAATTCGGATCTTTTAAAATAAACCAACAACTGGTGAGTCAATGTTTCAACTATTCAAATTCTTCGGGGAAAAAGACAGATTCTACATCTTTCCCCTTTTCGGTCCCACAGGACATATAAGAAGCTATGTGATGGCGTCCAAACCCATAACACAAACTCCTAAATTAATAATGATCTCTGGATCTCTCGCTATTGTGCAATCACTGCTAATGCTTTACAGGGGATTTCTCTGAGAGAGGCTTCGACCAAGTGTGTACACAATATGTGTATTAGCATTATGTTACACAAATCAAACACATAGTGCTGTGTGCTAATGGGAAACAGTGTTAATGGAGTGCCGTGGATGCACTGCTGTATCAGTAATGATTAATGAATGAGATGTAGTTATGGTCTCCTGCACAGACTGCTTGTGCTGGATTCAGTGAGAAAGTGCCGGCTTACAGCGGCTCCGCCAAGCTTTAGTGCACTCGCCTTCAGTTCTGTTAAAAGCTTTTCAGAGACCTGACACAACAGCACACGAACGTCGATGAGGGGTTATCATGTCTTATCTTCAAAGATCAAGTCATCAGTGAAATGTTAATGTGTCTAACAAATCGCTAAGTGGATGGTGAGGTGAAGAATCAGAACTGTGTGTAGTCTGGAAGGATGTGGTCCAAAGTGTTCATAAAAAAATAAACTCAATACATCATGCTCAAAAGGATACATCACCCAAAAACACCACTTAGATATATCACTTGCATAATGCTAATAGGCTTTGACAGTCTTTTACTCATAATAGAGGAACAGGAGGCCTGTTCTTTAAAAAAAATCGAAAGGGCATATATAAATCTATGATGTGTGGTTGAGTGACATTTTCCAATTTACACGACCAAATGCTCACTATCGCAACACAGTAAGACATAAAGAAAATGTGTATATTTAAGCAATAGAACACTCGAGGTTGTGTGTTAACGCGAAATAACATCACGGCTGTGATGATCTAAGGTGACCAAAGCTGTTATTTGCGATAACACACGACCTCGAGTGTTCTATTGCTTTTATACAGCATTGAAATAAATAAAGTAAGAAATAAATAAATTGGACCGTGAACGTGGCATTTAATATGTTTTAATGTTCGCAGTTCCTTCAGCCAAATTATAGTTCCTTAACAAGCAGCTTGTTGCTACGTCAGAGTATCGAACTCCGCTCACTCACTGCCCAGTCTGCTGTGAGCCTCACCTTTTGAAGTGTGGACTGAGCCATAAAACTGGGACAATATCAAGTTTAGCTCAGTTTTGTCAGTTTTTGCCAGATCAATATTAATGTTGTTTTGTTCCAGCCGGTCTGTAAAGCATCTTACAGCCCATTGTGTTTGGCGAATGGTGTTGGGTTCATTTCAGTTTGGGAATTTAGTGTCGGCTCATCTTCAGAGTCTGACCAAATCGGCTGTTGGTCAAACGTGATCTTACAAGTGTCCATTTTCTGTTTGTGGCAAAGTAAGAAGTAAAAGTGCTCAAATGCCTTGAGCTTCTCCTACAGCTGTCAGAGCCGTTGCTTAGCTATGACGTCTCAGCAGACTGATACAGTGTTTGTGAAAAAAACTGTGATGTTACGGCGAAATAACAGCACAATTAGAACGCTTCTCAACCAATCAGCTTGCATGGCCAGAACTAACTGCTGTGTAAAATTTAATAAATAATGCAATTGCAATTTTATTAAATGCCGTATCACATTGACAGACATTCGGGGTTTTCTTTTTACTTGTGTCACAAACCATTTTGTTGTTTTGGTTCATTTCCTTAAAAATTATAAGGAAAGCATTAATGTTAAGAGACATAACAGATAAGTCTGTTAAAATATTTTGTTATAACTAAAAAAAGCAAAATAAATAAAAAAATACATACACACACACACACATATATATATATATATATATATATATATAGATATATATATATATATATATATATATATATATATATATATAGATATATATAGATATATATATATACACATACACACAGTTTCAAGTAAAAGGTCTCCCCATTCAGTAAGATAGGCGCCTGATCTTGTATGACTGGAAATAACTGTCTGGAGGCGTTGCCAAGATGGCCACCGAGTGGACAGACTGTTCTATAGTTTATAGTTTGTTCTATTATTAGCAACGATGGCACTTTTGGGTGAGGTATCGTCTTAAAACGATGAGTTTTAGAAAAAGAACATTGGATCAGTGTACTGCTCATTCCAGCATGGTGCCGGGTGGAGAGGGGGAAGGACTACAAAGACCAGCATGCACCACTCAGTGTACCATCAGTCAGACGTACCTGGCGTGGCACTCTGATTCTGTGATGGTGGGGGTGAGGTAGGGCGTGGGAGTGGGCGTGGGCATGGGCCGGCCTGCCTGGTGTTCTAGCTTGTCTTTGGAGTCCAGCCCAATGTAAAAATATGAGTTGGTTACCTTTTGGATGGGAGGCAGTCTCTTGCTCTCTCTATAGACTGCGTCCAACGTCTCGATGTGCATCTGAACGATATCTACACAGAAAGAGACAGATGGGTAACATCCAAGTCCTTAGTGTCAATACTGTAGTTCTACAGTTACAGACTGTAGTCCATCTGTTTCTCTGCATACTTTGTTGGCCACCTTTTACCCTGTTCTTTAGTGGTCAGGACCCCATGGACCCTCACAGAGCAGGTACTATTTGGGTGGTGGATCATTCTCAGCACTGGAGTTTTTAACAAAGTATGCAGAGAAACAGATGGACTACAGTCTGTAACTGTAGAACTACAAAGTGCCCCTATATAGTAAGTGGAGCTGATAAAATGAATAATGAGCGTAGAAACAAGGAGGTGGTCATAATGTTATGCCTGATCGGTGTATGTGCATAGTCAGAAGACATTTACATAAATCAGCAAAGTCTCAGGCAAGTGTGTGATTACTGATGTACTTTGCAAAGCAAAGAGGCAAACTTCAGACAACAAACGTGTCCACTTACATAAGGGGAAAACTGTGTAAATTAGATTACACTATCCAATAAGCGAAAAGATAGGGAACATCTCTATTGGGGAGTCTCCCCGTCTGCTTATGCAGCCTTATCCTTGTTGTTCTCTGTGAAACACCTCAGTAATGTGATTCTGGGAACGGTCTCTACCTGGTATCATGATGTGAAGGGCTTTCAGGTGTTCGTTGGTCACCCCGCTTTCATTGCACACTTTGTCTACGAAGCGGTTGATGAAGCGCACCACGGAGTTGGCCACGTCGGAGCTCTCTGCATCCTCGAATCCGCTCTCAGTGTCGTAGCTCTCCGCCATGCTGCCTGCAATGCTACACACACAGAAACAGAGATATCAGTGATAAAGGCTTAGTGTGGCTGCATATTTGAGTTGTAGGGTATCTGTATGTGTGTTGTGCTATGAATGGGTGTTTAGGCCTGTGAGTGCTCATGCTATCCACACTTCCTGGCCTACTAGCATGTTTATTAGTTTATGGGCATATCAAAAATGTGTTGAGACGGGCTGAAAGATTTAAAATGTGGCATTTTCAAACTGTAAGCCTATATTATCAAACAAGCCTGGACCTTACAAAGGAAATCCACCAATGTTTTCAAACTCTGCACATATTACAGCCGTTAAGATGCAAACAAAGTCATTCAAAGTGGTTTGATGTGAAGCAGTTCACTGAAGTGAAAGCTGCCAACCTGGATTTCATTTGAGTGGTGGTGAACCAGGGGTCGTGATGTCTACAATGCAAATATCACCATTTTATTTACTATCCAAAACAACCAGTGAACTTACACGCCTTCCAAGATTTTATTTGTAATTTTGATTTAAAAAAAAATCTTAAAATCTAAAAAGAAATCTAAAAAATGTGTTCTCTGGGGGACTATTTTGCCTTACAACACCCTGCATGTATCTCTCTCATCAGTATTAAATGCTTCAGATATGTGGTTTCCATCACCACCACTTTGAACAATTCTGACTCAGCAAGTTTCTCTAAAACAGAGCATTTCACATCAAACATCAAACTAAGTTGAATGACTCTGTTTATTTCTTAACCAATTTATTATGCAGAAATTCCACAGAAAAAAATCGGTGGAATTTTCAATTCGTTTACAGAAAACAATCCTAATTTGAATCGTAGTTACAATACTGGTCAGAAAAATCACAGTTAAACATTTTCCACAAATCATCAAGCCCTAGTCTTGTGTACTTCAGAGAGAAAGTTTGAATTAAACAGAATGAAAAGCATTTTTGTGTAGATCTGACAGTAAAGTTATCAGATCTCTAACGATAACAGGACACTGAATAAATGGGAACCAGAACTTACACATTATAAAGGACATAAAATTTATTCGGTAAGGAAGTAAACCAGAACAGGAAAGATAAATGATTGACTGCGTTCTGGAGAATAATCATTATTTAAACAAGAAACAAGGAAGCATTAATATTACATTATTAATCCTTTATCACAAGTTTCTTATTGAGACCGTATGTATGTCTATGTAGCCGTTGTCTGAAATGTAAGAAAGTATTTCTATTATGTTTCCTAAAACCTGTCAATGAGCAGCAACTGCAGGTCTAGATTGGACAATTTAGTTAAAACTAAAATTTAGTTACATTTTATTTTACTGATGTCTGGGTATTGGGATGGAACCAGAGTAAAAAAAATAAAAAAGTCAGTGATGTCATCCATCCCCATCCTCCGTACCTGTTAGTGACATAGCTGTTGCTAACGCTCTCCACCTCGGCCAGGCCAGTGGTGCGCAGCAGGCGGTTCTTGCTGGTGTCGAGCGGCAGGAGCAGGTAGCTCATGCGGTTAGCGTAGTGGATGGCCTGGCTGAAGACCGTGCTCTCCTCCTTCTGCACACGTTCCTGCTGACTCTCCTTACTCAGTGTGGGCCATAGACGTGTCTGCTCGGACGCAAGCTCCAGAGCGCCCAGCTGCTTCGACCCACTCGTACCCTCCTCATCCTCACAAAGAAAGAGAGGGGCACAGGTCAGAGGACAAGACTGAAGGGATTCTCCAGTCAAAATGCTAATTATAACAGTGACAAAAAGGGTCAGGTACCCTTATGCTAATCCATCATGTTAAACATTACCCACCAGGTTTAAGTAAACATGAGCGTTATTAGTATGCAAGCGAGAGAAAAAAAAAACAGGAGTGAAATATGTAAAGTGGAAATTACAATAAAAATCATATCCAAAAATCACGTCATTACAGTTTATGTTGTTAGTTTAACCAAACTGATGGGTTTAATCATTTATAAAAGTTAAAATGTTTAAAAAAGGAACTTGTTTTAATAGTATTAGCTGATTATTAGTCAGAACTGATGCATTTTCTATTCTGCAGGATGCTGTTCAGCTGACTTGAAATAAACAGGAGAACAGAGAAAAATCTATAAACATTTTCAGTCATTCAGCATTTATTATGTTTTTTCTTTGCAGTTTCTTTCATTTCATCTATGTTCATGTTTTTATCTAATTAACACAAGGTACGTCTTTGTACCAGCAGCTCTTGTAAGTTTGAACTGGCAAGACGTATCAAGACATTTCACTGTAATGACTCGGCAGTTTCACATTTACTGAATTAGTGCTTTGTAATAATAATATATTAATAAAACAAAACTATTTTTATTTAGAATATAGATATATAGACTAAGACATCTTGAAAATTAAATGATAGATTATATTGCTAATTTTGATGATGATTTTGCAGATGGAATTAAAAAAACAAAACAGTCAATGCCATTGAATGAAGAGCTGTACTGGAGTTTTTACTGGTGGACTCTGATCTGATTCACGGAAAAGAGACGGAAACGCTCCATTTGGGACTTTTTTGAGATGTATAAGAGAACCGTTTAGCTCCTGGTTGTTTTGCTGTGTATTCGTTTTGGTAGCCTGTTTGAAAGCCAGTCTGCAACGTCAACACTCTTGGCTTTTTATTTGTGCATGATAAACCAGCAGCGCTCAACTAAACAGTGAGACCCGACAGTTATGCAGGTTAGTTATTTGGCAGGTGAGTCAGGATATGTGCAAGGAGCCAGTGGACTAATTTTCTTGGCATAGCCTGAAAATATTACTTTCCTCATGCATCATGAATATGCATAATGAAGTACTACGCTATTCAGGTCAAAATCTGTTCTTGCATGGGTCATCCTTAATCAAACCTCTGGTCGCATTTTGTAAAAAGAAGGAGCAAATGCAAGCATTTTGCTCACACTGTAGAACTGAAATGTGCTGTAAAAGCGGTGAACTTACAGGTGTGCCTCCATCCTCGGCCTCCAGGTAGAGTGCTCTGATATGGTTCTGCACGTCACTGTAAAACATGGCTTCCCAAAACTGCATGTTGGTCCACACCATATGCTCCTGTACGCAGCTGTAGGCAAACTGTGTGATTCCTCCACCAAGTTTCTGTAACACGCAAACACACGTTATTAGAAACATATGCTTGAGTCTTGGTGATCATTTGCAGACTGAAGACTCCAGTATTTAGGAGTGAAAAGAATAAAAGGACAAATGCAAAGTCTCTGAGGTTCACAAATGAGGTGGCATAGTGAACAAAACTTGACAGTTCACATATACACTGATCAAAAACAACATTATGACCACCTCCTTGTTTCTACGCTCATTGTCCATTTGATCAGCTCCACTTACTATATAGGTGCACTTTGTAGTTCTACAGTTACAGACTGTAGTCCATCTGTTTCTCTGCATACTTTGTTAGCCCCCTTTTACCCTGTTCTTCAGTGGTCAGGACCCCCATGGACCCTCACAGAGCAGGTACTATTTGGGTGGTGGATCATTCTCAGCACTGCAGTAACACTGATGTGGTGGTAGTGTGTTGTGCTGGTCTGAGTGGAGCAGTCCTTCATCAGTGGGCACAGGACGCTGTCCACAGGACGCTGTTGGCTGGATATTTTTGGTTGGTGGACGGTTCTCAGTCCAGCAGTGACACTGAGGTGTTTAAAAACTCCAGCAGCACTGCTGTGTCTGATCCACTCAGACCAGCGCAACACACACTAACACACCACCACCACGTCAGTGTTACTGCAGTGCTGAGAATGACAAGTCACTTGTCATTTTAATACGATCCAAGAAGACTGAAAAAGTCTCTGCTGTTTTGACATATTTCCTTTTTACAAAATCTGTTACATGTGATTCTTTCAACCAAACTTCCTTGTCAATTACTGATGTTGCATACAGCAGACTCTTTATCGCTGATGTTAAAAGGTTCTCTGAGGGCTATTCTGTCCTCCCTAGAGCATATAGCTAAGCTAAGAGTCTCCAGTAATATTCAGAGACAGGACTCAACATCCAAACTGTAACATCCAAAGTAAATGTCTGTCACAAATTCTACAATTAATCTAGAGACATCCAAATGAAATTTAGACCACCAAAATTTTAAAATGACATGCTCACTTATACAGTCACACTTGTACTGTTGTGTTTCTAGTAAGTTCAAGCCTTCAAGACACATGCTGTGGTTGGTGTGGTTGACATACCCGGCAGAAGGCGGTGACCAGGGGCAGTAGAGCTGCTGCGATGCCATGTTCATCTATGTGAGAGCAGTCCTAAGTACACACAAGAAGCAGGAATTACACACCGAACAACCCATCATCATAATCTGCCTCTAAACAGCAACATTCAAATAACTCTAGTCTAAAGAACAACACATGCTCTATCACAGCCCAACAAAGAAATACTCACAACCAAAACATTCAAACTTCCCCAAGAGATCTGCTCACATGTAATTACTTTGCAAAGGCACAACAGTATGATTACACATCTAAGGGTCAATTTGAAAAGAATGGAGCTGAGCAAGACTCCAGCAGTACCTGCAAAGTGCAGTTCATCATGCGGACGATGTAGTCGAACTGCTGGTCGTCCAGCACAGCTCTGTTCTGCAGCACATGCTGGTTCAGCTCCTGAGTTAAGCACACGCGTGCTGCGCGTCCTTTCAGCGCCCGCAACACTGCCGGCATCAGCTAGGGACACATACACATGTTAGAAAGGCATGACTGTACAATCCACGATCATTCAGATGCAAAAATAAACAGAATGAAATTAAACCATACTGGGGCCACAACAAGAAGAAAATGCTGTAGCCAATACAGATACAATTAAAAGGGCTCATATCCTTCAATGTTTATTTGTATTTTATTTTTTATTTTTTCCACTTTTCATGCTTATATGGCTTTAATAATTCATTTTTACAAGCATTTCCTAACCTCGCTTTATCCCTTAGAATTAAACAGGTTGCTTTTGTTTACTGTACCTTTCAGACTCATACATATAAATAACCTCTGTTCTGATTGGCTGCCTTGTATTGTGCTTTATTCAAAAAGCAGGGCTGAATTACTCCTTGCAACTTCAGAGTGAATGGGTGTAGCTAAACCGCTGTAGGCTGAATAGGCGAATACATGCAAATGCTGGTTTACGTGACGTTATGAAAACAGCATATTCAAAACAGGCTGTTTTTGCACTTTAGTTTCCAAATATTGACTGAGGAGTGTGTGGTACATTTTAAAACAATCTTTTCAATCTTTTTATTTTAAAAAAGTGGGGATTTTTGTTTGTCTGTAATATTGGCTTCACTAACTGATATGTAACTTTATAGTCAGTCACTGATATATAACTTTATATTTTTGTTTGTTTGATTTTAATCGAGTAATCCAATAGTTTTACTTAAACAGGGCTTCACTAACTGATATGACTGTCAGTTTTGAACAGTGAATGGTGATATAAGATCGTCATAAATATTCTAGTACTGGGGGGGTACTGAAGTACTGAATTTTTTTTTCTTATTCTTTCCATTACTGAGTTTTAACATGTATTCTCATGACAAAGGTTAGGTTTAAATACATGCTATGCTTGTTTTAGGTTTCACCCTATTGTTTGGAGTTCAAATCCTGGCGAAGCCACAACCAAAAAGGTCACTAATGTATATCCGTGTATATGCCTGTACATAGGTATTTCGTATTTATTCTTCTTTTTATATTGTTTGAGCCTTATTATTATTACTGTCCTGTGTTGTGAGACTGCTTCTGTCTGTCTGTCTGTCTGTCTAATTACTGACACATCATTAGCAATTTATCTGACCCATACCAATAAAAACTCAAGGCATCAACATCAGCCATCTGATATATTAGTTGAGCTCTAAATGGTCTCTGTTGCATGTGATGACTGCAGTATTGATGGTGTAAGACTTAACGGGTTCATTTACCTTCTTGGCCTCCAGCATTTTGTTGTCAAAGATGTAATTGATACAGTTCCTGACCACCTCCAGCCTCCGGGCACTGTTAGCCAGGACACTGCCATTCTTGTCCACAATGTCAGCTGCAGGAAGAACAGTAAAGGAGATTACATTAAAAATATGAGTTGTTTATTTATTTGAAGTAAACAAAGCTAGAGATCGCCTCAACTTACTAATATGATAAAATCCCATTCCCCAGCATGCATGGAGCAGCCTCTACTGTACAGCAGTGAGACCTGTGCTTAGACTCACCCAGTGGAGGTCCGGAGGGCACCATCTCCTTCAGCTCAGCCTTGACTACAGGCGGGGCCGTTTTGAGCTTGGCAGCAGCGTGGTCTATGAACAGCTGAACGGCCACATCATCCAACTGCGGAAACGAAGCCTGGGAGGCATGAGACCGAGACTGCGGGCTGTCCGCTGGCCGCTGCACTCTGTGCATCGCCACTGCCGGGTATGGGTTCTCCTGGAGGGTAGGAATTCAGCCAAGAGTGAGAGAGGAGGAGATAGAAAGAGTTTTCAGAATGAAAGCCGTTCTTTAATATAATTACAAATGTAGAATAAATCTATAATTTCTAAAACTCTCTCCAGTCACCTGAAATAGAAAAAAAAACTTTTTCTTCAAAGAAACAGAAACAGGTTTGAAACTGAACTCGAGTGGTTTTACGAGCTGGTCCTGGCAAAGGTGTGCAAAGGTTTGGGCACCCCTGGTCAAAATTTATGTTTTTGATTTTCTAAGCAAAAATAATTTAACACATCCTCTACAGAGAACGCACTTCTGCATGTTAATGCACAGTCACTGTTTATCTGTTAAACTTAACATACTGGGGAAAAAACTAAATTGTGGCCTGTGCAAAAATTATGGTACCTTTTATATTTTATATATTTATAAAATATAAAAAATTATAATATATTTTATATTTTAAATATAAAACGTGTACTAAAATTAGCAGAAAAGGTCATTTTTAAGTGTGTTCTCTGTAGAGAATGTTGTAACTTATTTTCATTTAGAAAAACAACAAAACATGTAATTTGACCAGGAGAGTTTAAACTTTTGCTGTAGTCCTTAGATATTAGAAGCCAAAGTCATTACTGGCGACAGTAGCTAGTAGCTAATTGAAACAAGCAGAGAAATTGTGTTGAAAGTGTGGATTCTGGAACTTTTAATAGATCACACATTTATGTTTGTAAGTATATGAGGAGATGTTTTCTTCCGATTTGAATTTGACGCAAAGTTATTGCTGTTTGTATAGTATTGTTTGCAAAACAAAAAAAAAAAAGCATTTTTTACATTGTGTCTTGTTGTTGCAGAAATAAGCCAATGCGTGGGCTCTAATCGAAGGTAAATAATACACAACTCACTATCTAATTAATATAGTAATAGTAATTAGTATAGCAATAGTAATAAGTAACTCTGAAGTGTTAAAATACTAGAGCTAAATGAAGGTCTAAGGGACGATGCGAAGGCCAGAGGTGAAACAGGAGACGTACGTTTTTAAAGAGATGCTCGGCCAGTTCTTTTACGTGGTTCATCACTTTGTGGGGATCGCCTTGCTCCTGCCGGATACGCTCCACTTGGCTGGCAATGAGCTATGGAAAGCAAAAGAAGAGGACAGTGAGACAGAAAGGAAAACAAAGGGTTATTATATCACACATTATATCTCCACATCAACATCTTCGAGTTTACAGAGACTCACATCATCAAACAGGTCTATGGTCCTGTAGGGAGCGCCTCTCTCTGACACAAAACCTGCAAACGCCATGCCATCCAGCACCTTCATCAGGAAGTCATCCTCAGACAGACCCCGCTGGCCAAGAAAGGCAGCCTGGAGGAAGAGGCAAATATGAAGAACAACAGGCAAATATGAAGAGTGTTTTAGCATTTGTTCACACTTCTAGTGTGCTAAGCACTGGCAAGGGTTTAGAGGAATACTTCACTCAAAAATGCTTATACTGTTAACGATATATGAAAGACATCTGGGGCCAATTAGCATGACCCTATTTGCACTGCTCCCTGCTCGTTCACATTAAAAGCTAGCAACGCAGGCATTCTTTAAGCACTGTGGATGAAATCTCTTATGATCTCTGTCGACACAGTGTTTTTATTTTACCTTATAGAAGCGGATGACAGGCTCTGGGTGGATGCGTATGATATGCAGACACCAGCGGTAGCCCTGGAAGAGCTGGGCAAAAAGCCACAGGAACACAGCACGGATCTCCTTATCCTACAGCACAGAAAAATCATCATATCACCCTCTCCAACACTAGCTTTAACAAGGACAGACAGCTGCCCGCACTAGGCCTATCAACACTGAATTTGACTAACGTTTTTAAACGTTTGCCTTTTAAAAAGCTTAAGTTAAACAAAACAATTCAATCAAAACAATATAAATACAAAAAACAACAGCAAGTAAACGCACCTGGATCCTGAGAGCGGAGGGCTGGGTGGAGGAAGGGGGAAAGGCAAAGTCCGCCACCTCTAGCTCTGGATCCAGGACCTGCACACCACACACACATCAGAGGCATACCAAACAAATTACAAATGATCAAACTTACAGTAACACAATATGGTTCCCATGTATTCCTTCTACTTCAAATACACTGAAAGTGGACAGTGCCCCTCCTAGGTATATAAAGTCAAGCAATCTCTATGTAGTCTAAAAAAATCTCCAATACTGGCAGTAGAGCTTTCAGAGCTTTCAGAGCTTTCAGTTTCACCTTTGCCAGCGTCACAGGAGCCATCATGAAGCTTCACTGACTGACAGCTGGGCTCATCACCCAGACTGTGTTCAGTCACTTCTTTGGCTCGTGTCCTCGGATTCTTTAAACTTTGCTTTCAGACTTTTAACTGTTCTTTGACGCTGCAGCCTCGCTCTCCTACGGCCGCGTTCGGCCATTTCTTCCGAAATCTCTTCAAACATGGAGGTGTTTTGCATAAGTCTCTTCTAATATTTGTACAGAAATATCATCCCCAAATATTTATTAGGTTTCAGCAGTGCGAGATTATGACGAATGTCGAGATGGATTGACTTAAAAGCTGCATGAATTCCGATCTGGCTGTTGAGACGATTTACATTAAGATGCAGAGCATATTTACAGTACAGAGGTCATATCGCCCAGCACTTGGACACACCAATACATGAATTGTGAGCTGATACCTAATATTTTCCATGTATATGATGCTGCTTATGCGGATTATGATACATAAATAACTGGAAAATGCATAAACTGGGTCTACATCTACCTAGATTAGAATTACAAAGAACCGTAAGATTTATAAGATTTAGGATTTAAGAGACGTAAGATTTATTTCTATACGAAGGCAGTAAAATGAAAATGCTGACATTTTAGCACTGTCTAAACATTCTGCTCTTCTGGACTACAAAAACACACCATCAAACAGCAGTTTTAAATATCTAAACATTCATCCAACACCAACATGACTCCTTAGCCAATACTGGGAGTCTGTTTATTTTTGACACTATAAAAATTATAGGCTGATATCACTGTTTAATACAGGTTTTAAGTGGCCGATAGAGAATATTTCCATAACACTCAGGTAGGACTGGGCGATAAAACGATAACGATAATGATCGCGATATAACTTTTCCTCGATAGAGCGATACGACATGTTCGATAAATGTTCGATATAATACACCACTCTCACACTCCCACGTTCAGCGAAAGCTTCGGTGGCGTTTTCTACTGCAAGGAAAGCGATACTACTCTGCTGTTGCCAGGAGAGGGCGCACTTCCGAGTTTCTGTACATCTTCCTTTTCCTGACTAGTAAAGCCAAAGACAGGGTCTGCAAATGTCCAGAAATCACTTTTTTCTCCCTGATAGAGCTTACATCAACCTCACAAGCCGGAAGTTGGAAGGGAGGGAGATGTTCAGGCTTGTTAAGTAAGCGAGTGCGGTATGATGGAAAGAGCTGCAGTTACGGTAGGGCACATCGCTGATTGGAAAGGGTCACTGGTGCAGTTCTGATGAAGCCTGAAGGATATAAAATGATTCATGGCTTACAGAAATGTTTGGCTCATTGTAACACAGTCCTGAGCTGAACCCAAGTGTCTTCACCTCAAGGCAGAAACCCCCATTTCCAGGACAGGCAAGCAAACTGCCAGGGCCAGCTTTAAAATGTGAGTTACTATTTAAGTCATCTAGCAGGGGGTTCCCAGGGCAGGACCTAATATGATTTCCAGAAAGTTCTGTCTGGATGTGCATGTAAACAATGGCGAAAAGTTTAACTGGTGAAAAAACTGATGTGTCTTGTGGTATTAATTAGCACTACTCATACACAAAGGGGAACACCACAGAAACTAAAACAAATCCATCTGTGCGAAGTTATCCCCTTCACAGCAAGACCGTGTAAACAACTAGTGTGTAGTTTTATCTATTTATATCATATATCTACCTATATATATATATATATAAAATTTTATGTTTTAACAGTAGAGTAAAACATGGCAAGTTCGCTTGTATTTGTGACTAAGTGTAGTACATTACACTTTGCTACTATACAACACAAGTCCCTTAAAGTGAGCATGATGCCAGGGACATATATTGTTAAGGAAGAGACCGAGAAGACAGATACAACACAGCCGGCTGGGGCACAGCATTAGCGGTAACTAGTCTAACTACTATGACTAGTTATGGAATCATAAAACATATTTATCTGATAAACAAACTACAAAATTTAAAACAAAGTTATGACAGGCAAAAATGAAGAAAGAATTTTTAAGATTCTTTTTCTAGATCACTGTTCAAATTTAGGCAAATGTATGACACTCATCATAATCTATATGTAATAAAAATATGTCCCATTTGTATTACATGCAGTGGACATGCAGTCTGAGACTAGGGATGTGCGCGGGTACTTGAGTGCTTGGTTGACCTTTCGACATGTCAGTATCCGAATACCGAAAAGAAACGATCTTGCCCTCTCAACATATATACCTATCGCTGTTGTTGGAAGAAAACCTCGTTTTTCATCTCCGTTTTTGATGGTTTTTAGTTTTTGACATAATTTGAAAATACCCGTTACCCTTTACATTGTATGTAAATTTCATGATGAATGGACTAAAAGAAACGACCCAAAATGACTAGGAAAAAAGTCTGGTTCCACTGACAAACATTAAAAGTAAAAATTACAGTAAAAAAAGTAAAAGTTTCTTCTTCTGTACAGTTTTTTTTACATTTTGGAGATACAAGGTTTTCTTCTGACAACAGCGATTTATATTTGTGTGTGTGTGTGTGTGTGTGTGTGTGTATACACAAATTTCTGATTTTATAAGTCAGGACTGTTCTGTTGGTCCTAACATTGTATGTTATCCTTATTTTTCCTCCTCTAGTACAAAGTCAGGACATTGTTTTCATACATTTTCAGGCCAAAAATTACATACACATATTCTGGGCTTGTAGTCATACGGGCCAAACACAATCCCACCCAGACACACATCTCTCTAACACACTCTCTCACACACACACACACACATGGCTACGCAGTGCTTTCACACAGGCCTGCATTCTCCATTTACAGACAGGCATTGATTCAAGGCACTCTCCACTCCCCTGCTTGATTCCTATCAGTATTACTAACCAAAGACAGCAGGGAGGAGACAGAGCACTGTCCTTACATCTGTATGCCTTTACCACAGTTACAGCACTCAAATGACTCCCCTGAAATGAGGCTAAAGTCTGTTTACAACAATAAAATAGGAAAGGTACTAAAGCACAGCAGAAAAGCCCCATGAGGTAACCAAGCTCATCCCGCACCCTGCTTTGACCGTAAGAGCGAAGCGATTTCACCCTGCCTATTGCACAACTCCAAATAACAGGACTGCAACCCTTTAAAAAAATCACCATTTGGCAGTTTTCCAACATGTTGCAAATATCATTTAGGACCTTGAGTAATTCCACATCAGGATGGGAAAGCCTTGTGGACTTAGGATGAGCACAGTGCCAAGGTAAACAGCATTGTGTTTCATGCTTTAGAGACAGGTTGTCATTACATTGTACCTCAGCAGGTCATTCGCTTATCTGTCACCAACGTGTTGAAAGCAATGTTGACAGCTAATAAGAAAGGCAGAACTATACAGACCCTGTATATACTTCAGTTATGTCATTACTAGCTAATTTTTTGAAATGTCCTTAAACGCTGCTGCATTACACCAGTAGATCAAACATTTTGATAAGCTTCTTGGACTTTGACACTTACTGTAAAACCACAATAAAGCCTCCTTACGGTAACAAACTCAAACAAGGAAAAAGCTGTGGAAATAAAAGTCATGTGCAGTCTTGTTTAATAGCTGTTGGCATCAAGATAAAAGCCTATTTAAAGAAACGTTTCATTTATTTTTTCTTCTTAATGGCACGCTTCTTTGGAACTCCTGCTACTCCCTTTCTGTATTTAGAGAAGCCATACATCTAAACCAACTATTGATGCAGATGGCAGGCTGGAACATTTGCTGTCGCCATCACCGCACCTTCATTTCTAACACTCAGATCACTGCCCGCTGCTCTGCGTCTCTTCTCAGTTACGCAACATCACCACTGACCCATGAAGGCAAAAGGTGATGCAAGTCTTCCTCTGGTGCATATAAAGCCTGCAGCTGGTTCATTCTGAACTATCAATCAACCACCCTCAACATCAACACACTTAGAGGAGAACGCTAAGTACTGATGGCAAACTGCTTGTACTAACGAGGAGGCCATGCTCATCAGTTCAGTTCAGCCCAAGTCTTTCCAAAAGCCTTCTAAGAGAACCCCAGCCATGGGCAGTGCATTGTCCAACTCAAGCCTGAGTCCCAGCAGTAGCACCTGTACACTGCTAATACAACGTCTTAGCGAGAGGATCTTAAGCATGTCAGCATAAACGCATCTGCTATTCCAATATATTATTCCACCTTATTAATAGAGTCAGGTTGTTAGAACGGTGAAGGTTTAAGGGTTTGGTTACCATGGAGAGGACCGTCTGCGTGTGCTGCAGAAGAGGCTCTGGCAGCAGAGATATGTGGACACACTCCGGGATGGTCACGGTGCCGCCGTCCAGATCCGCAATGATCACATCCAACTGTAGAACAGACACAATCACAGTAATGAACTCTCGCCCATAGAACTTGACACGATAATTATTTTGATCTCTAATATTTATCATACTGTTCACCAGTGGAGGTCTGTGGCTAGAGCTAGGCTTTCAATGTAGGCCTTAAATGTCAAAACTCAGTATACAAGGAAAAATACATATATGATCCATACGATAATGCTAATGCTAATGCTAACACCCCTATGTGATTCAAGTAGTATGCACTAACAGTGTTTCACAGGAACGGCAGCTGTAGATTAAACACAGACATCTGAAGGTAAAACATACTGTACGTTTTATATGAAGCTTCTGACAGACATATCACGGAAAAACAAATTTCTTACTTCTAAATAGAGTCTGTAGTACTGTTAAAGTTTCAAGACATATAATTTTATCCTCTCTTAAATTAAAATAAATATTAAATTACAAAAAAAAAGGAACTAAGCTGCAAAAACATGTTTTGAATTTGCTGTTTTTCGTGAACAAGGCGCAACACAGAGCAGCCAATCAGAACAGAGCTCATTTACACATTAGTCTTAAAGCACAGTAACAAAAACATTCTGTTGAATTCTAAAGGAGAAAAACTACAAGAAAATGTAAAAATATGGGCTCTTTAACAAAGCCCTCACATAGAACTGCTGCCACTGTTTTCTATTTCTAACATCTCAACGAAACCTACAGCTCAGACTACAGCTTGGAAATGTATTTGTTCTGCTACAGCTCCTATTTGCAGTCAGTCAAATTTCTAGGATTTCCAGAAGGCTTTGAGTGATGTTTCACATCAAATAGGTCGCACTTACTGTAATTCAAAACGTGATTGGTCTATTCCACTGTCAGCTAGTAATAATGTTGGTAGTTATCGTATACACATAGCCTTCAGTTCAGCTCTTTAAGAACATATAAATGAGACAGCCTGCTTGGCAGTAATAATCTAAATACCATTAAAAAAAATAATCCATTGTCCATTTCACAAATTTTACCCTTAAGTTTTCAAACAAAACCTACCAACGTATTAAAAACATACAGAATTTAAATACAACCAGCATGACCAATGACCAAACATTACATAAATTACTAAAACTAAACATTACATAAATCATCAGGGCTTCTCTGAAGTCTGAATAGGCCCTAATAGTTCTTTTGTACTCAACAACATGCAGCAATTACAGAGAACGAAGCAGACAAAAAGTCTGTCCCGCGACAGTTGGTGAACAGGTCTGAACTACCTATCAAAATAACATCCGACCATATCAGAGCCAATTTAAAGAGCTATTAAGCTATCCACAGCAAAGACCTTAAGCACAGAGAGAAAACTGCAGCTGGACCACAACTGCTCAGATCTCTGCTAACACCTCCTCACTAGAGCCAACCATGCATCAGACCTTCGCATTATTATGGACAGCGTAAGGCTACTGCCCAAAAGATTACCTCTGCACTTTGAACCTGTCTTAGTTTATGGTCAGTATTAAGCAGTGTTAATACTGTATGCTACATGTGGGCCGCAGAGGTTATCTATTTGGCAGTACTATACATGCATGGCTCATCTAATATTACAGGAAATTACACTGCTAAGCAAAAGAAAGGGTATTTTAAAGCCTGATCTAAAGAAGATCAAGACTGAGCTGAACGTCTTGAGTTCATCTATCATCCGTGAGTTTTTCATTTGGATTCAATTAGACACGCAAAAAGAGCTCTAAATTGAAACATCAATCTCAGGGCTCAGAAATCATGACAGAATTCCAAACCCAGCAGGACATGCTTGTTTAACAAGATAGTTTTCAACAATCTGGGTGAAGAATTCCACATTAAAATGCCTGCAGGGTTAATATTACTCCAGCCTGTTAGAATGTGATGGGAAAGAGTCAGAGATGCAGTAATCTCATGGCTGGTTTTATGGGGAACTGACTGCTAACTCTTACATAATTTAAAGGCACGCTGTTAGTCATCAGCTGTTAGTCTCTGTTGTTTTGTTTACACTGAATTGAAACGGATTGTTAGATAGTCTGCGAATAGGCTACGCCCTTTTATGAAGTGGTACAGTTACTCAATATCATAGCTAAACCACTAAGCAATAACACTGTGAGAATTATTTTGCCTGTTAAGGATTACCTTATGGCAGGCCTGTGCCAGCAATAGAGTCCTAACTGCAGTAAATGGTTAAACAATGTTGGAGGGGGACATCAAGGGTTTTTTTTTTTGTTTCTATTTTTTTTTACTTCGCACTACCTTTTTATTGATTATTTTTTTTTATTTCCACAAAGATATTATTGTATGCATAGCAACAGCAAAAACAATAAAACAAACACTAATAACTTAATAAAATAACATTTTATAACAACAAGATAAACCATTTTTTTAAACAGCAATTTTAAGAATTTTGGACGTGGGGGCAAACGTAGAGAGCGTGAGCTGAAGCTTTGTCACATAAAAGCACCTTATAAAGCGCAGGTCAGTAAAGGTTGTGGTTCTTGCATACTGTCATCTTTAATTTGGCCACGAAACTAATCACCTCAGTATTAAACAATGGAACAATGAATGTCCAAGGCTGTTTAGCTTAGCCTGATGCCTTCTTCTTTGAAGCCGTTTCACCTAAAGCTATTTGAAAAAGCCCTTTTTGCCTGAAGTACGAGAGACATCATTTCACTCATGTCCTTTCAGAAACCCGATGCTGTGTCTGAGCATGTCCTAAAATGTACACCACCCCACAGTGGCTTTTTCAACTGGTATGATTTCTGTCTGCCACACCGAGCGCATTCAACCAGTACAGCTCCAGGGTCACATTTCTAGAACAATCTCACCATATGTGGGAATACGAGTGTCTTGCTATGGTTGGCATAATATATCTTACCTTGGCCTGCCTTTTTGGATACATTACGGCTAGACAAAATACCATCTGTAGATCATTATAGTAGCTCCTACAAAACTAATATCATAAATGACTACAATATGCAATGACTGTGCCAAGTGACAAATTTTCACTCTAGCAAAACTCAAATGGACTAAAGAGGTACACATCTGTTAAATACCTAACCACACACCAAAAAATCAGAGCGCTATTTTTCATCATAAGCCACAATGACAATCCAAATCACAATTTGATCTCAGAGCTGTTCAACAGGGTCATCAGAATAGGAAGAGGAAAAGCAGACTCATACCAGCTCCTGCGTCTCCAAGCGGAAGAAGGAATTGACCCCGATGATGAAGGGCGTCGGCGTGCTGAGGACTTCCAGCAGCTTACCAGGCAGGATTGGGACATAGGTGAAACTGAGGGTGACATTTCAGTGGTATAAGGTGAGACAGGAGGCATTGGAGGCAGATAATAATAATGGTGATAAAGTATTGTAAGGGGATAGTGACTTCAATACAGTGTCGAAAAGTAAAAAAAATAAAATAAAATAAGGTTTAAATCTACATGGGTCAAAAACAAGGCATGCAATCAGTGAGGAACGTTATATTATGCACACAAACTCAGACGACTGTTTTTTTTGTAAAGTCGCCTATTAATTCTTAGGGTTTTGATTTTAGAGGCTTATTTTATTGTTGGAAATCAAATTAAATCTTGACCTCGCTACATTCAACACACTCTCAAATCTTGCTCATTACATTCCCAAATTACAAGCCTGGAAACATCATCTCTTCATGAATATGATGGCTTTTTCATGGCACCAGGCACTAAATATTCCAATTCAAAACAAAGACGATTTGGATGGATGGATGTCTAATAAAACCATACAAATGTAAAGGATAAAGGTTTTTGTGTTATGTTGTCCTCATGCTAAAGGTTAGGTTGTTTTAATAAACCTGTCATGCTGTTATAAAGGGGAGCAAACTGGCTACTGCTGGCTTAGTAGTCTATGTAATGACTGGACTGAAATAAGCCTGAAACCATTAAAACTCTAACAAATGAGCAAGTATAATCATCACCGCAGTGTCTATGTCACTATTAACACTTTCATAACACTTTATAATGAGTTCATAGAGCATCTATAGGATATAAACATTTATAAAAACACATTACACTTTGTAACCATGTTTCTTATGCATTATAAATTGTTAACATATAAATGGTGTTCATAACATTCTATATTGCAAGGGAAGAGAAACTCGCAGCTTGCATAGTGTATGATGATCTGCCTATTCATAACACTGAGCCATGTTATGATTGCCATAGCTTAACTAAGCATTCCTTTAATCTAATTTGTGTCACTTTAATTACCTATCACATCTTATAAATTACTAAGACTTGGTTATAATCTGGTTATATCGTTAAAATGCTGCATTACAGCATGGTATGAATGTGTTTATAGGCATGGCATTCATGGAAAGCATTACCAAAACCACTTCTAAATATTAGTGTAAGTACCAGTGGCACTTTTGCCAATACTGATAAATTCAAGTAACCTTAATATCAGCTGATTTTATCTCTCAAACAGGCTCTAGTTTGGTAAAAGTAATCACTCAGTTGAAGCCACACTCCCAAACTCTTTTTACATCTCCACACACCTGTATTTGAGTGGGAACATAATGGCCAACAGGGCTCTGCAGGCATCGGTGAGCCGCTGGTAGCTCTTGGACAGGAAGAGGATCTTGTGCTCGGTCAGAGCAGCACAGAACAGATACAGAACATTCACAATGCCTGCAGGTAGAGAAAGAATTAATGGGCACATGAAAATCAACTTCCAATCAACCAGTACAGTTCGTTATGGTAATTTATGAGTAGTATGAGTGGCAGAGTATCTTCAACTAAATTTAACAAAACCTGACCAAATCCAGGGTCTGATCTGCTCCTACACAGCAGCAGTTCTAAACATACTTGTACTGGACATACACAGCTGATCAGCGTTAGGTAAAGCACATGTTTGCCCACACACGAAACCGGTCACTTAGGAATCAGCCCAAACAAATCAATCTTTCAAGAATTTACTGAACACTGTGTTACAGGAATGCAAGAGCAATACAAGCTACACAGCCACCACCGTCATTATTTCACAAATTATCATTAATAAAAAAACTAGACAATGCATAGTGTAGCTAAAACAAGTATGCTGAGACCTTCATTTCAACACAGCTTGTCACAGCACAGTTGTGATAAATAAATAAAGTAAACATATTAGTAAATATTCATGTACTGCGAATTACGCCTGATTCACACATGCTACCTTTGCGTGACGTCAGCGATGCGGCAGCATGAGCGCTACAGCTCGAATGTGCTGGCCCTTCATACATTAAGCATTTGTGCTGTGGAGCAGAGCAGCGAGAAAGTTACATTCCTTCTTCCAGATGGTCACTCTGCTTAATAAAAATATTTATAAAAGCGCATGGTATGTTTGTTTATCCTCAACAGCATTCTGACTGGTGATTAGGCAAACGTTTCAAGTCTGATAGACCAACTGGGAAATTTGTTTGCAGCACAGAACGTTTAACTAGTATTTCCTCATGAATTAAATAAAATGTAAAAATTAGCATAAGTTTTAATATGTTTTTTTGCTTAAATTTAATTGATTTTCATGGCTTATCTCAAAGTATTTTGCTGTGTGACGCACGAGGCACGGAAAATTAAATCAACGCCGAGTCTTTTTTCTAAAATCCGGCCCTTTAATGCGCCGTCTGGGACCCTCTGCCTCTTCACTTGCACAGCCTGTGTGTAAGCGCGTACGCAGAGGTAGCATGTTTAAATCAGGCCTTACAAAATACATTATTCTCCTCTTATTTTCTAGCCTTAAAAACATCACAGCATACACTCTATTTTCTCTCTGACCAACACATGGACAGCACCAACAACTATCCTATCCCCCTATTTTAGTTCCAGTTAGGGTAAGGGTCATGAATGCTTTCCTCAGAAGTATTTAAGACAGTGTGCTTCTTTTTTTTTAAGCTCAGGGTGTTCAGAGGCAAGCAGTAACTGCCTGATTAACACTACATGACCCAGTAGACTCTGAAATTAGCACATGTCGTATATCGGTGGAGAAGACAGGAAGTACAGCATAGTGTCATGGGTGCTGATAAAATGATTATGTAGTTCTGTTCCACAACCCAGTATAAGCAGCAAAGGTTTAAACTAACTAATGTATACCTTATATTTGCTAGACAGAGAGGAAGCAGTCTAGCCATTCCCTCACAATACTTACGAGAGTTAGCTGGCTAATTATTTCCATTATTGAAAATATGGAGAGAAAAAAAAGGACAGGAGTTTGAGGAAAACACCTCTGAACACGAAGAGACTACTGAAAAAAAGGCCCATTCTCTGCAGCATTCTGCAGATTTAAAATGCTACTTGGATGTGTAAAGAAAGCATGTAAGCACTGATAAATATCAATAGAGAACGATATGGAAAACTGTATCATCATAAGATTTTTGGCCATGTCGTTCAGCCCTAGTGCTGATTGGCTTACCAAGTTGTCTGAAGAGCTGGGCCACGCTGCAACCACTCACAGGGAGGGAGTCATTGATGGGCGTCTGGATGACCTGCCTATCTCCCGCCCCCAAGGTGATGGTCCTCTTTAAGATGAGAGAGAGAGAGAGAGAGAGAGAGAGAGAGAGAGAGAGAATATATATACACACACAAGTAAGAACCATGCATAGACAAAGTTTTACAAAAGACAACCAGGTTTAACAGGTCCACGACAGGTGTGTGTACCTCTGGTCATTTGATTTTCATTTAAAAAACAGTATTGAAAAATGGGAAAATGGCTAAATTCTCATTTTTGGTTATGTTATTGTCAGTGTTGACTTTGTTTTATAGTTTCACGTACTAATCACATCAAATAAACAAACAAAAATGGAATAAGGGGGTCATATTTTACTCATTCACATTTAAAATTTAATATCACATCAACCAGAAATAAGTGTAGAGTACATGTTTGGCTGCAGAAGCACAGAATACAGACTTACTATATACATGTTGCAGTTAAAAACTAATGAAGACAGGAAATCGAAGACAGAATCAAAAGGTATTTTTTTTAAATATGATGCATCCCCTGTTGTTCTGGCATATTGTTAGGCTGTATTATGTGTTGTGTAGGTGTTTGTACATTTGATGTGCCTAAAAATAAAACAATATGTGGAGGGGACTCCCGTATTGGACTCCCGCCATTTAACAGGCGGACGTCGGTGCTCGCCAGATCAGTTGCTGATGCGTTTAAGGGGAATACAGGAGTCCTTTCCCCATATCACTTCTTTTTTTTTTTTTTCTGTCAAAAAAATAAAACATCTATACAAAACATAATATAGCCTACCAATGTGCCAGAAGAACAGGGGATTCATCATCATGTTGTTTTTTCATTTCTAGTTCCATCTTCTCAACATGTCCAACTTTTTCTGTCCATACAGTTTTTAACCCTGAGATGTATGTAATAAGTTTCTATTCTTATAAATATAAATATTAATATAATTATTATATTTTTGTGGCCATGCATGCACTCCATTGACTTTTCCACTGACTTTTTTCTGCTGACAATAACAGAACCAAAAACAAGACCCATTTTCCCAGTTTTCAATACTATTATTCAATATTAGTGTTTTGAAATCAAAATCGAACAACCATGAGCTGTTGTTTGGGTTAGTGTTTATGCAGTGGGTGAAAGTGAGCACCCACAGTGAATGGAGGTTAATCAGACCGACGGATTAGCAGCTACGCTACAACATGTCAGGCCATTCCCCAATTACACAGCACGAATCTGTTTTAAAGTTCAAAAGACAGGGTCAACCAAGCCTCTGGATTAGTCTGCCCTATCTTTAGTCAACAGCAGGGCCATGCAAGATTGGTTTACTATTATTCTGACAACAGTGGTTATTAAGGGCTTCTTGAAAAAGTGGTAGCTGGAAAAAAACAGGGTTAAAATAAGGAGGTCTTGTCTGGTGCATCACACTGAAGATATCAGAAAGAGAGGATAAGAAGAGGTTAGCATCATGAATAATCTTGTATGAGTAGAATAGTGAAACAGAACAGAATTAACAGAATGAGTATAATTTCAAATTACACCAAGCGAGTCGTATACATGAACTAGCAGGGGTGGGCAATATGACAATATATTAATATATTGATAAATAATTTAAAGTCACAATATTTTTGAGCATACTGTGGATATTGTCAATACTGACCAATACTGAATGCTGACCAACTGCATGATTTATTACAAAGAAAGCACAATTATTCCTGTTTAATTGCTTTTGGTGCAGCATAGCATTGAATACACTGATTAAAATAATTATACTGGTTCTTTTTTTACGTTCCAACTTATGAAACCTTAGAATAACTGAATATCATGATACATATTGTGTCATTAAAACGTCTTAAGTGTTGTGATGTTCTATTTTTCCTATAATACCCACCCATATGAATTAGTAATGTTACAGTATAAGTGCTTATCCCTAAAATCAGCAATGTAAGGCAAATCAATATGAGTAAATATCCACCTGAATTAACAGTGTAAGTTAATACACGACTCAAGTATTAGTTTGAAGTGATACTGCAATACTTCATGCAACACAGCACAAATTACCATATCAACACACCAACACTGCAAACACTTGCTCAGATCAAAGGGTAAGGCGTTGACAAAGAGAAGCCAGCCAAAAAAACCCTCTTTAGAGGAAGGGCTGAGTTAGGACAGGAAGTTGCAGGTGCAAATGGTAGCGTGAAATGGGCTGCACATCCAGAGAATCGAGCAGCTGCTGAATCTGATTTTATCAGTGTTCACACACCGCCCAGAGGAGCACATTTAGCCACAATTATCACAAAAACAGCTCCACACAAAAGCCACATAACAGGTTTATGAACACTCCTAACTACTAATGTCAAGAAATGGAGAATTAAATGAAAAGATCTTTCAAAATAAGCAAAAATGTTAATGTAGCTAGAAATGTAAGACAGACAGAAGGGATAATTGGGAAGGGATGTCACTGTGAATTATATTAGCAGGTAATCTACCAATTATTTTGATGATGAGTTTTGAAAAAGGCTGAACAACAGAATTTGACTTAACTGAATAATAACCGAACTATGCATAGTCATTCAAAAAAACCTAGAACAGTTAAACTCTGTGCCTTTTATAATTATATACGTTAAAAAAAACTATATAACTGTAAAATGTATTTAAAGGAGAAAATGGCATATCAGCCATTCTCCTACTGTAGGAGACCAGTAGGAGAATTTAAAGTTTAAAATCACGCAAAGTGCCAACTGATCTATACAGAAGGTACATCTTTATCAATCATATTTTTAGTCAAGACAGCCCTAAAATTCAGCATAGCTTTTCTGCCGCAACAATCATTGGCAGCATTACAACAAGCATGGCTCTCATTTTTTGACAAAAGCGCTCAAGGACCAGAGTAGAGCTGTCACAACCATCAAATTTATTATTAGATCGATTATTAGTTGTCGTATAAATAATCACGATTAGCGATTTAACTGTATTTGCCTGTTCACTGTAGGCAATTACTAAATTAAAGGTCTAAAGTGGCCAAATTAGCTGATTAGCAATCTTACTTCTGAGCTATGTATACTTAGTAGCTAACACTAGTTGTACTAACATGAAATGATACCTTAAACTGTCGGATATGCTCTGGATTCTCTATACAGAATCATGTGTAGAGTCCAGCAAAGCAGAGTTTTTTATTTAAGAGGCCAGCTAGCTTACATGCTACAACTGTTGGAATTAGCTGCATAGGTAAAAAATAAATACTACTCTCACTGCCGTCTAAACATGTTAGAGCAGGGGTGTCCAACTTAATCAATAAAAGGGCCATGTTAACAAATCTCTACAAATCCGTGGGCCAGAAAACGCCTATGTTTATATTTTATTTTCAATTAATGTTGTGCTATAACCTGAACTGGCCACTGTTTATCCAAAATACACAATAACTTCACACAGGCACTTGTAGTAGACCTTGAAATATTACATGAATACCTGAAATATTGAAAATTTAAATGTCCCCAGGAGCTCAGTCTTTTAAATCTACCTATCTGCTTGAACTAGACACCTGGCACCTTTCTTTGCTGTAAGTTCATTAATAATTGGGCTCCATTTCTGAGCTGCTGAGCTGACGTTAGGTGCAATTGAAGTTAGTGTGTTTGGTGATATGACTGGTGTGGAATTGTGTAGGTGTAACTGTAGTCCCTTAGACAGCTGTTGGGGGAGGAGAGTCAGAGCGCACATTAGGTTGCAGTGCATGCTGGGGATTGTAGTGCAGCGCATTGTGAAACAGGCTAATCTTAACAGAAAATTAAATTACTTTGGCGGTCCGAATCGGATTGCGTCAAACACAAGGTCGGACCCTGTGTTTGACAAATGGGTGTTAGAGCAACAAGCCGGAAATTAGAATATTTGTTTTCATGAGACCCATGATGTGTTGCAATGAATGCATTTACTCTCTCCCTTATTTACATTTATTTACTCACACAGTTTACATTTTGGCATAATATGGTTGTGAAATCTAATGTCTGAGGAAAATGAGAACAGCCAGCTTAAATAACTGATCATCTTGAATAACAGGGATCATCCCGAATAACTGCAATTAGGCAAATATGCAGTGACTAACAGGCCTACCACTGAGTCAAATTTGCTATGTAGGCCTCAGATTATCAAACATACAAGCTCATTCCTCAGACAAACATGCACAGATGATGAATCCGTGTCCATCGACCAGACACAGCAGTGCAAAGCGTTGTGGCTGCAGTCGTTAGGCTACCAGCAGCACATGCATCTGAAGCCACAGCAATGAGAGTGAAGCTGGACACCTTCTGCATCTTCCCCGCATCCAGTCTTTGATCCAATCAGTGAAAGAACGCTAGTTATTTTCAATATAAATAAAAGTTAGCCGGGGGATGTGTCAAAGATTGGATCAAATATTTAGACCGATCAGAAACTTTGTGATCTGATTGGTTCTCGTGATGCCGAGGGTGTCTTTTGATTGGAGGAGAGAAACCCAGAGAGCGGCAGCAGCACTGATACAGGAAGAGCTAAACAGAATCAAGTTGGGCGTACCAAGCTCTCCTCTCTGTCCTCCTGGTCTGGCTAGATTAGCGACGCACAAGCACACAAACCACACATACACACACACACGCGCACACGCATACACATATACAGAAAAAAACACCACAGGAAAGAGTTAGACACACCAAGGTTGGAATAAAAAGAGAAAAAGTCTAATAACATAAGACAAATAATAGCAAAAAAGCAAACAAATGTGACAATACATGGAGGAGACAGGACGTTCAAATGGGACAGTGAGACAAAGAGGAATTCCACCAATTTCTCAACATTCCTGCATAATTAAATGGTTAAGACGTAAACAGAGTCATTCACAGTGGTTTGATTTGAAATGCTCTGTTTGAGAGTCAGCGTTGTTCACAGTGGTAGTGACAGAAACCAGATATCCAAAGAGCTCAAGGCCTCTAGGAGCTCTCCCACAGAAAGTTATATGAAACGGTTATGAATATGCAGCCTCTGTCTGAGGCCACATCATAAATCAATATTTCAAATTTTTATTTTGTAAAAATAACATTTTCCATTCATGGCAGAGAGATACATGCACAGTGATGTAAGGCAAAATTGTATCTAAAGGAACATATTTTTTCCATACTTTATCATTATCAACATATAAAAGCTAATGTAGACACAGGTTCACTGGTTGTTTTGGATAGTAAATAAAATGTTGATACTCATTACAGACATCGCAACCCCTTGTTCCTATCACCACCACTGTAAAGACAGTTAGTAAGTTTTTCTACAATTAGCTATTTCAAAACAAACCACTCTGAATGAACTGGTTGATCTAGACCATTGAATTATAGACAATTTCTTTGAAACACTGTTGGAATCCCCTTAAAGAATAATGTTTTGCTTTCTTGACTTGCTGGTACATCATTAATTGATCATACTTTCACAAACAGCCTACATTAAAAAAAAAAAAGAAAATGACGACCCAGTGAGGTCAAGGAATTTTATAATTGCACAAGACTAGCGGTTTTGATAGTAAATTAACTTTTACTGAGCTATTCTCTGGGAAAACAAACAGAAGAAGAGTTCCCTGACTCTGTCCCTGGCAGAGGAACAGGAAAAATGCCCTCCAGGATGCTGAAGATCGCAGTGGAGACTAGCTGGATTTGCAGACTCACTATGCCAATAAATATCACTCTTTCACTTTCTCTCACACGCTTTCTTCCCCTCCCCTCTCAGACACACACACAAATACATTCCAGGCTTCCATCCCCCATTTTTCTCAGCAAACCATTTCCCACTCCTTTCTTCTGCTGAAGGCACATTTAGTAACTGCTAACTTTTACTTTCTTTTTCTCGTTCTCTCTTGGTTTTACCCAGCGGCCCCAGATGTGGGCTGAGAGACACTGCAGGCTGTGGAGAAGTGTGTCAGAGGTTGGCACGCAGCAAAGCGCCCAAAGTTCCAGTAAAAGCACATTTTGCTGGCTGCTAACTGCTAGCCTAGCTAGACACAGACCACGGCCTGGACCGAGGGCTCAAAGGAGAGTGTGATGGGTTTTTACAGTACTGTGCAAAAGTCAGAGACCACCTTTCATTTATTTCATTTCCAGTCAAAACGGCTTTTAAGTTATTCCTTTTTTTAGAATCATGAAAAAACAAAACAGAAACTTACAAAGAACTCTCAATAATTATATATAACCACACATATATATATATATAGATAGATACACGTACACACACACACACACACACATACATACATACATATATATATATATATATATATATATATATATATACACACACACACACACACACACACACACACATACATAGATACACACATATATATATATATATATAGATAGATACACGTACACACACACACATATACATATATATATATATATATATATATATATATATATATATATATATATATATATATATATATATATACACCCACACACACACATACATAGATACACATATATATATATAAATGCACACACATACATACAGATATATAGTTATATAAACATGTATACATTATCATATTTTATTAATACATATATACATATTCTTGTCACCACCTCCAAAGTTCAGTCTTAGAAGTTGTATTTTCTAAATCTCATGATCCAAGAAATATAAACACATTCAGTGATGTTGAGGTCTGGACTCTCAGTGGGATTTCCCCTTTGATGACTCATAGTGGATGGATGGACAAAAGCACCTGCGGATTTTTTTCAGACCTGAAGCCAGAGTGGACCTTGACTTTCTCCTCTCTCACCAAGACTACAGTACTGTTTATCAAATGGGAACAGTTTTAGTGGCCTACTCGTTTATAGTCATTTTTTTAATGTATTTTTTTAACCTATATTCCTTAGACGTTCCTCTTCTATATAGAAGTGGATTACGTCTCCTCAGAAAATCTCCTGAAAAATAAATAACTTGTACTTAACATTTGGGCTGGAAATTAAATAAATGAAGGGTGGACAGTACTGTACATGAAGACGTCAAGCTCAAACAATTTAAGCTGCCCAAAGATATAGATAACATTATAACATCTTTATAACTACACTCATGTATGCACGTTGCGTATCTTTTACTATATAGTGAAAATAGCAAACCTGAAAGAGCGCAAAACAAGCTACATAGTTACAACACTATTTAAAGCAACAGTCCAGCTAAAACCACCATAATAACACTTCATCTTCCCCTGTAACACCGCTATATATAACAGCTGTATTACACACTAGTAATAGACAAATATGAACAAAATTAGGCTTCGGTATGACTACTACTGCTTTTATCTCTGCAGTGTATTTTTGTTTGTTTTTATGCATAACAGTATGCCCTACAACAGGGGTGTCCAAATTCTTTTCAAAGAGGGCCCGATTGTACTGTTTTAAAATACCTGAGGGCCGACAAATTATTCACAATGACTCAAAATATTACGTTTTCAAAATATCACGAAAAGATTCTGAGCTTTCTGTGAGCTACTGTGTTTCCTACCACTGTAAAAAAAGATGCACAGGGTTTCTTTTTTCGTTGGATTGTTATTCAGAGCAATTTGGATTGAAAAGAGCTTATAATAAATAATTAAATTGTTAAGAGTAACAATCTTACATGTCTAATGTACTCATTATATTCCTATTCAAGTGTTTACTTGTTGCAAAATATCATTTGTGAAACCAACTAAAAAAATCTATACATTTTTGGTTTTGTTAAGTAATGTTCTTCACATATCAAATAAACGCAGTGTAGCCATGTTTTTGTTTGATCTTAAAGGGTTAATATGTACTGAACGACTGAATTTGCTCTGATAAGAAGTTTTCCATCTCGCCAAAATCGTCAGTTTTCATTGTTTAGTTTGAGCTTTATGTCTGTAGTCTTGACTAAATGTCATTCACTAAATGAAGCTGCACGTCTGGTCAGCTGCCACCATCAGTTGAAAGGAAGAACTGCAACGTACTGGCTGGAGGACCACTTATAATAAATCGTAAAACAGAAGCTGGGGGCCAGTTTGAATCTGTCCGTGGGCCGGATTTTGGACGCCCCTGCCCTACAATATCAGAAACCACATACATATATCTGATATAACTTAACAACTCTACATGGTTTGAAGACCACACAGTTTGCACGATGCCAATTCGTGGTATAAGCTTTTATTACTCATTAGCTACATTAGCCTCACAGTTCCAGTGTAAAACGGAAGAAGCACACTTTAAACACCAAATTATGTTATGGTGATCAACTACATTTTGGATAAGGACTAAAACTGTATACATTTGCTGAAGAGTCTGCCTTAAAATGCCTTAGAAATAAATTTATATGAAGCCATCAACGTGGCCCATTGCATTGGTGTACCAGACAGAAAGCAGGTCGCGTCCAAAGGTTCACACTTTGGCGTAATAATACAACATTTTCTGTGCTAAAAATGGAGTGTTGATGTGTTCAGGTCAGAGCCAGGAGCTTAAAACAAGACTGTGTGTACGTTTGTTCGTGTGTGTGTGTTTCCGAGACCGTCATTCACACACACTGTGGCCTGCTTAGACACCATCTGCCACCCTGCCAGCCCATATGTTCACCCCCACTGTCCACCCAGCCAAGATACAAGCAGTGCCCTCATAAGCCTCGCATGTGTATGTGTGTGTCGGAAAAATAGTGCACGAGGACAGATTGTGGGTTTTTGTGCAGAGAAAGCAAATCTCGAACAGTCCTGCCTTTAAATAAACCTGTCAAATAAAAAAGCAAATTTTAAAAGGAGATTGATTGGTTTGAAACTTACTGATTGGTTGGTTAAGTGCAAAATAAACAGAGAGCAAACACAAATCAGTGACAAAACTGCAGCAATTATCATAAGCTGTCCATGTACAATCGTATTTCTGATCATCAACAGGCAGAATCATGAGGAGCTGATTGGTTGAAGCTGCTAAAAAGGTAACTGTTACCTGGAAACAACCCAGAAGCCAGTCAGATAAACTACAGACTGGGGGATCATTTATCTGTAACACACAGGATGAGGGTTTTAACTTCAATGGAAGCATTTTTGTGTAACATAGTGATTTATAAATAATATTAACATTTTTACCATAACACAGCTGAGAAAAGAGGACCCAGTTTTAATACTGCCATGTGCAAGATTTGACACTGGTATTAGATCAGTTGGTACCACCTCACTATAGGGCAGTGTTCATAAAGTTAACTGACAAATAAGCTGGTTTTTGTCAACTCAGATGTCTGGTGACGCTGTTTTTTCAGACTCTGGGTTGTCTCATGACACTTTTTTGGGTGAAATGATACAGCATGTGAGCGTCTGTAGCTTAGTGAATACGAAAGTGACAATGCTGATGTGACGTAGCTTATGTCTTATAAATGGTAAAAGCACAAACTACAGAAAATGCTCACCAGCCTGACTTGCTATGTCATTATCAGCTTTATGTCACTTTGACACACACTTGGCTACAAAGTCTATGTCATTTCACCACAACAAAGTGTCATGACAACCCAAAGCCAGAGAAACTCAAATGTCACTGGACAAAAAAGGTGACAAAAGCAGCCTTTGCCTCCATGACAAACAACACCCAGTGTTTTTAAATAAAGGGCTTAAGTGGGAACCTTTCAAAATGTCTGCGTAATTCAGTGGTAGAGATGTAAATAAAGTCTTTCAGAGTGGTTTGTTATGAAATGGTTCATTTGTGATGTGACTCAGGTGGTGATAGGAACTAGGCGTCACCATGACTACAACATAAACACAGCCATTGTATTTACTATCCAAAACCACTAGTGAACCTACACTTGTCTTCTGAGGTTTTATATGTAATGTTGATGTAAATGGACTAACAAGGCGTTTGAGGCCAAAACATTATCACAAAACTATCGGTAAACAACGTCTCAGATAACAGGCAGCGTATACCTAACCATTTTGTGTGATACCTTTGTGAGGGAGCTTTTAGAGGTGGACGTCTGGTTCCTATCACCACCACTGTGAACAATTCTGACTCAGTATGTTCCTCCAGAATGGAGTATTTCACACCAAACCACTACCATTTACACCTAAACCATTTAATTATGTGTAACTTTTGAGAAATGAGCGGAGTTCCCCTTTAAGCTGGGCATCCACTACACATTTGAAGCTAATTTCCACGTCAGGAGCTTGATCGGAAGTGTCTGACGGCGTGGATGATCTAGTAGTGTGAGAGGACAAACGAGTGAATCTTTAGCCCTCCGACCAAACTCTAAAGTGATCAGAGGGTCTCCGATATAATCAAACATGTTTGATATCTATGACTCAAAACGTTCACGAGTGTAAAGGATCAGAGATGTACTTAGTGAGTGATTTAAACCACAGCCAATCAGAGAGCTAGTAGAGAAAATGGCAAAGAGACGTGCATGCACACCATCTGAACCGCGGAGCGTGGAGACTGAGTAGCTGCGTGCAAAACACAGACAGATAAGAGCCGTTATCATGTTCATAATTGATGGATTCAGATGTCAAAGCACTCTCTTTACAACTTCAAGTCAGCTGCCAGTTTGTAGTGAAATATTTCTCCAGCTCTCACTGTTACATCTGCGTTTCTCAGCCCCATTTTAATCCCCAGTTTGTGCCTTAGCTACACATAAAAGCACAAACAGGTCCGGTCCAGTAAGTTTAGCTTTGCTTGTGTCATGTGGTGTCTGAGGAGATCTGGGAGTTTGAGTCCTTATTCATAGCCAAAACTTGCTGCCATGCGGTCTAGTGTAAGCGCCCACACGACACAAAGCAAAGAAATTCTGGGTCCCACTTTATATTAAGTGTCTCTAATAACTGTGTAGTTACATGTGAACAACAAATGCCACAACAACGTAACTACTAATGATTTACTCACTGCTACAGATGGATTACAGAAGTACACCTTGTGTGATCAACTTCAGTTTTGCCTCATGTAATTACACAATTGTATCTAGATAGTTGTAACAGCCTATTCTCACTCATGTAATTATACAAGGGTAATAACATAAATGTAATTGTATTTATAAACAGAACAACTTTGTTTTTGTTTTTTCCAGCTGTAAAAGAAAGTATGTAATAACTTACATTAAGACATTACTTACACTGTATCTGCCAGCTTTCCTAACATTTAGCTAGCATTGATATTGCTAGTGCTGTGACATTGTAAGCAGTTTCAGCTTTAAACCATTCTGTAATGTGATAGTACAGCAGACATCCCCTTATCTTAAAATGTAACCTTTATGATATTAATTAAATGTGTTACATTACCCCAAAGCAATGTCTGTATAACCACTTTAATTATTTAATTTAATTAATCTATGTCATAACTTTAACACTACAGGAAAGTTCCTGTGCAGAAGATCCACTTGTGTAATTACATGAGGCAAACTGAAGTTGATACACATATGTAATTACATAGGCTGTACTTCTGTAACACTGACTAAATCATCAGTACTTGCAGTGTTGTTGCATATGTTATTCATGTGTAACTACACAGTTATTAGAGACACTTAATATAAAATGGGACCAAATTTTGTGACAAACTGACATTAAGTTTGTGATACTCTCTGTTTAGAAATCTGTTAAGATTTTAAGTCATGTAGTGTACGCCCAGCCTTCTCGAGCCGTCATTTAGCCTTATGACCACTGCCCCACAGTAACGTGCAGAAATGTTAAACAATCCTTTAATAGCACCACAGATTTTAAAATACTGTATGGCGACAGCATTAATGGTACAACGGGAAATAACACTGACTCATTTACCAAATACTACTGCTACATATTTAGGGCTTTATCATGACCAGAATTATATTGGTTAATCTATGGTTATCTATGTGTAACAAGAAAAGCAGAGAGAGAGGGGGAGATTAAGATTATGGCTGCTTTAATGGAAAACTGTGTCATCCACTCATGAGAGGAATTAATCCAACATTTAAAAAAAAAATGGTGTCTTTAATCTGTATTTGCGTGCATGCACACACATACACACACACAGATACATACATGTACACAGAAGGGAGAGACAAAGGCCTTTTAACCAGAAAGATACTCTGGAGTTTCAATTTTCTGGGTAATAAAAAGCACCTTGCACTCTCCAGCTTCTGTGTGCTGCCCTCCTGCACTAGCACTGGGACCAAGGCCAGCTGTCTAGCATGATGCATCCACTAACATGCTGGGGTGGCTGTATACAGGCATGGCACACGGCACACACCATATGTGTGAATGTGAATCTTACCTGAGACCCTCCAGCGATGGGAATGACGCAGGTTAGGAGGTTCCCAATAACCGTTTCCAAGGGAACGTTAAGGCTATCCACATGAACGGTGTAGATAAGTCCTAGGCAGTTCTGCAATGAATAAAGCAGGATGGTCAGCTTAAGCTGAACCACTGGCTCAGTTTTTATAACAGCTGTGAGAGTCTCAGAAAACACAAAGTCTATTTGAGATTACTTAAAGAGGAATTCCTTCGATTTTTCTCAGTTGTTGAGATGTAAGTCATGCAGAGTGAAATTATGCAAAATGGTTCACTGTAGAGAAACATACTGATTCCGATGTTTTCAATGGTGGCAATAGGAACTGGGGGACAGGATGTCTACACTGCAAATGTAACCATGTTACTCACTATCCAAAACGGACAGTGAACCTACATGAACCTTCATGTAATAACTTTGTGAGTGAGCGTTTAGAGACATTACGCATTTCAGATTAGATTAAGTGACCCTTATTAGTCCCACAACGGGGAAATTTTACCTCCCCATTTAACCCATCCGTGCAGTGAAACACCACATACACACTAGTGAACACGCACACACACGGAGTGGTGGGCAGCCCTATCCATGGCGCCCGGGGAGCAGTTGGGGGTTAGGTGCCTTGCTCAAGGGCACCTCAGTCACGCACTGTCAGCTCAGGACAGTGAACCGGAGACTTTCCGGGCACAAGGTTCCCTAACCTCCAGCCCACGACTGCTCCCATGTCTGGCTCTTTATTCTTTAGTCACTACTGTGAATAAATCTGACTCTGCAAGTTTCTCTGGAACAAACCATTTCACATCAAATGACTGAACAATCTTGTTTACATTCTAATGACTTAATTATGCAAATTTTTTGTCAAACCAATAGGATTCCCCTTTAATAAGTAAGTGCAGCTTGTGTTACATGCAAAAAACTAAGAGTACATCTTCAGTATTTGTCAGCTGTATTTGCCTAATAGATTCAGTGCAAAACTAAAGAAGCAATTTACAGACACCAAATATGTCCTGGCTGATCAACTACCTTGGGTCTACTTGGTTTCTGACTGAATTATCGTTTTCAGGAGACCTGCATGTGTGGGGGCTCACCCTGAACACCTCGGTGTGGTCCAGGCGGGACACCAGCACCAGGCTCTTGGGGGCGTAGAGCTGTGCTGGCTGAAGGAGCTCAGGCGTCTCGTCCTCATCAGCCTCGCTGGGCTCTTCCTTCTGCAGCTACACATACACACAAAAATAGCTTTTTCTCAGTACTGTATCAGCAGATGCTGCATGGTGAACATTTACCTAGGAAAACACTCCAATATCAGGGTTTAATTCCCAAACCCATTACAGACCACTTTCAAGAGGTTTTTTTCCCCATGATAAATGTTGCTGGGAGTGGGCTTTACATATACAAGAAATACCAATACCATATCATGATTCATCTTTATAAGGAAGAAAAATTAGTTTTTCTTAATACTATTATTCATTCCTAAAACTGTCACAAATCGACATACAGCATTTTGGAAGGAAACACTTCACACATTCACACATTTAGCCTACAACCGTTTAGGCCCGCTCATTGTACACAGATGTTACAGAGCACTGGGCTCTTCTTTCACAGCTAATTGTGCACACAAAAATAGCTTTTCTCACTACTTCATCTGCAGATGCTGCATGGTGAACATTGGCATTTGCATGAAGGTCTGAAGCCAATCTCACTACTGAATTTCAAACAGAATGACTCAAAAAACATAAGCTGGATGCCAGTGCCAGCCTTCCTCTCTTTCTGTGTGCTTCAGTCTCCTCACCTGAGGGTTTTCTACAGTCTCCCAGAAAGTGAAGCAGGCACAGTAATGGCGCTCTGAGTTAATGTCTGTGAGAACAGCCACAAAGAAGGAAGCGGGCAGCTTTTCGGGAACCAGCTGCCATCCACTGGGCTGGCAGAACTGAGAGAAAGAAAGAGATAAAGAGGGACAGAGATAGAGAGAACACAACATACAGGAGCATAAGAATTAGAAAATATAGAATTAACTGTGTCGTAGCATCAATAAGGACAGGGCAAAAAAGCTCAAATCTTGGAATTCTTGGTCTCACTTTTTTCATATGGGAAAATACCAAAACTCCCTTACTGTGAATAAAAGATTTTACAGATAAGTGTAAATATTTGTACAGTACAAGCACAAAAGAAAAATGTAAATGTTCACAGAGCATTTATGAGGTTTATGAAGCTTATTTAAATTATGAGAGAGGGCACGATCTCAGTAAATACTGACTTCTAGATTAAACTGATCCCTCCAGTGTGTGTGTGTGTGTGTGTGTGTGTGTAGGGGGGGGTGTACATCTGTGTGTATATATATATGTGTGTATGTGTGTGTACTCACTAGCTCAATGCCCTGGGGGAAGGGGTTATCCTCCCAGTCTTTCTCTGGGAATCGCTGGAGAATCCGGCCTTGACCCTCACTTCCCCCTTAACAGAGACAGACACAGACAGTCAGGCAGAGTGCTGAAATATGCTTATCTACAACAGAAACAAACAATGCCCCACACACCGAACATGTGCACACACGCATACATTAAGTGATAGATCCAGCAGGTATGACGTAACAAGGCCTCCTTTAGCGATAAACCCGGCGCTTGTGAGCAGGAATGTTCTGATGCAATCTAAAAAATTGATATGAGAGCTGATTCAGAGATTCGTCCTTGATTACGTTATTAGGGCAGCGTTTGTAATTTTGGGCTCCTGCATTAACCTTAATGACAACTGACAAACATTTATAAAGGTTCACTGTAATAAAGGCTGCTCTGAGTAGGGATGAATGATTTGAGGAAAATTTCTAATTGCGATTTTTCTGACTAATATTGCGACTGCAATTTAAATTGTGATTAATTTCTATAAATTGAGGTTCAGGCCTTTTTTTTTGCCAAGAATACCAGAATATCGACCTATCGGCTTGACCCCTGAACATGGCGCCAGACTTCCAGTAAGACGTGGTTGTGATGTCACAACACATTGAGATTTGTTTACCTGATTGGTCTACCTTATCTACAGGTAGTTCATGAGCTCTGTGTTATCAGGTTAAATTTCCCCTCTTAAAACTTAAGACAATGTTTTTGTAATGTAGGCTATAATACTGCAGCAATTTGATCGATTTGAAAATTGCGCTCTCTTAAACTGCTACAGGCTTCATATTGGAGCATTAGAAGAACCCTTTTTGGTGTTTTATAAAACTTTTTTTCAAAAAGGTTCTTTATAGAACCATAAACAAGATATTCTCCATCAATCTGAAGAACGATTTCATCATGCATTTCAAAGAGTCAGTTAAGCATCAAATGGCTCTATATAGAACTCATGGTTCTGAGCAGAACCATTCTGAATAGAAACATTCCCTTTACTAAAGAACCCTTGAACAAACATCTTTTATAAGAGTGTAGAGAACTTGAAATACTAAGGTGGCTTGTTCAATACATTATAAAATAAGAAGCCAAAAAAATCCAAAAAGTATTAATTGAGAGTATCATTTTACATGCAAACCAAAAATCACAATGTTACTGAAGAATATTAAAGTTATTTGCCAAAACTATCAGAGTGATCAATCAAACTGGATTGCAAGTCAACACTGAAAACATTACAAAATGATCATTGCAAAAAAAGCCATTTATAGCAATTAGTCCAGCACTTCTTACCCAAGATGGACTAGTTTAACCACTTTCATGCACTTAAAGTGTGCACTGTATTGTTTTACACGAAAACACAGAGATCAGACTGGACTCATTAGTGATACTCAACGGGGCCTATATGATGGGAAAACCAAATTTACATCACTTTCAAATAAAGCAGTTTGATGTAGCACGCAAGTACTGCTAGTTTCAAAACACAACTCACCTCCCAGTCCATACAGTCAGTCTACATATGAAACTTAAAGCTGGAAAATATTGAATATTTTGTTTCTGTAATGTCATGAAAACCAACATATTTACCTATCAAGGGTTTCATTCTGAAACTCATTATAGGCCACTTTCAAGAGTTTTTTCACCTCACGATAAATATTGTTGGAAGTGGGCTTTACATATGCAAGAAATAGCGATACCATCCCATGATTAATCCCACAATTATTAGTAAGTAAGTATAGTAAGTAAAGTTTATTTATATAGCGCTTTTTACAACAGGTGTTGTCACAAAGCAGCTTTACAGAAAAAAATCAGCATTAGAGAAAGAAATCCAGGCCCAAACCCCATGAGCGTCACCAGTGGCGACAGTGGCAAGGAAAAACTCCCTAAGAGCAGGAGGGAGAACCCTTGAGAGGAACCAAGACTCAGAAGGGGAACCCATCCTCCTCTGTTGACAACGGATAGCAAACATTGTTAGTATAAGGTATTGTAGTACACAATGTGGAAAACAGGTGGAGCAATTAAATTGATTAGTTTAGTTTACGCAGCAGAGAACAAACGTGTTTTCCTTAATATATCAGCTGGTATTCTTGTCTAAAACAGTCACAAATGGACATACAGCGTTTCAAAATGAAACTCTTCACACATTCACCTATTCAGCCTACAACAGCTTAGGCCTGCTCGTTTACCCTGATGTTACAAGGAGTGTTTCAGCCCAGACTGCTTTTTGAATGAGTCACATTAAAGAGCAGACCATCAAACAGAATGGCTCATTTACATATATCAGCCTTAAAGGCACAGTGACTGAAACAATCTGTTCAATTCTAAACATCCTGAGTCAACTTCAGAGGAAAAAAGTTAAATACAAGTAAAATGTAGGATCTGGTCCCTTTAAACGAGTCGAACAGGGATTGAGGGCAAAAAAACTGGACCAGGATATCACGGTGCATCAGGGAGAATAGTGTAAGCCATACATCCATAGGAACACATCAGCAGAAATTAGCCAAAGCAGCAGCAGGACAGGAGAAAATACTGTCATTTCTGGCCTCTTCTCCCGGAAATTCAAATCACAAGTACACTTTGCTGAAGAACAAACAGAGGCTGGGCTCTCTCCCAAAACCACACACACTAATCAGCACCCAACAGGCTGCATGGAGCAGAGCGCGCACACACACACACACACACACACGCGCACACACACACACACCAACATGCACACACCAACATGCACACACCAACATGCACACAGACGTTTGCCCAAGCAAACTTTCTCCCAGATACAACCCATGCTTGTTTTATGGCTGATAAGGCCTTAATGTGCATTGTTCAACCAATTAAACTAAAGGTCTACACTACTGTTCAAAAGTCTGGAATGACTTGTCACATTATTAATCATAATTTTATGAAATTAAAACTACAGCTGCAACAAATACTCAATAATATTAAAAACATTTGACAGTTAAAACATTTAAAAAAGGAAACGCCTTTCGAACAGCCAACATAAACAACTGTTTATCACCAGCAGTGCGCACTTGCAGGTTCTACACACCAGACTCACTGGAGACTGCAGTTTGCGACAAGCTGCGTAGAACTACAAAGTGCACCTATATGGTAAGTGGAGCTGATTAAATGGACAAAGTGTGTAAATACAAGGCAAGTGTACCTAATAAAACGGACAGTGAGTGTACAGGCGTATCATGCTCTAAATGTAACTAAAGCCCAGCAGTGAGGAGCTGAACTTTACCCTCCTCTGCTGTCACTGCAGACTGGCAGGGTCGCCTACAGAGCAGCGCTAGTAGCTGTTAATGAAGTAATGCTCTTTTAAATTTGAGGCATGGCCCGTTTTATAGAGGAAGAAGATTTCAACCACTACCCCTTGCAACTCAGTTTGAAGAGGCAAGGTGACGCTCACAAACAAGGGATAGGGGTAAAAATAAGAGATGGGATTGAGGCAAAACATAAACAGTGCCATAACTTTTGAACACGCCGCATTTTACGTTTTATTTTTCTCTAATTTGTTAAATTCAGCAAATAAACAGTAATTGCGCATTAAAATGTGCAGAATGTCATGTGACCAGGGGCGCTGAAACTTTTGCATTTGATTGTATATTCAGCAGTAGAGAAGACCTCCTTAGCCTCACTTCCATAAGCTTAATAGTGATGAGAAAGAGAGAGCGAGAGAGAGAGAGAGAGAGCGCGAGAGAGAGAGAGAGAGCGAGAGCGAGAGCGCTGGCCAGGCATACAGTGCAAACCATATAGTATGAAAGGCCAGCGTTCACTTCCAGAAGCTTAATAGTGATGAGAGAGAGAGAGAGAGAGAGCGAGAGAGCGAGAGCGAGAGAGCGAGAGCGAGAGAGCGAGAGAGAGAGAGAGAGAGAGAGAGCGAGAGAGCGAGAGAGAGCGAGAGAGCGAGAGAGAGCTGGCCAGGCATACAGTACAAACCATACAGTATGAAAGGCCAGCGTTGTGTGTTGGGGGAACAGCAAGGGTCTGTGTGCCGGACAGTGCACTCTGTCTCTGCTGAAGCAGTCATGGGACTGTGCCTGAGTCCATTTAGACAGCTGTCCCTCTCCCCACCAGTCCAATGAGTTACAGTAGCCACAGTGCTGCACTGACCACAGCTACAGCAGAGTGTGCTGGAACTGAAACCAGCATACGCCTCTCTATGGCTTTGTTCACACAGATTGGCCCAAATCCAATCTTTCTCTTCATATGTGACACAGATGTGTTGTCTGTGTGGCAGTGTGAACAGCAAAAAAACACACTGAATCGGACATTTTCGATTCCTATATGAGACACTTTCATATGTGGTACTGAAATCCGACATGTATCCGATATGCGGCAATGGAACTCACTCTGAACAGCCAGACTGGAATTCATGTAACTTATGTTCGGTCCAACTCCACATCAGTCATCATTTAGTGCTGTTAAGACCTCATAATCATTTGGGGTGACGTTACTGTAAAGGTCTGAAAGCAGAGTCTAAAGAATCTGAGGACACGAACCAAAGAAGTGACTGTGGTTTTTATACAGCGAGCCTGAATACATTCTGGGTGATGAGTCAATGAAGCTCCATGATCGCTTCTGTGATGCTAGTGAAGATGAAGCCGATAGCTCTGGGAGCGACTGTTGTTCGTTGGCAGTCATGTTTACCTCTGGATGAGCCACATGAAGCAATGTGAAGCACACACCGATCAGGCATAACACTACGACCACCTCCTTGTTTCTACGCTCATTGTCCATTTCATCAGCTCCACTTTGTAGTTCTACAGTTACAGACTGTAGTCCATCTGTTTCTCTGCATACTTTGTTGGCCCCCTTTTACCCTGTTCTTCAGTGGTCAGGACCCCCATGGACCCTCACAGAGCAGGTCCTATTTGGGTGGTGGATCATTCTCAGCACTGCAGTAACACTGATGTGGTGGCGGTGTGTTAGTGTGTGTTGCACTGGTACAAGTGGATCAGACACAGCAGTGCTGCTGGAGTTTATTTTACACATATGAAGATGTGCTCATCTCGGGAGGCAGCAGAAGAAAAACGGCAGAGCTGTGACTTCTTAACACCAGTAACCAAAAGCAGT